TGCCTATTGCCTTCAGATACAGTGGGAGATGCCATTCCGTTGCCAATTTTGACATAAGAATCAACCACCAGGCCAATGGGATTCTATTAGGGGAATGGGAGGGGACCATCTTGTTCTCTGATTCAGGAAGCAAAATGCCTTGGGGTGGCCCTGATTCCCATGCCAGTTGAATGCCTTCTATGTTGGGAGTAAAGCAATAATGCTAGCAATAAGCTAACTGAACCAGGGTGGGGGCAATAGGCAGAAAGGCAAGCTGCTCTTCCTCCTTAGGGATTCATTCTGTTTTAGTAACTACTTGTTGGTAAAATAGATCACTTCCTCATTTGCTGCTTTCCTGCTTCTTCTCCAAGTCAGTCAGTGTCAGTATGAGCTAGCAAGATGCAGAGTTAACTTATTAGTTCCATCTTTACCACATTTAAAAGTCAGGGCTTTATGTGTGTACAGTAGCACTTCGGGTTAAGAAATTAATTCGTTCTGGAGGTTCGTTCTTAACCTGAAATTGTTCTTAACCTGAGGTACCACTTTAGCTAATGGGGCCTCCCGCTGGCGCCGCGCTATTTCTGTTCTCATCCTGAAGCAAAGTTCTTAACCCGAGGTACTATTTCTGGGTTAGCAGAGTCTGTAACCTGAAGCGTCTGTACCCCGAAGCGTCTGTAACCCGAGGTACCACTGTATACTCACCAGTATAAAGTACCAGTAGCTCTTTCTTGCTGTCATAGCAGCCATTTTGTGCTGACACCCACGGCACTTTTATCAATATATGCGTACCTACACCTCATTTCGGTGAAACCTAAACTTAGGGCTTTCTTTGCCGTGACAAAAAACGTTTTCTTTTGCCTTTCAGCCAGCAGTCATACTAGACTATTTCTGCACAAGGCTGCAGTGCATTTGCCAAACTCCAACATTATTCACAATCACTGGATGAACATTTGAAAACCATGTGCATGCCAATTTCCAGGCTGCGATGAGCTGCTGTGTAACTCCTAGAAGCACCATTTGCAAGATTTAACTCACAGCTCACATTGGCCAGTGCCAGTTAAAAGGCATTTCTTGTGGCCACCCAGTGGCTGTGTGAATGAACCCAGAATACCCTGGCAATACAAGTAGAAGTGTCAGGTGGCATGGTTTTACTCTTACTTGTTCCCCTGATCACCAGCACTTATTTGATGATAAGGCAACTTTTGCTGTTGTTTGTGAGTGTGTAATCTCTTCCTAAGTCTCGAAGGATGCCAGTGGGCATATCCTCTCCTGGTACCCACAGTTGTCCACACTGCAGAGGAATTGTCTGCTACATGCCACTGATGCACCAAATGTCATTCTTCTTGCTTATCATGCTGTATGGAGCTCAAAAGCGTGCAATCATATTTTATTGTTAATTTAATTAATTTTATTGCAAACTGCTTCAGGGCTCTTACTGGGAATTGGTTTAGGAATGCAAGAAATAAATTCATTGCCCTGTTAAAAATAAATGTCACTCCCCTTAGAAGCAGTGACATTTGAGGGCATTTACTTCTTCCAACAACATTTGTATTAATTTATGTAACAGGATTTGTATCCTGCTTCATCATCAAAGCCTCTCGGTGTTTTACATAGAATATAAAATATATGTTAAAATTACTGATAAAAATCAGGTATATCTATATAAGGTAGGTAAAGGTAAATGGTAAAGGACCCCTAGATGATTAAGTCCAGTCAAATTCGACTATGGGGTTGTGGCATTCATCTTGCTTTCAGGCCAAGGGAGCCAGCATTTGTCCACAGACAGCTTTCCAGGTCATGTGGCCAGCATGGCTAAGCCGCTTCTGGCGAACCAGAGCAGCGCACGAAAACACTGTTTACCTTCGCGCCGGAGCAGTACCTATTTATCTACTCACACTTTTTGGCATGCTTTTGAATTGCTAGATTGGCAAGAGCTGGGACAGAGCAAAGGGAGCTCACCCTGTCATAGGGATTTGAACTGCCGACCTACTGATTGGCAAACTCAAGAGGCTCAGTGGTTTAGCTATATATGCAATTACAGTGGATGCTCAGGTTGCAAACGTGATCCGTGCGGGATGCACATTCGCAACCCGCAGCGTCCGCAATCCACAGTGGCACAACTTTGCACGTGCAGGTTGCGATTTGGCACGTCTGCGCATGCACAACCGCCGAAACCCAGAAGTAACCCATTCCGGTACTTCCGGGTTTCGGCGGTCCGCAATCCAAAAAAACGCAACCTGAAACGTCTGTAACCTGAGGTATGACTGTACAGATATATAATAAAATACAGTTATGTAGTAAAATACATGTCAAATTTACATGTTTGGGGAGGCTTGCTTTTGCAAAAAAAAGTTTTTAGCAGGCACTGAGAACTATGCAGTGAAGGTGACTGCTTAATATGAATGGGCTGGAAGTTCTCGAGTGGAGGCGGCCGCCACAATGAAGGATCGGCTACCGCTATCACCTTACATCCGTATTAATGTGCTACCAATCACCAACCACTGTTTATATCTGTCTTCAGTGGGTGTGATCACGTAGGGGTGGCCTAGATTGTGGCATGCAATGGGAATCAGCTGCAATAACAAGGCTTTGTGAATGCTGCTTCACTGTTTTCTTCTCCCTGAATGGAAGGCTCAGGTCTCCCAATTAGCTAAGGGTTTATGGCGACAAATCATTTTCTGGTACAACCCATGCTGGACCATTTCTCCTCTACTTCACCATCTCAGGGTGAATGACTAATTCTTCCAACACAATTGAAGACTTAGGGCTGAACTATGCCTGGTCTCAGTTTGTAAGCCTGAATATACAGTGGAGAAGGAGAGGAAGGCTGTTACACTTACGCACTCTCTCTCAACCACATGTAGAAGTCTAGATGCAGCTGCGACTTCTTACCTAGAAGAACCTGGTAGGCTACAGCAGGACACAGGCTGTCAGACTAGACGGATCCAAAGCAAATCTCTTCAGTGAGGAAAAGAGACTATTAACCTGCTTGTGACTTCCTGCATGAATTTGCAAACCTAATAGTTCTTCTTTTTTTATTGCTGGGGGTGGGGGGAGAGATAAATGTACCCATGCCAAAAGTACATGTGGGTCAATTGCTGCAGACTATTTTGGATTTGTTTGGAGTGCTCCATTCCCTCCCCACACGCACACACCCAGATGTGCAGAAGCTTCTTTTCTCTCCCTCCTTCCTTAAAAAAGTGTAGCATAAAAGCATCTTTCACTATCCTCCTCCAGAACAAATATGAAAACAAGGCTGCTTTTTCAAGAAATGGTGTCTGCATTACAAACATCTGTATTTTCCTAATCATTAAGCAACTGGTCTAATTTATTATGGGAAGAGGGGGACGGATCTCTTAATATGTGGTAAAATATGAAGCATTTGTTTTGGTCCTAGCAAAATCGCCAATCAGGGATGAGAGTAGCCTTGAAGCAGAGGCTATATTTCAAGGTGGGTTTGGGAAACTTGCAGGCCATGAAAAATAAACATCCATTCATGGCTTTAAAACAGTAGAGTTTGCTTTGAGATTTCTATCTGGAAAGCAGTCCAGGTCTGTCTCAACCCTTCTTCTCTCTCTTCACTAACACTTTGAGGATGCCAGATCTCTGGCCAGGGGTGCTTCCACATGGGTACTTATTGTACAGTTGTTCCTCCTTGTACATGCATTGTGATTTTGTTTTTTGCAAAGTTCACAACAGCATCGACATCAAAATGCCAGTTTACACTTTCTAGAGAAAATCTGGTTGATGTTTTTTAATTCAAAAACCTGTTGCTAACAACCTGTTTGCAATACCTCAAGGAACTGTTTGCAAATGAAGTCTCTACCTTAAAATGGAGCTATCCTGTTATTTTTCAGAGGCACAAAATGTTTGGGAAGCTGTTGAGACCTTGCATCACCAAAATAGAGGACATGCACCACAACACGCTCTGGGTGCAATGCTACTGAGATCAGGGGGTTCAGAATGAATGAATAAATGTGGGGTTCGTTCCCTCTGGGATAATCCATCTGTGCCAGCAGTTAGTGGAACCATTCCCCTTCTCTTTCCTGAATACTCCTTTTTCTCTTTTCCTCTTTCTCTCTGCCCAGTACAGCCACAAAGGAAGGATAGTGTACTCCTGCAAGAGATCCGATTGCTTATATAGGGCTTCTGAAATTGGGCCGAGGGGCAGAATTTGTTTACCACCAACTCACATCATCCAGAGGACTTCTTCCAAACATCCCTGTGTAGAATATTGCTTTCTGTGGAATAATCATCCCAAAAGTAGACCTGAGAGCAATCCCTTGATCACCCATAATTGAGGGGGTTATGATATGGCAGAGGTGTCCAGCCAGGGGGCTCCACCACCATGAAGGCTCCTACTGAAGAATGTGCAACAAAGAGAACACAAATGCTACTGGTGTTCCTGTTGCCAGTTGCCAGTGTAAGTTCCCAAAGCAAGGCATTGTGGGGATGGAGCAGAGCTGACTATTGATCTGCTCAATCCAAAGCTGCTCCATTCCCCTCAGAGAGGCCGGGTGAGAGCCCTTCAGTAAATAATAATGGGGGACACTTTCCATGAAAAATGGTATGGCTTTATTTCATCTATTCCTCAGAGAGAATCCATCTTCAACACAGAACGTTATGGAAAGCTCTCCTGAGGACATCTGCATCTTTATATTTCCTATACTGTGAATTTAAATTGTTTTATTTTACATGTGGCACTTTACTTCTTTATGCAAGGAGCAAGGCAATGTGTAACGATACTGATAAGAGTATGTATAACTGCTTTTTATTTCACTGCTGAGATTTGTACCAGGAGGGGGTTATTATATAAAAAGTGAAATAATACATAACATTTATTTTTTAAAAACAAAACATCAGTGGAGGATACGCCCTTTGCCCTCAGCATTGACTGCACTAGTCTATCCACCACTCCACTTCCCTGGCCCCAATTTGGATTCCTCTGATAGCCAAACCTTTTGTTTTGATTTCTGTTTACCCACACGTTGAAAAGGAAAATGAGGTGGTCTCCATGGTTTGGTAAAATATATTTTATTTCTTCATACAAAGAAATAGTATGAATCAAAATTTCATTTTCCTAGAAACCTCTGTGTAAAATTAATTTGTGTTGTACATACCACAAAATACTCAATTTACAGTTTTTGCTTGCCATTTTGCTTTCCTTTACAAGTAGACTAGTCTAAGATGTATCATGTTACAGCAAACACACACAAAAATATTGCTAATATCTGGACGTACTGCTGAATGGAACTCAGCCATAAATTAATGTTACCATGTGGGGGGAAACAAGTCCAACCACACCTCTGAGTTTCAACTGGGTACCCTCTCGTGAACATTAAAAAGTTAATGTATGGAAGCTAGCTTGAACAGTTTCAAATGCCATATGGTACAAGGTCCACCATGGTTACCATGATATGTAGGTAAGGTCTTTTAAATTAACTGGTTTCATAATATTTCTGCTATATAGTCTGCACAGGCAATTTTGTTCAAGATACTGAATGGTGAAGTAGTGGCAGAGTTATCACTCAACTTATTTCTCAAAATCATTCGGAACAGGTTCTGTGGATACAATACCTACTTTGCCAATTTGATTTGTGCAATGGAGAGGAAGGCATCTGGCTACAAACCTACTCAGAGAAGAAGGAAAAGTCCAAGCACTGAGTTCTGCAAAAAGATTTTGAAATGGAAAACAAAGGAGAGCTATAAAAGAAAATCCCACTACAATTTCCTGGAGCAAGAGAAGCTGCGTGGCTTGACAACATGGTTATCACATAAGCATGTCACAGATTCTGTTGAGAGGGGGTCCAGAAAGAGGAGGCTAAGGGTGCATGTGTTGCATCTCACTTTAGTAGGAAGAAGGTGGGTTCAAGCAACTTTTTCTATAGTAGCATTCCTCCAGGTGTTTTTGAAATCCCACTCCCATCAGCCTCAGCTGGCATGGGATTGTGGGAGTTGTGGTTCAGCAACATCTGGAGGACACCATGCTGACCAACCCTGGTGCAAAGGATGGAGTGAGGTCTACAGCAAGGGGTCTATTTAATGTATTCTGTAGTGCTCAACATGTAAATCAGGAAGGGGAACCTCTGGTACTCCAGATGTTTTTGGAATCCCGGTCATCCCCCCAGCCAAGGTGCCCAATGGTGAGGGGTGATGGGAATTGCCATCCAACAAAATTTGGAGGGTGCAAGATTGGGGAAGCCTGTCCTAGCGTGCTGCCTCACCAGCAGGTGATAGCAAACATCATATGTCCAAAGATGGCTAACACAGAGGCTGAATGTTCATATGAATGTCTACATCCTTAGAATAATGTGCATGTGCTCATGCACACACAAATTGTATACAGCCCTCTGAGGAATCCCACATTCCATATGCAGTTACTTCTCAAAATAAATCTGACAGTTATGCCCACATTGTTCAAGATGTGTCCAATGTGGGACACTTCAAGAATGTGTTGAGAACTGAAACACACACAGAAAGAGAAAGAGAGAAATAGTACAGCTGAACAGAGGTTTTAATACAAGATGGTAGCTCACTCACTGCAACATTAGTCAGACATGCCCAACCTTCTCAAGTACCTACATTGGGAGCAATTCTCCTGGAGGTCCAATTATAATGTGCCAAGATGTTACATTCAATTCACCTTAGCGTAATGTGATTGAGGGCAGGGGCAGGAATAGGCTGTTTGCTAGTCTTGGGGGGCAGGTGTGAAATTCTTTGGCAAGGTTCAGACTGTCTATGGTCCCTGCGTGTTCATTTCCAACCCCTCTCTCAAGGGTTTAATGAAGTGCATACTTCCCCCCCCCCCACATCCCACTTGACCCCATATGAAAGTCCAAAACTTTCAGCTCAGCACCAGCGGACGGGGGGGGTGTTAATTAACTCTCTTAGAAAAAGGCTGATGAGGCATGTAACTCTGCATGTTCTAATCTGAGAGCACCCTGACTGCAGGGCTATCAGCAATCAGGCCTATCATTCAGTTATAAATAGCAGGGAGTGGTTCACTATACAAGTTCAGACTGCATGGTCTTCTTCTGCAAGACCAGCTTTTTTAAAAAAAAGAAGCAGCACCCCATATGAATTGTGCCCGAAGGAAGCATTTCACATTTTCAGCAGGAACAAGTTAAAGCTGGACCAAATATGCATAGTTGTCAGTCCAGGAAATCTGCTTAAAGGTCAAGAAAGCAGAAGGAAAAACTGTAGAACATTCAGTAACTACTGTAGCAAAGCTTTCTACAAGGAGAGAGAGTTGTACACATCAAGGAAAACATATCTGAGAAACAGGCAGCAGCAGCTATATGGCTGGAGAGAATCTCCTTCAGCACTCGTGCCATGCCCACCTGTAAAGGCTTAAGCTAGGCCTAAATGCTTTGAGTTCCACGAAATTTCATAGCCAACCAAAAACTCAATTGCAAGTGGGTTGATCTGGAAGAGGGAAGGCAAAATATGCTAGCTGGAGGGCCTTTCACAAAAGTGTTTCAAAATGCCTAGTACCCGTATTGGAAAATAAAATTGTGCTTTTAAAAATTCTTTCTCCCTTACCCACCAACCTTTCTTTTATATTAATTTTTCTCATAGAAGATACTTGGAAGCACTTTCCAGCACAAACTGAACCAGGCTACAAAAAAGAGAAAGAGCAGAGTTAGGATTCAGCACTGTGGAATGTTAAAAACACAGCTATGGGCTGCTACAGTGTGGTTAGGCAGCTTAGTGAATTAATTGCTTAAGAATTAAAAATAAATTATTATAAAATAGATTTCTGTACATTTTACATATAGACCTATCTACATATATAAGGGGGATAGCAAGCTGAAATGAGGGGATTAACTCTGGCAAGAACGTCGGCATTAAACCATCAATCCCAGCCAAAGTCATGTCCAGTCATCTGGTAGAACTTCATGTTGAAGGGCCTGTAGAATTCCCGCAGCCTCTGGACCACTTCCTGGTCTATGTTGGGGTGGGTCCGCCCCTTGGTTTTGCCCAAGCAGTGGGGCTTGCTGCTGCCTTCAGCCTTTTTCAGGCATGGGAAACCCTTGGTTTTGTTGAAGTAGAAGTGTTTGTCCGTGATGATCCTCTTGAGGCCCAGAAAGTCCTGGACTCGGCCTAACTCACCAGCTGGATCACTGATTAGCCTCTCCCCACTGACAAAAAGGATTTGCCCAATGGGGAAGTACAGGAGCCAGTTTTCCAGGTGCTTGGCGTAAATGCCAATCTGGATGGCACTCCAGGAGGTATCAATGAGGCCCGTAGTCCTGTTTTTGAAGGTCAGGCTCTCAAAGGTGGGGATGTCAGGCTTCTTGGACAGAGTTTGCGTGTAGTCAGAAATGGCTCTGGTGACCGGGTCTCTCACCACCACAATGAGTTTGGTGCCCTTCGACATGGCAGAGATGCGAGCAGGGGCTTCCTTGGTGACAAAGTAGCTGGGAGTTTTTTCCATGGTGATCTGCCCATCGAGAGTTCTTGGCATCAAATCCCTGCCAAAGAAGAGAGAGAGGGAGGGAGAAGAAAAGCACAGAGTGGTTAGAAACACTAATGGGCAATAATTACAGCACTCTTTTACAGTTCTTGGTACTGACAATACCCAGCAAGATTACTTACTCAGCCAAGGAACAACAGAGCATCATTTCAGACTTAAGTACATCATGAATCAAAAGGCCAAGATGTACCCAAAGGTCTCTTCCGTAATGACATTGTTTATTTCATTTATGAATCACTTCACATGAGGTATCTTAAGCACTCCTACTTCAGGAGGTTTCTCAGGAAGTTTTATTATGAACTGTGCCACATATAACATGCTTAAATTTTGGTGCCCACCACATTTCAACTCTAGCTGAGTTAAGCTTACCTTGGTTAGAATGAACCAAGAGTTCCACCTTTCTGAATAACAAGACAGTTTGCTCTAAAATGTCCACCCATCCATGGACATAGCAATGACTGATTTTAGGGGAGGCAGGCTTTATGTTGGGGAGGCAGAACCAAGGTACCGTATTTTTTGCACCATAACACTCACTTTTTTCCTCCTAGAAAGTAAGGGGAAATGTCTGTGCGTGTTATGGAGGGAATGCCTACGGGTGGCATGCCTACGGATTTTCCTCCTCTAAAAACTACGTGCGTGTTATGGTCGGGTGCGTGTTATAGAGTGAAAAATACGGTATCTGCCATGCAATTGGTCAGTTAAGTATTTTTATTTATTTACTTGACCTGAAGGGGGGAAGCTGCTCCCATGCACCCATCTTGTATGCACGAGAGGAGATAAGGAGGAGAACAGAGTTTATGTCTGAGGCTCACCACAGGTTATTTCACTATATGACTTTAAATGTGATTCAGGTGATCAACGAAATGATGCTGCTCATTCAAAGGATGCAGGTTCTGTCAAAAAACAAACCTTTGACAATCACCAATATTTTCTAAATTGGGGGCATGGTCACAGAAGTGCAAGAAAGAAGGAGTCTCTTCAGGAGATGCAAGCACCCGACACCCCCCTTTCCATGCATACTGCTTCAGGTAGCAATAGAGCCCTACCTCCTAGAACCATCTCAGACAAAGGAACTCTTAGGAGCTAGAGAACTCCTTTCATAAAGATTTCCCCCACAAGGCACCTGGCGCTAGGTGAAGCAATGTATTTACCGTGCAGACAGACTGGCCCGCTTTGCCTGTTAACCACTTAAGATTTTATTACATTAGTGTTCTTGCACAAGACAGCTTTAATCTCCTCAACTCCTCCCTCACCCCCCAAAAAGGCTTAAACGCAGGATGCTGAAATAGTCATTTAGCAACACACATTCCTGGAGGAAAAAAACACCTCAGCCCTCTAATGCGAAAAACAGTTTGGAGACAGATACATTTACAAAGTCAGTTGACAGGTGGCCACGTGGTAATCCAATAGCTGAAAGCCTAATGCCTTTTGTGGCAGGTTTTTGTCCGCACAGAGGGATTCTCCACTAATCTGTTGACACTTCCCAATAAAGAAAATTGAGGGGGGGGGCTCTTGTTAGTGATGTGGCAGAAGGGGGGGGGGAGGAGAAGTATTTTACATGCTGTTGCTGTCTTGGGCTTACAACAACAAGCTGACAGGTACAAACAACCAGGCTCTTGAGCTTTTATTGCAAGGCCAGAAGCTACAAAAACAGAAGAGCCAGTCATTGCACATTCAATGGCCTCTCTAATTTTTACCAAAGGAAAGGTGGTAGGATCTCCACAGCCAAAAAGCAAGCAACTGGGGGGGGGGGGTTTCAAATAAAATGGTTTTCAGCTGGAGACACTGGAAATAATGTTCTTTTCCACAGCACTGGTTGCTAGCAGTTTTGCAGATGCTTCACAACTGCATCAATTGGGATGAAAATGGGGAAATTCCAGCTATTCCAATGATGGGGAAAGGATGTGCTTAAGTGTCAAATTGCACAGGAGTAGCAGCAGAGATGGAAGGGCTCTTGAGAGCCTGGTAAGAGTAAGTGGATAGTTCTGGAAACCAACTGTGCGATCCCCTGTTGATGTAGGGAATCTACTGCTATGGCACCCCTGACATGGCTTACAAGGTGGGGAATAATACAGAAGTGGCTTTTGACTAGATTCAATCACCTCATGCTTTAGCCTGGTGCCTTCAGAGACAAGCATCGTATACTGGAATTTAGATTGCCAGGTCATCCTCTCACTTGCAGACCACCGTAAGCTTTGAGAGCCTCTTGCTTTTTTAGAAATGGCAGGAGATTCCTGACTCAATTTAATAAGCAGAAAGCAGATTTATAGAACTTCATAGTCATCAGCTCGTTGCTGGCCTTCAATCTTCTTGCCAGAAAGCAGCAGGTTCATATGTACCTTCAAGACTCAAATAAGGCGGCTGCTAGAAGCCAGGTCATCTGTAGGTAGCCTTCACATGTGAAAAGCTTTCAGACAGGTGCAAGTTGGTTTACAGAGAGAGGTAACAGCTCCTAACCAACACAGAATTGGAGCTATTTCCCACCACAGGTATATCAGAACTATAGGTGCACCAGGGATTGCCATAGTAAATACAAATTAGACGATGGCAGCCACGTGGCTGTGAACCTTTCACACATTACAGTTGTATATCCCTCCTTCCTTCTGAGCTAAGTACAAGGAGTTCCCTGATAGCCTCCCACCCAAACACTGACCATACACAGCTCTGCCATACTAGCTATCCTATTCCTCGATTCATAGCATGTAGGATTTCACTTCCAACCATGTTCCTAGAGAGAAGGCTGTCTTATTAATATAACCGTTTGGGGCAATAGGTAGAATTAAGCGGTAAATATTCTGAATGATTGAATGACATGCTGGAAATGATTAATGAAAAGCAATATTAGACTCTTTATGAAGGGTATTTGTATTTGTTTGTTTCAGAAAAACCAGCAGGACACTCCTAATTGTCAGCATCATCCAAGACACACCAGTTCCGCTGCCGTTTACAAGAACTCCCCTCGCTTCTCCACTTGCCCAAGAGACAAGAGTGCATCTGAACTCCTTTTGTCCCACTCGGCACCCCTTCCATTGTCTGAAGGATCCCCTCAGGACCACTTTAATGGCTACAAGGTTTTATGCCTGCTGGGAAAAGGAGGTGGTGGGAAGGAGCGGAAAATAAGTGCAGATGACTGGATAGTGGTTAGATTAAAAGCTCACTGCTGTTTACGGAGCCGTTCCTTTAGACACTCTCTCATCATTATCAGGGATTCATTTCACATGGCTTGGCCAGAGGGGTAGTCGAGTAATCTGCAGCCATTTCCTGCATAGGCTTTTTTCAGGTCATGTTAAGGGAAGGAGGAGGAGAAAGAGAAAGGTTTCTTGGAAATGAAATGACTCAAAACAGACAGAGCCAATTTCGGGGGTGGGGGAGGGAGAGATAAAAAAAAAGTGGTCAAGGACTTTCCACACAAGAGGCGCTTTTCAATGTGCTAATTCCCACCCCTCTTTTCTTCATTACTTACTTAGTCCTGCAGCTACAGTCGCTATTCCACCAACATCCAGGACTTATGTTTCCATCTGCACAACACAACCAGGCCTGTGCTCTAGGAAGAGAAATGCAAGTGCATCTCAACCACCATTCCTTGCTTGCTCCATTTTCTTGTGCAAAGTCCACAGGACGAGGCACCAATAATTATACGCATAGTTTACAGGAGTTTCAAATGGCCTCCTTAATGTTTTCAGTTGGCAGAGGCATCCAATGAGGACTCTGGCTCCATCGGACCCAATGGGTTGTGCTTTCATTAATCCCTTTGCTCACTGAAGTTGCATTATTCATAAGCTTCTCTCTCTCTCTTGGTTCAAGAGCTCAGAACCCCTCACAAAAAAAACCAGGCATCAGCAGCTTTTTTACAGGCGGCTAAGGAAGCAAGCCACAAGTCATTAAAAAAGAAAAGGAGGAGGAGGAATCGCTTCTAAATATTTTGGTAGCCTATACCGCACTCGCACATTTTGGATCCAACATTTGATGCTTTGGATCTGCAGGACTCCTTGGAATAATGCTCACTTATCTGCAGTGGCGTAGCGTGGGGGTGCAGGGGGGGCCGGCCGCACCGGGCGCAACATCTGGGGGGGCCTGCTCGCACTCACAGCTCTCTGCCCCCTGCTAAAATCCACGGGTTAGGAGGCGCAAATTACTTGCCTTGCTGACAACCCACGCTACGCCACTGCTTATCTGTGTAGGCAAGAGCTTCTCGCTGCATTGCGATATCCCATGTTTGTTCACCCACCTATGGTTGCCCACCTATCCAGGCCAGGGAGTAATCGTTCAACTCCTCACCCTGCCTGCTGCATGTTGGGGGGGGCAGGCAGGGGGGAGAGAGAGGTAGGAAAGGAGGAGACGAAAGACTATTCCTCCTACATGGACTGCCAGCACAGACAAGGGCTTTTCGGCAGCAATCATGGTTGAGTGAATACATTTAAATTCAATAAGATCTGCTTCAAAGAAGTTAAGACTAACATAGAAGCTTTTCAAGTGGCAAGAAAGGAATGTAAAATAAGAAGCGGCTCCATAAAGCAAGAGGAGTTTGGACAGCGTGATTAATTAGACCCTGTTTCCATGTAGCCAAATTGGTTTAATCGCTCCGGTTATGGATTTAGCTCTCCTACAAGAACAGATTTAACAGGCGTTCGATTGAGAAGTGCAGAAGATTCAGACCTGGGGAAAAAGATATTTCTCCTGCCCTTGAAGAGAAGACATGTCTCCCAGAGATTTCAAAAGGCCATATAAAGTTTAGCCACTAAGCAGGAAGAGGGCATGTGGATTGTACAAAACTTTACAGTGGTACCGTGGGTTAAGTACTTAATTTGTTCCGGAGGTTCGTTCTTAACCTGAAACTGTTCTTAACCTGAAGCACCACTTTAGCTAATGGGGCCTCCTGCTGCTGCCGCGCCGCTGGAGCATGATTTCTGTTCTCATCCTGAAGCAAAGTTCTTAACCCGAGGTAATATTTCTGGGTTAGCGGAGTCTGTAATCTGAAGCATATGTAACCTGAGGTACCACTGTATTATTTTTGAATGCATATGTGTAGGACTGATATATTTTAACAAAGATGCTTTGGGGGTTGTGGAGGAAAAATATATTTTCCAACTTCTTTGCCAGGGCACATGAAGCTACTCTCTCAATTTCGCTTACTCACTGCCAGGATGTAAGTCCCACCGTCACTATTAGAGATTTGTGGTGATAAATATTTTAGTCTGTTTAATATCCCAGCTACAGACTACAACACCCAGGACTATGCAGCAGGGGAGAAGAGAAACATTTAAAATGGCCAATAAAAAGAAGGCACTCATCTTTGTAAGAACATTAAGAAAAGAGAAAGGCCACAACTATTCTTTGGAGCTCTCATTTCTTTCTGGAATGCTTGACTAGGACCCTGGCAACCAGGGTTCAAATCTCCACTCTGCCATGAAACCCATCGGGTGACTTTGAGAGACACTGTCTCTCAGCCTAACCTACCTCACAGGGCGGCAATGGTATAATGGAGAGGGGGAGATGTGTGTGTGCTGTCTTGAGCTCTTTGGAGAAAAAGCAACATTAACAATAAATAAAAGAAAAGATTGGGGCTCACAATGCTATCAGGTCAGTTATATGCAATACCTGTTAAAATACCATTTGTACCTGAAGAAGTTTCGAGGTGGTTTATTTCCAACCACAGTCCATCCTAGAATTTCCTGCTGAAATCCCAGAACTGTTTATAACACACATGCTCTTGTTTATCATTGTCCTGCCGTTGTCACACTACAAGTCCCCCCAGACAGCAATAATGTGGTAGCATTGGGACAGCATCCCAAAACTGTTTCCAAATCGCTCTTCACTAAAATCTGCAGAAAATGGAAGAAATCACTACCAGGTTTCAGGTAAGAAAAACTCAGTACCGTCTACACTTAACCAAATTAGCCAGTTTTGGGAATAGACCAAAGGGGCATATCTGAGGCACACAATAACTGCATTTTTATTTCTTTATAAGGTTCAAAGCATTCACATTAACTGGGACAACTAACTTAACTGTCAGGGTAACAATTGATAAGACATGTTGGATGCTACTTTCAAGAGCCGCATATCAAAAACTCGGCATGAGAAGATGCTCTGCAGGCAGTCTGCAGTTGTGCTTTGACCCACCTGTCTATTCCTGCTGCCACCAAGCTTCTTTTGCCAGCAGCCTTCCTTCCATCTTGCAAGCAAGGCTCAACTCGGCCAAGTAAACTTCAATGAGAATTGTAAAAGCCACAGCTCTACTATCTTAAATTAAACCAAGCAAAGATTGGGCTTACATGCAGCAGGTTTAAATGGGGGGGGGGGGAGAGAGAGAGAATATAGGCTGGCATTTTTATGCCAATGACATGTGAACACTGCAAAAATCAAAAACAAAAATGCAGAACTAACCTTACAACAGACATCTGTCTGATATAGCCCAAGGTGATTATGAGACGAAACTTTAAACACAGTAAAGCTAAAATGGTCTTATTGAAGAACTACCTGAGTTTAGGGGAACAGAAACTTTTTTTAAAAAAATGAAGGAAAAATGTGTTCACTTTGCCCAACAGCCACCTTCCAATAGCAGGTGAGCATCAAAGGATATGGCATGGTACAGAAGAAAACACTCCTAAGCCAAACCCTAAATGGCCTGAACACTTTTGTTAACCTTTGTTTATTTGCCTACTTTAGTAAATAAACTGAAAAGGAAAGATGTCCATTGTTATTATTACCACGTCGTTTCCTTTGACAGTCGCAATGCAAGGACAGGATTTGTGGTATTCAGTATTCTTATCTACAGCTTTTGAGAAATGGGCCCTTTAATTCTACCCCAAACCAGTTTTCACTGGGGGGGCGGAGAGCCAGGCAGAAGCACAAGCTTCTGTGAGACGTCCAAAGAATAATGGCTGGCCACAGGAGTTCTTGTTGGAAAGATTTGCTTTTTTTGTTTCCCTTCAGCAGGATATTCTTCCTTCCAGGGAGCCATGTTCAACGCCTGTGGGCTGTTTTCAAGAATGGGTTGACAAGAGCCAGCCCATATATATATATATATATATATATATATATATATATATATATATATCTCCACCCTAGCATCACCCATCCACCTTCACAATTGGGTCTCTGTGTCCTCCCTCAACAAAAGCCACCCTCCCACCTTCTCAGTCAGCCTCTGTATAAAAAGAGAGGTAGCTTTTTGAAGAGCACAAAAAGTCACACTGCTGTGGAGAGGCCAATTATAACTTTGCACAAGGCTGAAACTCCTGAACGGATTGGCTGCATGGTGGCAGCAGCCATGTGACCGGCCTGCTATCAAGCTCTTTGTTTAGGGCCCCATCTGCACGGGAGGTACCAACACCACTCTGGTGGCAAAGCACACAAAAGGAAAGCAAGCTTTCAATGTGCCAGAAGCTGTTCTATTTATCCAACAGTGCCGTGGTGCACTGGACCAAGGCGCTCAAGGAGCAGCTGCTTAAAAGCCTTTTCCCTGACTTCTCCCTATGGCACAGGCTTCCCACCTTGGAGAAGCCGCGAGAGGTCAAGAAGGGGACTTCTCTATGTGAAGCTTTAAAAAAACCACCACCACAGTTGTTATGACCTTCTTTAAGATTGCATTCAGATCACCAGAAGCAGAACTGAGATTCTCCTTTCTCACTTCCTTCAGAAGATTGAGTACACAGCTTCCTGAATGTTCTTAAAACAGGAACTCACCGGAGCCAGGACAGCTCACTCATTAACAGCAGTCATTTCAAGTGCATGTTTTGCAGTTTGCATTAGTTGCACAGTACCTACAATTTCCTTATTGTTTGCCCGTGGCTTCTAATGAGGAAGGGCCATAGCTTAGTGGCAGAGTATCTGCTTTGTGTACAGAAGGTGCTAAATTCAATCCCCAGCATCTCTAGGTACAGCTGGGAGAGAATCTGGAATGACAACTTGGACAGCCACTGCCAGTTGCTGCAGGCAACACCAGACTAGATGGATTGATGGTCTGATTCAGTATAAGGCAGCCTCCTGTATCCCTGTGCAAATAAGGCAGTAGAGACATGTTTGGAGATATTGGGCTAATCAATCTTTAATGTTTACAATCGTAGCTGGAGTTATTACAAGTTCTCAAGAGCTTCTGAGAGGGTTTATATTTCCTAACCACATCAGAGGGGTCAGTGCATGGACAAGATGTGAGACGTGTACCCTTAACCACATCACCTGCTTCACAAGGGGGTACAAAATGGTCAGAAGTTGAAAAGGTCACTCCTTAAAACTACTTTGCAGCCAGAAGGTGACCCAGACAATGTGTGCTGCACTATAATTTCCTCACGCCGGAATAAGAGGTCTAGCAAATTAATACACTGTTGATCCTCTCTGCACACTGAGCCTTAAATGCATTTTAATACAAATGGGATTGCCTTCTCCAATCTCCCATTATTGGATTGGTGATTAGTCAAAGAGATAGACAGACACTGCATCTGAAATTGAATTAGCCTGGTCATGAACAGAGAACATCAGCTCCCAGGCATGCCTGGAGAGAAAATCAACATGGCTCAGGAGTGTAGAACAAAGCCGGTGCCCTCAGAACTGCCACCTCGACAGAAGCAAGAGCTGCAGCAGAGTGTCCAAAACCTCTGGCAAGATCAGCTGTTCCAACTCGCCTCCCTTTCCTAAGATAAACAAGCATAACAGCAGCAAGGTTATTAAGTCTGAGTGGGTGGGGTGAACTGAGGTTCTCTAGAGAAGCACAGTCCCCTGTGAATAACCCAAGATAGCCAAACAAGGCACAATGGCAGAGAGGGAAGTAGACTTATCAAAATCCTTCCTGTAGACAAGGATTCACAGGAGAGCTGCGAGGGGATAAACAATCCGCTAAGAGCACAAGGGGAGGCCCAGCAGACAAACCATTTCCACCCCAGGGCTAAAGCGTTGAGATAAACAGTATAGCAGACAAGCAAGTTAGGCACCTGTGTGATTTCAGTGACAGGGTGGAAAAGGCAAAAGCCCTCAAACTCACCCTCCCGCCACCCAATCGAAACAGTTATGAAAATAGCTATACATGTGACACTACCTGTCTGCTGGACGAAAACCATGCTTGGTGCAATGAGCTCAAGAGAAATGAGGCCAAGGTGAGAGACACAGCTGAGAGACACAGAGACTGGTAGAAGAGTCCTTTTGGGGATGAGATAGTAGCATCCAGGGTAATCACCTGTACTGTTAGGATGGTCTCAGGGGCAGAGGATGGTGTCCCAAGAAAGAGGAATCTCTTAGAAGGAACCTATTCCATGTGGTGGGGTGAACCAATATCTTCCTGTGACAAGGATGTGCCTCCAGTGGGAGAGGGTTCCTCATAGTGAATAATTCAGTCAATAGAAAGAGGTTTGTGATGGGCATGTAGACTGCATGTCCACTTGCCTACCTGATGTGAAAGTTGTAGAGGTCAACCTTTGCCTAGATAAGCTGGTAGACAGCATATTGGCACCAATGACATGAGTAAATTAGAAGTCTGGAGTTCTTTGAAGCAAAGTGTTTCCTCCCTATCTCATATACCATCAATGAAGTTACACTGTGAGCAGACAAAAGCAAATATTTTTACACCCAAGGCAGCTCAGCTATGAAATTGTGACCATAATATGCAGTTGTGGCCAGCAACTTAGATGTGTTAAAAAGGGACAAGAAAGTGCTGTGGAGGGTAAGGCTATCTCAGCTTTATATTACCTCCCGTACCATATACAGTTTGCCTCTGGCAAACAACAGGAGAGGGCTATTACTGTCATATCCTGCTTCTGGGTTTCCGAGAGGCATCTAGCCAGAACCTGTAGGAAACAGCGTGCTTGTTAGATAGGACTTTGGTTTGATCCAGTAGGGCTCTTGTTATGCCCTTGGTTGTGTAAGCGAGGTTGTGTTCAGGAGGTGAATGCATAATAGAACAGCTGCCTCCCAAACAATGATGCACTGGACGCATTTGGGAGTGGCTGGGAGGGGAAGAGTTCAGAAACTTAGAGGCTGAAAAGCTGGAACTAAAATGTGAGCACCACACTACATTCCCTCCTGGGGAGACAGAAAGGCTCCGATATCTGAAGAAAGGGGATTCTGATCACACCCCCGGCTTTAGTCAGATAGCATCAAGGTATCTTTAAAGAGAGCGACTGAGGCATGAAGGTGCTCTCTGCTGTAGGTATATATAATTTCTAATTACATAGATAAAGTTTTAATGAAAGACTCTGCATTTCCAACTCAGTAATTTGACAGGGACAGAGCAAGGTTGTAATTAAGAAAGGCTCCCTTTTCCTCCACCATTAAGAAACTGGCTGTTCATCAGGATGCAGGCACCGCTTCCTCTTGGCTTACCGGAAGCTGCCACTTCCAGAGAAGCAATTGCGTTCAGAAGAGGTATGTAGGAGGAGCATTTGAATCCAGTCAATGCCCTCTCATCTGAATCATCCAAGCACATGCCTGTGTAGCAACATATCCCTGGAAGTACACAGAGAGTGTGTCTGTGGTGTTCATCCCTTCCAGAGTTGTCCAATCTTCCTTTTGCCTGAGGATCATGTTCACCCTTGGCCAACCTTCCACAGTAGCAATGGGTGTGACCCTCACATGTACACTTCAGCTGATTACAGGTGATTATTAACATTCCCATTAGGGTGCTGAACATATTGGTTCTGTGCTGTGGAACCCCATCCCAGCTTGTTTTATTTTTATTCTTTTATTCTTTTCTTTTTGCTACTGCTGCCAAAATCAGTAGAGTCTTGGGAGGTCTCTGGGCCCAGGGGAAGCCCCCACTGCCTGAACTTCATTCAGATATTTTGGGTGCTCTCAGGCCACTTCATATCCACTCACATTTAAGCTAGACATTTGTCACCAACCACGAGACTGAGATCAAATAGCACCCAGCACCTCTCTTTCAGGGAAGGACTCAAGGGAATTATGCACAGCTTTGCAACTTCCACAAAGTTGTACAAGCATGAGCCTAATGTGCTATTATTTGCACAATACAGACCAGGTGAAAAAAAAGAGGCTTTGCATATTTAGTAGTTGTATAGAAGGGAAAACTTCAGCATAACTCACTATATCTACTGAGATTCCATCTTGCAGACAATTCATTACATATGGAAGGAGCCTGTCCTCTCTTTTCACTCTCCCTTGACACAAGAATTCCTACCAGTTGCTACAACTGGGGTAAATCTTCCCTGCCCACCTTTCCCCCATAAGAGTAAAGGTAAAGGGACCCCTGACCATTAGGTCTAGTCGTGGCCGACTCTGGGGTTGCAGCGCTCATCTCGCTTTATTGGCTGAGGGAGCCGGTGTACAGCTTCCAGGTCATGTGGCCAGCAGGAATAAGCTGCTTCTGGCAAACCAAAGCAGCACACGGAAACACCGTTTACCTTCCCGCTGGAGTGGTACCTATTTATCTACTTGCACTTTGACGTGCTTTCGAACTGCTAGGTTGGCAGGAGCTGAGACCGAGCAACGGGAGCTCACCCCTGTCGCGGGGATTCAAACCCCTGACCTTCTGATTGGCAAGTCCTAGGCTCTGCGGTTTAACCCACAGTGCCACCCGTGTCCCTCCCATAAGAGTACCCGTGGTCATTTTACATCCTTTCCCCCTTTAAACTCACTTTCAGATACAGTCCAGATGCTACAGCAGGGCAATGGTTCTGAAGAGGCCGCATGATGGAGCAGCAACCAGGTAATGGGGAGAGGAAGAAAGGCTACACACCAGCCCCATCGCCAAGCACATTGCAAGCCACACCTTCAAACCAAGTAAGGAAATAGCATTACAATCGTGCAAGAAACTCCAAAAGCAATCTGAACCTGCCACTTTTTATTTTTTTTAATAGAGTGACATGTTGGGAAAGTGTGAGTGCAACAGTTTGAGACAGGAACGTCATTGAGATTCTCTGGAATAAACCAGTTAAGTGAATGGTGCCAATAGCTAGATTCACAGGTTGAAGGTGCAGGCTGGGCTCTATATGCAGAGGGGCGAGGGAGAGAAGGCTATGTGGAAGCATCCTGAGGTGCTCTTAAGTGTGTGCCAGCAGACTCTAAACAAGGAATGGCCTTCAATACTTGGGATGTGCCAGTACACACAAGCACTCTTTGTATCCTGAATCCAGTGGCTAACAGCTTAGCATTAGACAAGCTGGCAGGTGGATGAGAGATGTTTGTGTCTCCTTCCCAATCATACAGTGTGCTCCACGGTCTGTGGGGGGGAGTGAAATATTTGCTGATGGAAGGAACAGCACTAAGGGAATATTCCATATACTCCCCCATCCAAAAAATAAAAATACAACCCTGCTATGCTAGCCTTGGTAAAACTGCTGGAGAAGATGCAAGACCACTTGAGGAAAGGATGGAGAACTGTGGCCAGATGTTGTTGGACAATAATCCTCATAATCCCCAGCCACTTGTCATGTTCACTGCAGACAGCATTCATTCTCTGGATGGCTACAGGTTCCCAACTCTTGGCATAAACCATATGAACAAGCCATTTCCAAATTCCTTGAAATTTACAAAGCCAGCAAACAGCCACAATACAAATAGTCAAAAATCATGCAGCTACAAAAAGCATCAATGGAAAGGTCCGCACCTCACTTACAAACCAGGAGTAGCCAACACAGTGTGCTCCATATGTTTGGACTAAAATTCCCATCATCCCCAACCACACCACAGCCAACAGTGAGGAAGGGTGGAAGTTGTAGTCCACAACAGCTGGAGGGCTTCACATTGGCTACACCCTGCTGCAAACCCAGGGAATACAGGAGACAGTCCTGAGCAACCATGGAAGAACACAAAGAGTTCCCTGCCCCGTCAGTTGGCATAACATGACATGATAATAATAATAATAATAATAATAATAATAATAATTTATTTATACCCTGCCCATCTGGCTGGGTTTCCCCAGCCACTCTGGGTGGCTTCCAACACAAGATTAAAATACAATAATTCATCCAATATTAAAAACTTCCCTAAACAGGGCTGTCTTCAGATGTCTTCTAAAAGTCCGATAGTTGCTTATTTCTTTCACATCTGATGGGAGGGCATTCCACAGGGTGGGTGCCACTACCAAGAAGGCCCTTGCCTAGTTCTCTGTAACTTCACTTCTCACAGTGAGGGAACTGCCAGAAGGCCCTTGGCGCTGGACCTCAGTGTCCGGGCAGAACGATGGGGGTGGAGACACTCCTTCAGGTATACTGGGCCGAGGCCATTTAGGGTTTTAAAGGTCAGCACCAACACTTTGAATTGTGCAAGGAAACGTACTGGGAGCCAATGCAGGTCTTTCAGGACCAGTGTTATGTGGTCTCGGAGGTCACTCACAGTCACCAGTCTAGCTGCCGCATTCTGGATTAGCCACATCAAGGCATGGAGTGAAATACTAGCCTGCTTTCCCACTTTTATCAATGCCTGGTCCTCTTTCTGACTAGTCATTGCCCTCTGGCTCCACACCCCACCCTCCCCAACAAAGATCAGCCAAACACCATCTAGATGATGGTTAAGACATATAAATGGAAAGAGATCAGAATTTCCTCCACCACATCTGTGCCTAACACTTAAGCAAATTAGTATATTAAGAGAAAAGACAAGTGATATGCCAGCTCTTCTCCCCATGCCAGCTCCACCAGCACCAGCACCCAACTTTCCTCCTTCAAGCAGATGCCAGAGATTCAGTCTTCCTGCCTGAAGGATGCACTAACAAGTTCAGCCATTAGCTCACATCTCCTAACACCTTCACTATAGGGTTGCATCCCAAGCTGTCCATGTGAATGCAGAACAGAACTTTTAGTGTCCTCTTCTACCCCTGGAGTCCCCCAAATGGCCCCAAAAGTCCCCTCTACACAGGGGGCAGAACAAGAGGGTGAATCTCACTGTGCAAGTGGAAGTCCATTCATATGATACTGGGTTCCACCCAGAAACTACAACTTCTAATGAGGGGACTTCAATATTCCAGGTAACTGTTCTTTCTTCCCCCCCCCAAACCCCAAACCCACATTTCCTGTTTTCGTTCGTCAGACCTTGCTGAGACATTCCCAGTCAGATCTACAGAATGTTTAGATGGTGGAAATGGAAGGATTGCAGGTAAAATGGTAAAAGGATTACAACACAAGTCATGAATCAGGGGTGCAACATCCTAAGATACGGAAGTTCCTATAAAGCAAAGTTGGAGCACTGTTTTCTGGGAAATTTTCTGGGAAACGAGAAGTGATGGGAAGAGAATTTGTTTGGGCTTATGACAGTTTGCAAAATGATGCTTTGTTATGGATGTTTAAATAAGAAATAAACCTTCTTTGGTCCCAGCACTTGTGGTCAGCTGCCCAACGTTGCTTGCATATGCATAAATCAATATAAACAATACATTGCAAGGAACCACAGCTGCAGGGCTTGCTTTTTCTACTGTTCTAATTTGGTGTGTTCACTTCACAAATAATCCAATGAGAGATTTCCTCTTCTCTCAAGAGATAATTGGAGCCAAAAAGCCTGACTTGAGAAAACACATTTCAGCAGAAGACAGAATGTCATCGCCAAAAATGAGAAATTAGTAACAAATCCATATTTTACCAACCAGGCTTTTATTGTTTTTTTGCTTACACTCCCAACTGCATTTCCATCCTCCATGCCTCCCCACCACTTTCTCTCACCTCCAAACAGCACACTAGATATGCATTTCAAATTTGGGTACTGCAAGGTCCTCCAGATGTTTTTGGACTCAAATCCTATGTTGGCGAACAGTCAGTGATGATGGGACATGTAGTCCAGCAATATCTGGAAGGGCACAGACTTCCTGACCTTGGAGAAGGGTTTTTCCCACGTTGTGATTTTTGCATAGCACACACATACACCATGATTCACAATATATTGCCAGGTCAAGAACTATGAAACAGATCTCACGATATGGATTTCAAACCAGTTTTGGATGGTATATCAATGTATCACCCAGCCGTATTTGGGGGTAAAGCCAGTGATTAATTGTCAGGAATCAAGTCAAACCTTTTGAACAGCTTCCCCACCTCCAAGGCAGCAGTTAAGATGCTAAGTTTGATTTGCTGCTTAAAACAAAAAGCAGCAAGTAATCTCATTCATCTCTGACAGCCATTTATGCAACTAATTTTTTGCTGGTGATTGATATTAATGCATTTATATATTCCACTGGATCTTGTTTGAAAGAGCTGCTCTCAGCTGCTCTTTTTGTCCTCAAGCAAATGGGAGAGGTTTCACCCTCCTACGCATTGCCCCAAAACAGAAGTACCTTTTTTCTTTTTTCTTTTCTTTTAGCATTACACACAAGGGTGGCCAAGTGGATGTCAGTGACTGATGCAGCCAAAGCAAGCCTGATCTCTCCAGTCATGGGGCTGCTGGCCTGTTATTGGCTTTCAAATCTGTTTGACAATCCGGAGAACTGGCAAGCAATTTCATGTACATATACATTGCAGTCATCACTTCAGTTGACAAAATGATTTCCCCATTTCTTAATGAGGCAGCATGCAGCACACATTATATATAACGAGCGCTAGTCAAAGAAGCTCATGTTTCTTGGCACAAGGATTTTAAAATATTTTTTAAGGCCAGATACAACACATTAAACCCGGGAAACTGAGCCCAGCATTAAATTGTTTCGAGGGCAGCAGAACTCGGTGCTGAGAGTGCAAACATCACACAACAGAGCAACAGAGCTCCTCAATCATTTCAGACACCACACAGTGACAACAGGTAGCAGCCTTGGTTGCTTTCCAACCCTGTAATTAGGCTACAGGAATATATGGGACCTGGAATTTGTTGTGCTTTAAGGCCATATGGTTTGCTACCCAGCAGAGCTCTGGCCTATTTATTATCCCTTTGACTCACTGATCACCAGTCCTCGACAACAACAAAAGAACAAGGATGTTGGTTATCTTTCAGCACTAACTATCGGAAGCTGCAAAGCAGAATGTCCAGGCGCTAAATCCAGTACAGGAGATTTAAGTTTCTCATTTTAGCCTTCCATCTAAAAGGGCAAGCTGGACATTTCACACAGTTGCTGGACTGAATGATGTGCAGGTCTTGATGGTATTCTTGGATACAGCCAGCATTTTCAGCACAGGTGGCCTCTCATGCTCACAGAAATGTACGTGTGTATGAACGCAGTAATCCCCAAGATGTAGATGAATGCAGCCATTTTGATGGAGGAGAGGGCTTTGTTAGCAGCATACATACCCAGTCACTTCTTGTAAGTGTACAATCTCTCAAAATAAAGAGCATCTAGGAACAGCCTGAGACCTTTTGGCACCTGAAAAGAACAACAAAATGGTGCCTCCCTCCCCACCAAGGAAGAAGGGATGAGTTAAGATCTACATCAGATGCAAGAGGGGGTGGGAATAAGGCTCTACATTGTGTTCTGCTGCCCCTGTGGATCCTGCCACCTGAGGTGGTCACCTCACCTTGCCTCATGGGTGGACTGGCCCAGAGTACGATAGACTACACAAACACATAGGCTTGCTTCACAAGCCATCAGAACTGGCCTGTTAAGGTCTTGAAAGTGCCACACAACTGGTTCTAAAATCTGAACTATAGCTGCAAGGTGAAGGGAATTAGGATGGCAGTTGTACACATGAATACACACCTTCATTATTTGAGCATGTTATTCAGAAATGGCACATAATACAGACATCCAGATTTGACAAATGCAGCAGCTGAGACGGACCCAAAGAAAAAGTTATTTAGCTTCTGCTCATGCCTGAATAGGCCAAATAAGAATGCCCATTTTCCGCTCTTAATAACAGGTCTGCTAAAGAGCAAGAGTTGGGAAACATGGGTCTCTAATAAAGAGCTACTATCCCTGAACCACCAAGAGAAAAGCCTACGCAGAAAGTTTTCATCATCATTTTTACGCTACTCAGCAACGTTCCATTTCACTGACGGCCCCAGAGTCTCACCACAAGTCAGAGCCATGGGTGGACTCACCAGCCAAATATGTCCGCTCCGGCGCATGCTCAACTTCGGGGGTGGGGGGTTGGGGTGGGAAGAATCAACTCCTCAACAGGTGAGGCTGTGAAACATGATCAGGGAAGACAAAGCAGTTCCCGTCAGCGCCGTGCTGGGAAGAACGCATCATTTGCGCCGCACTGGGAGACATGCTTGAAACAGTAGTGCACTGAAATCTCAGCAACACGAAATAATCTTTGCCATCTGTCTGAACAACTCAACGCTCCTGTTGCAATCTGAAGGAAGGCTCCCAGAGAAACACAAGGGCCTTGCTGATGGATCACAAGAGCCCGTCCCTCCTTTGGGGGCCATTTTCCTCATAACTTCATGCTGCGACTAAGACCTTGTGATTTGGGGCCTGCTGGAATCAAACTGGAAGGCATTATGTGCCTTGGAGAGTGGATGAAAAAGAGTAGGGAGACCCCCATCTTGAATTGTGCTAGGCTCTTGTCTCCAAAGAGCTTCATTCATTCAAGAGGCTGTAAGTATATTCTGAAGTAGAAGTGAAGAGCCCCTGAAGCTGATGCAGCATGAAATCAGATACAAAACTTTGCTCTACGGTTTGTTTCAGGGAACAGAGTTGGACAAAGTTCGGAATGTTAAAACAGTGTCTACAATTCCACTCAATCATTTTTCAAAAATGAAGAAGGCCAGCTTTTCAGTTCAAGTATTATTATTTTTTTTGGATGGGGGAGCTGTTATAAGAAATCCATTATTATTATTATTATTATTATTATTATTATTATTATTATTATACTGCCTTTCCTCCCAAAGGAGCCCAGGGTGGCAAACAAACCCTCAATTCTTTTACAAAGCATTCTTATACCAAGTTCCTTCTGTGGTTTTATTCCCAGTCCAAGGGCTTAACAAACATGTACATCAATTACTTATAGGTCCCAATGTTATCTAAGCACCAATCCCAGAAGCAGCCCCAGAGTTCATGTTGCCAGATTTCAAGGGAGTAATTGATAGGTTTTTCCCTGATGTGATATGTCAGCATCCTACCAGTCTGACACCATATTAATCTCCAGCCCAATACACTGAGAACAGGGGTGCTTCATGGCTACCACTACCAGTCTTCCCAAATCGAGGAACAGACAGTGTGTACAAATACAACTCTGCAAGCATGTATCCGTCCACAGACTTAGCTTACTAGACCAAGGTTTAAAGTAGGAAAGGGTAGTACGTTCAGAATTCTCAAGGGGGGTGTGGAAAGTTACCATTGCCACCAGAAATGTGACAACAGAAGGTTCCCTATGGAATTAATTGCGGTGGAGAAGAAAATACAGGTCTACAACTAATGTTGTGAAGACACTATAACTTGAAAACACATTAGCAGCACATTTCTCTTTAAAAAAATATAACTGGGCATTGTAGTTTGTTAAGGGTTGCTGTGAATTGTAACTCTGTGGTAGATAAACTACAGCACCCATAATTCTTTGAGGGAAAGAATGTGCTTTAAAGGTATAGTGTGTATAAAACCCAAGTCTCTGGGCCCTTCTTCTATTTGTCTAAGATGCACAAGCAACCTTCATTTGGACGCAGGGGAGGAGGGGCAGTTCTCTCCACCCCAAAAGAATGCTTGCCTCCTACTAAAGAATCTCAGTATTGGAGGGTGGGACTAGCTTAGGACACCAGGAGTTTTATAAGTCATAAGGGTCACAACTTCAGCAAAGCATCCAACACAGAGAACAATGAGCTCTTTTCCATTCTCTCCCACATATTTGCTAATCAACCTGGGAGCCATATGGAAAATCTAACAAGCACGATAGGAAGGCAGACAGGATCAATTCCCGTTACTGAAAAATGGCATCCAACATTTGACCAAAGACTACTGGGATACTTTATCTTATCATATGTTCTTGCTTTAGCATTTGACTAAAATTTGGCAGTTCTCAGAAGTCAATGTCTAGGTGTTGTTGTTTTTACTCATTAGGAATCAAGCATCGGCATTCTAGGCACTGCTTCCACAGCCAGACATTTCTATCTACAGTAAGTAGAAAGAATTTCCAATTTCTAAACAGATAAGGAGAGGCACAAGGCCCAAAAACCAGAAACCACGCAGCCACACATAAGGACACACACAGACCACCTTCCCTCAAAGTTTACACCATTTGGTACAAAAATTCTCAAGATGTACAGATTGTGTAGTTTGCTATACTCTTAAAAGGCCAAACAGCATTGCACATTAGCCATTTTCACAGTGCAAAAACTTGCACTCACAAGTTTGGTAAGAGGTTGGTAGACTGTGTGTGTGCATATTTCAGAAAGTTACCCACATCTCCAATTTTCACAACTGCTGCCACCCCCAAAAAAATTATCTTATCATCTTATCTTATCTTATCTTATATCTTAGGGTAACATAGCGATGGGGAAGTTAGGTTGAAAGCATTGTTCAAATACCAGGAAAGTTATTCTGAAGGTTTTAAGAAGCCTTTGATTGCATAAAGAAAGTCTTTGCATCCTTCAAGCTTGGCTGCAAAAAGGGCCATTTTCTCCCACTCAGCTTTTGTCCACAAGGATTCCAGAGTCAGTGCCGAAGAGAGAGAGAAAACCCAGGAACTCTAGTGCTTGTAACTATTTAGCATTAATAGCGGGATCCAGTTTCCTTTCCTTTCCTGCCGAAACATTTCTGTTTGAAGCCACTAAACAGAAATAGTATGTTCCAAAGACCTTCAGCTATCAGGCGGCTGGTTGTTGTTTTTTGTTGGGTTTTTTTTGGTGTTTTTTTTTGGAGTTGTGCAACAAAAGCAGACATATTTTCAAAAAGAAACTTGCACTAGAATCATTGCCTGAAGTGTAAAGTTCAGCAATCTCTTCCCATTAGAAACAACTGAGCAGAGAGAGATCGGGGTGGCATAAGATTTTAAGATCAAAAACAAAATTATTCTAGTTTAGCAATTGCGTACATATTACAAATGCAAAATAAAGGTAGGGGTGTGTGTTTTACCATTTAACCGATTCAGACTAAAGTTGTGCACAAGTCAGAATACAAAAATGCATTCGGGTCTGAAATTTCTTGCTTGGAAACACATGTGCACTTATCTGGGGTAGGTACAAATGAGCACAGCAGGGATCACCTTTGAGCATCCATGCAATCCTAAACACACTTAGTAGAGTAGCACCACAATCCACACAGGTCAAGATCAGTAGGGCTTAATCCCAGGTAAGCACATTTAGGACTGCAACTTCAGTTTAATTAACTCCGTAAATGTGCTTAGGCTTGCACAACTTCATGACAACATTTGTCAGAATACCACAGGATGTTCTTCAGAGGTCCCACTATGCTCCATGTTCTGAAATAAGCCAAATCCAAAATAGATACCTCATAGTCTTAAGATTATTATAATCACCATGATCTTTGCTTGGAGCCCCATATCTGTAACTGCATAATTACTAGCTTCACAGAAGTAGTTTTTTCCAGGAGGAAAACTGCTTGCATGTCTGCTGAATTGGCCCTTAGACTAATAGATACATTAATTAAAAAAAGAGGCATTTTATTCTGGTGAATCATTTAAGCGTAAGTAGTGTGGTTCTGCTAGTGCAGGCAATCCCATCCCTAAAGCAAAGTGTTCTCTTAAATATTGACTTATTCCACTTACTGGATCTGGGAATCTCATTTGCAATTAGCTGCGTACCCATTCTTTACATGGGAAGGATTAATCAACCATTTTACAGTCTAATTTAGGTCGCTAATTTAATACAGAACTCAAGATGCTTTAACATAATTTCGCTAATAAAACCATGACAGCCAGTTCTTTAGCCAGCCACACATAGTTCTTTTTAAAATGCTATGGATGCTATTGAGGATCAAACTTTTCCAAAAATAGCTAAAGAGATGCTGCAGATATTGAACACTTTCTCTTCTCAGTTTTACCCTGTTTAGCTATTGCTAACTCAAGAGCCATATATAGAGTTGCTTGCTGCCTTTGCCTAAGCAAAGTTAGAGATAATGCTGCTGTTTAGATCTCAGGAGCATTTCCATTTGAGATTACTGTTAACATTTTAACTCAGAAATTAAGGTGTAATTCAGTACACACTTATTGAGGAATAAATACCACTGAATGCAACAAGGCTTACTTCTGAGCAGATATGTATGTCTGCACTGTCTGAGGCTGAAAATGTTTTAGGGGTGTTATAGTGTCCCCCCCCCCAAGTCAGTTTTGATACTGCACATATGGAAGCTTGCTTGCTTTAAAACACACAACCTTTTCTCAATAGTTCAAGGTGGCTAACCTTGAAGTTAATCATAGATAACATTGAAAGCCTTGCAGTCAATATGAACAGAAAATCCCAAGGAGTCATTTCCTCCACTTCCCTTTAAGAGCCAACTGTTGACTAATTTGGGGGTGCTTAACTGATCAGACACACACAACCCCTACAATGCCTTGTTAATTTTCACCAGACGCAGGGTCTTCCATAAGAATTTTTAAAAATAGTTTTTTTAAAAAATAAATCTCCAAAATCCACAGCAATACCTTTAAGTAGGACCAACCAAAGTATCACAAAATTTTCACTTGGAAATTAGTTTGAATGATGACAGAAAATGTGATAAAATGAATAAAAAAAATGTAAAAGCCTGTCATGGCAGTAACCAACCATCCTCATCAAAAATTGTAGATTTCAAATAGTCCAAGTGGCAGATCTCCTGCTGAAACATATCGCAAAAGAGGTGAATTTGCTGACGATGAACACATGCATCTCCCTTCAGAGGCGAGCCTTTTGATAAAAAATAATATCCTAAACTAGTCCCTAATCCTGGTCACACTTGTGCCTAAATGGCTTCCTCGTGATGAGTTAGCTGCAAAAAAACTCATAGCCTTTGCAGAATTTGAAAAAAAGACTTCTCATTTACTTCAATGGCTATATTACTGCAGTTTTCTCTTCCCCATAAAATCAAGTAAGTTGAATTAAGATTTGTGGCCATTGTCTCAGTAATAATGTAATTGTGCCATAACCCAAAACTTGAGCAAATTCAGCTATCAGAGCAGAGATAGGGTGGAGGGGTCCCATAAAAATGTAACCTATAGACTTACAATGGTCTGGTGTCAATCCAATAAAGTGGGGAAATAGAAGCCATTCAAATCCAAAATAAAATTCAGTAGTAAACAAAGATCTTTAGGAAAAGTCAGTATGGTTCTACTAACATGCTGTCACATTACGTATCACCAACTCTGAAGTTGCTTTGGAAACGTGGAGAAAGATAGCGTTCAAAATCATACGTCAGTTCAAGCACTTGGCAGTGGAGTTTTTACGAAGTTGAAGTCCTATATACTTTACTTTTAGGAAAGATTTCCAGTTAATTGAAATGGGGCTTTCTTTTCTTTTCTTTTTTGAAAGGGAGGTGCCTACTTTTGAAAAGGCACACATAGTAGTTTAGTTTCTGTTAATATTTGGTTGCTGAAGGGAAGGGACATGGTTCTGTTTAAGAAAGCATTGTTTACAACAGTAAGTTATACTCTAAACGCCCTTTCTTGAAGGGGGGGTGCTGCTGAGTGAAATTAAAACCTACATTTAATTGATTGCAACTGTTAAAGTATTTTAAAGCAGAAATCATTAATCTGCCACTCAGGCTCTTGCCTCCGTTATAGATCCCTCCCAAATCTATTCTTGTTTACGTATCATGGCTTCCACTCATAAGTCACAGTCCCCAGCTGAACTACCATAAGGCAATTTAGTCTTATTAAAACAGGACTAACACCCCAATCCAAGAGCTCGTTAAAATCATATAGGAGACTAAGATGGTTTAGTTTCAATAATAATCAAATTGAAGTAACTCAGCTGAAAAATGGTTTGCCGTTGCTGCACGGGCAGTTTGTGTCACGTGACAACTTCACAGCAGCTTGAATTGTTTGTGAGAGAACCAAGCTATTTCTCAGAGTTTTCGTGGACAGTGATTTAACAAAACAAAGCCCACTATTAAAGCAGCATGTTGTGCACTGCAGCTGAAATCAAGCTGCCCTTAATAATTCAGCTTCAACTCAAAGCAGTGCTAAGCTGGAGTCTCTCTTTATTTTCCAAAAAAAGGGGAAAAAATGTTCCTAGGAAAATGTACACCTCAATTCAAAAGAACAAGTTTGTGTATATTGGTTTAGCTTAAGAAACTATCATTTGCCTAACTACACATTGATTTTTCTCTTGCACAGAAGTCCTTCCTTTAAATAGCAGCAGATTGACTATTTGGCAAGGGGGGGTGTAGAAGGGCTCAGTTGGGCCTTAATTAGGAAAACTGTTACATCCCTGTTAAATAATAGCCACCAGCCAGATCAGCACCTGTAACTATTGCCATTTCAACATGTCATCTCCTTTAAGGCAACATTGTCCCAGCTGACATAAAAGTGGCTTCAACTAAGCTTGGATACTATATGCAAGGCTGCCAGTCTTAAAAAGACATGCTGCTACATACAGTGCTATTTTTATGCCCGTCTACTCTGGAGGAATCCCCAACAAATCCAAAGTGACTTACTCCCAAGTAACTGCGCATACACTGAGCCAGTCTCAAAGAGAAAAAGTTGACCAGAGAGAGAGAGAGGAAATAAAAGGAGTAAAATAGCAGGATTGTCCTGAATATGCCAAGCAAGTAGAATCTCATGCTCCATGGCTTGTGTGGCTGGAGGGAGGAAGAGAGGAAAGCTCATAAACCCAGTGCTAAACCTATTTCAGTTTCCTCAAGGATGCTGGAATATTATTCTAGGCAATTAAGGTGGTCATATGTTTGGTTCCCATTCTTTCAACTAGCATCTTTCCAAGGCCTGCAACAATTGGACATCCAGCTAATCTGCATAATTCATATTTGCATAACCTGCAAACTTTTCCGATCAAGTCACTGGCACTCCAGACTGTCTGCGCTTATCTAGCAAGGCCCAGCTTTTTAAAAACCATCCTGAAAATAAGACTGGCACCGACAAAAGTGCGGACATGCACATTTGATCAAAAGGTGGTTGCATCAGCCAAAATCATGCCAAATGCCAAATAAAACTCCTGTGAAGTTGGGGTTCAATGGGAGGTAATCGTTACTTTAAATTAGTTACATTAATAAGGCTGTGAATGACAAACAGCACAGACCTTCTTCCCAGCCACCTTACGTGTTAATGCTTTTGAGTTTCATTGTTTAACAAAACTGCACATCAAATGCACACCTTTAAGCATGTGGCTTTCCAGTGATTAAGTTTCCCCCAAAAAAATACTTAAACCACTTAGGCAAAGTTGAGGAAGAGTTTTAAATGCAGGCTCCCATTCCATCCACCCAACCCGCAACTTCTAAGCAAGTTGAAAATTCCCCCCTAGTTTGGCCTTTAGTAACACTTAATGGTTTTCGTCTTCCTGACAGCTCTGCTCATTAGCTAGCAGTAGTTTGGGGAGGATCTTTTAGAAAACCTTGAAGGCCGTCATCCTGGATAACAGAGATCCGGCTCTTCACAGCCTCGGCTAACAAAATTAGCACTAGCCTCCCTAATCAAAGGCTGTGGCGCTGGGCTGTGGGAGTGACAAAGGAGAGCCGGGGAGGAAGGAGCCGGGAAGACGGGGACAAGCACAGCCTGCCTACCAAACAAGCGACTTGATCCTCCTGCCAGAGCAGAAGGCAGGAAGCCCTTGGTTTGCTTTCGCACTCTTGCTTACTTGGCCCACAATTCCTCCAAGAAGCATTTGTGTGACCCTAAATGAGCGAAAAAGCTTGGCGTCTCCAAATACGTTTATATTGTGTCTTTCCATTTTACTTTAAAAACAAATACATCTCAAATTTCCTTTACTGAAAGCAACAGCTACATCTATTGATTGGTACACGTTAAATTGTTGCCACTGTTCTGGCTCTTCCTTAATCAAACCCTTCTTCCCTGTGAGATGTTTTAAATTGTGTCCTATTTAAAACAGAATATTCAAAAAACAAAAAACAAAAAACCATAAACAGCAACTCGGCCATGTGCTTAGCATAGCAGAGGTTTGGATTTTGTATTTGTAATTTTCCCATCTCCCTGCACAGATTCACTCAAAGTTCTGCAAGCTGGTTTTTTTTTGGGGGGGGGGGTGGAAGTGGAAGTCACCTGACTGAGTGCAGGGCTTGGAATGTAAAATCAAAACCATTTTTATTTATAACAGACAAGGCTCTCCCTCCAAGTTATCACCACCCTATAAATCAATGGACACCTCGACTGTACAAGGATTCATTTTCATGCCCTGACACATGTTGCACAGACGACGACCGCATCCCATTACAGATGCATCTGAGGCTTCTCTTGGCAGGTCTGCAGTCAGTCCCCGTGAAGTGCAGAAGGTCAGCGGACAGATCCGTTTAAAAACTGCAGGGTGCTGTTTTTTTAATCGCACCATCTCCCCCTCTCCCATGCATCTGAAGGAGATGAGAGAATCACCTGCCGCTGGCTTGATAACTGGTGTCTACAGCACTTTCCCCAAAAAGGTAGCGGAGGATTTCTGCCCCCCCCCCCGCAAATAAAATTCTCCCCTTTAGCAGGAGGACGGAGAGATCAAGCTCGCAAGTCAAACCACACAGGCTGATCTTAGACCCGCTTAAGAAAATCCGTTGCCTAAGATCTTTCGTTCCACTCTCTGCTCTCGTTTTGAACTCGATTATTTTTTCCTGCATGCCCTCAATAGGACATTTTGATTTAAAACTTTCCCCCTTTTTTCCTCTCTAAAGAGTTATTTCAAAGAGAAGTCCATCGGCCAAGGACCGAGAAATGTGAAGCGCAAAAGAAGCTGCAGTTGAAAATGACAAGGAAGAGGGCGCGCAGGAGACGGAGTGGAGCCGCCGCTGTCTAGAGTGGGAAGGCAACTCTCTTTCTCCCAGTCCTGCAGAACTTAAACTCGGCGAGAGCGGGTGGGTATGACCGCTACTACGAGGCCTTAAAACCATCCTCGCACCCCCAGAGGACGCGTGAAACTGCCCAGAGGACTCCACAACCATGCCAGATCTATTTGTCGTTTTAAATCCCAGGAGCCTTAAAAAGCACCCCATGGAGACGCGTTTGCTCCACAAATCAGGTCTAGGAAAGTTATGGAAGCTTAACTTTCATTAGTGTTTGCCGAGATTCAGTCGGCACAGCAGATCGCCGGGTTCCCGTGTCAAAATATTAAGAATCCCGAGCGGGCTGGCGGAGCAGGAGCTGCAGTGCTCCCTTTCGCCCAACAGAGCTCACTACCTCTCCGCGCACGGCCGGCGCCTCCTTGCACTGCCTTCAAACTCGCTCGCCGGCGCGCTGCTCAGATACACACGGACCTCACTGCCGTGTGAATGGGGCTGCGGGCTTTTTAGAGAGAGAGGGAATGGGGTAGATCTAGAGCGAGTTCGGCTACGGCGCTTGAAACCGATTTGGAAGCGGGGGAAAGTTTCCCTTCCTGGCCCTCGGCTCCCACCCGCTACCCTCCCAATACGCGCGCACACAAACAGCCCGCAATACAAACGCCTAGCGGAATTAATCCACGCCGGGGCTCCTGGGAACAATAACTGCAGGGCAGCCGAGTCTCACCCCGTCCATCATGAGGGTCACGGACACTTGATGCCTACACTGGAGGCCGCGCGGGGAGACCTTGGAGAGGCCACCGGAGCCTCGAAACAACACGGCTTGGAGAGGACCCTCGAGGCGGCGTGTGGGCAGGCCCATTTATAGGCTCCAAAGGCGGCTCGGCCAGTGGCCTCCCTTGCTTACTTCCCACCTTGACCCACGCCAGTTAATTCCCGCTTCCATCCACATCCACAGTCCCGGACACATTTTAAACGCATCCCTCTTTCCGGGAAGGGAAAGCGGGGAGAAGGGGGACCCCTCGAACAAGTCGCGTCTAAACCCGTTACTTGGGAGTCAAGGCTACTCAAACTCCTAAGAGCTTCAGAGGTGGCTTTAATCGCGCGTAATGTTGGTGCAGTGGAAAAGCAGGGCGATTCGGCCCGGGTCTCTCTCTTACCTTACCCGCTTAACTCCTACCCATCAACACCCAGTAAAAGCCCTGTGTGGTTTGGGGGTGAAGTAACCAGTAAACTGCTAGAGAGTTAAGCGAGTCGCATTATCCCTAGGAGTGGGGCAGAGAGAAATATCCCACTTTGGGTCGATGGAGACACGTGGACGGGTTGCCGTCCATTCACACCCTGGTGGGGTCGCGGGGTCTCCGGTGGAGGCGGGCTACGCCTTCTGACCGGCTTCTAACGGCTCGCCCCCGACGAAGGGGGCGCCAGGCTATGCTAAAGGTCCGGGACGCTCTCCCCAAGGCTGGGCGTACCTGTACCAGGTGAGTCCCCGCTCGTAGTTGCGGTCGAAGAAGTGGGGCTCGGCGCCCACGGCCCTCACGTCGGGGTGCACCCGCAGGAACTCAAGCAGCGCCCTAGTGCCGCCCTTCTTCACGCCGATGATCACCGCCTGGGGCAGCCGCTTGGTGCCGGAGCCGTTGAGGAAGCTGGAGATGGGGCTGAGAGGAGAATCCGCGGCAGCGCCGCCGTTGCTGTTGTTATCCCCCCCGTCGTCGTCGTCGTCGTCGTCCTCGTCGTTGTTCTCCTGCTCGGGGCTCAGCTGGCCCTTGGAGCCCGGCGCCCGCAGCAGCAGCAGCTTGGAGAGCGCGGCGGGGTTGTGCGCCCGCCGGGCAGGAGGCGCCGAGCCGCGCAGCAGCAGCAGACCCGGCGCGGCGGAGGCGCACGCCCCGGCGGCGCACGAATAGAGCACGCAGAGCCACAAGGCGAGCATGGCGAAGAGCAGCAGCGCGAGCAGCCTCCTCCGCCCCGGCGGGGGAAGCAGCGGCGGCGAGGCAGGGGCGCCGGGGGCATCGGGGGGCAGGCGGGCGCCGCCGTTCAGGCGCAGCTGGCCCATAGGCTGCAGCCCGCGGGAGGCAACCCCGGCACCATGGCTCGCGGGGCCCGGACGGCGAGGCGAGCGCTGGAGGCGGGGGGGGGGGGCGAGGCGGCAGCAGCAGCAGCGCTCGCTCGCTTCCCGTCTAGTCCCGCTCGCGGTTGCAGCGAGTGGCGAGCGCAGCAGCGCTTCTTGGCCGGCCAGGCTGGAGCGCGGGAGGGCGGAGAGCAGGCGCGCCTGACTGGCACCCCTCGGAGCCTATAAGAGCCGCTCGCCGCATGGTAATTAGCCCCCTTTGGTGGAGCAAAGGCAGCCAATGGCTAACCGCGCCGCCCCCGTGGGCGGGGAGCGGGGAACTGCGGGAGGCGATTAGCCATTCTTATTGGCTAATGAGCCGTTAAAGAGCCCGCGGCAGAGGGAAGCGGAGAGGGGGCCGCCGAGGCTGGCGAGCTGCTTCCGAGGCGGCTTCGCTGCAGACCAGACCAGACCGCCCCGTCGGGCAGGCCGTGGTTTCCACGCGCCCGCCCCGTCCCGGCTGCAGAGATGCGCTTACGGTGAAGAAGCAGCCAACGTGGCCTGGAGGCGTCGGAGACTGCGGAGTAAAGAGGGTTCTTCGAGTAACGCATAGAATTTAGAGTTGGAAGGGACCACGCAGGTCATCTAGTTCAACCCCCTGCAATGCAGGAATCTTTTCTCCCACGTGAAGCTCGAACCCACGACCCTGAGATCTCCTGACTGAGCTAACTCGAGGGAACCTCGTGAACAAGTGCAATTGACCAAAGGATGGGGAGAAGTCTCTTAGACGGGGGCGGGATGGCTTTTCAGGCAGCTGCCCAGTGAACGCTGCTTCCCCTCTCATCTTCCTTGCGGGAAGTAAGAGCTCTAGCAAAACAGCACGCTGGTTTCTTTTCCCGCACGCACCAGCACCATCCAGACCTCCACATACACACATGCACACACACACACACACACACACACACACACACACACACACGCATATTATGTGGCTTAAAGGCTGCTGAAACCCAAAGCATACCAGTGGCATATAATTTGAGTAACCGTCTAACCGGGTTTGGGAGGGAGGTGCGGTCAAGATCGCTTAAGGCCGCTCGTTACCGCTCAGTGACTCAGGGGCACGTCGAATAAACCAGCACGAAATCGTGGGGCTTAGTTAGCTTCATCTCACGTTGGTCAAAGAGCCGGAAACGGCGAGATTTGGGGCCTGCGGGTGGGGTGAGGTGGAGATTCGGATTAGTAAAGGGAATCGAAGCAACCTGCTCCGGATTCACGGAGTAGGAGCGCAAATGCGCGGCCTTCTAGTACACGAGGTACCACTGACAGCAGCGTGTAAGGTGATGCTGTCACACTTAGGCCCTTGTCTCAGTGGGGCCGCGCGCTCCTGCTCCGCCTGTCCAGCCGCTTCAGCGCTCCGCTCCCATCTCAAACTGCGACACCTTCTGTCCTCCTGCAGCCGTCCTGTGTAGCCCTGTCCCGGCAAACAAAGACCCCCTTTGCCGACTGTCTCCACCTCCATCCTTCTCTCTACCTCGGTCCTCGAATCACTTCGAAACTGGGCCCCGTTTGTTTACACTCAGGGTAGCCATCCCATGATGCTAAGAAAGGGGGTTGTGCTCTTGTTAATACGGAGGTGACGATCGTCTCGAAAATGGAAATAAGAACTTAGTTTCGAATCTGTTCTGAGGAGGAGGAGAAGAAGAGGAGGAGGAGGAAGAAGAAAATGCTAGAAATTTTCTAAAAAAGCGGGTTAAGCGCATCAAAGTCTGACCGACTGGTCTGCTGGAGGGTCTTGCTTCGTTCTTTGGGAGGATATTCGAGGGATGCCACCCTTTCTGGGTCCTGTCCCTTGGCTTTCCCATCCAAACTTCTTGAAGTCCTCCCCCCCCCCACAGGAGCACTGGGAAGAAGGCCTCGCCGCTGCCCCCCATCCTCCCTCCCTCCTTGGGGCAATGAATGGCCCTCTTCCCCATCCTCATCCCTCTTCCGACTCCCCGCAAGGACTCCCTCTCCAGTCCACAGACAATGGCTTGTGCCAGACCTGAGAATGAAAACTTCGTGAAATGATTGTGGGGCGGGGGGGGACTTGATTCTCCAGAGCGCGCCTGCCTCCCGATCGGTCTTCCCCTGGCAAACGATCCCTCAGATCCTCCCGTGTCCCCGAGCTATTTCCTCTCGAGTAGCACGACTCCCAATGCATGACGTCTCTTGAAGAAGTCGGATACAGACATTGGCTGCCCGCAGCATCGTTGCCTGTCTGCCAGGCTTCCAGCGTCTTCCTGGGAGATCCAGGGAAGGCGGGGAGCGGGGGTGGGGGTGTCGGTGGGAATCGTCCGGTTTCTCTTCCATTTCCTGTAACTCCCACTCTCCCACACCCCCAAGGAACTCGGCCCTTTTCTGTCATCCTCGGATCGCGGGGACTGCGCGGGGGCGGCTCTTTCGCACATCCTGGGAGGAGGGAGGCAAGCCCCCACGGCCACGAGGAAGGAGATTTGGAAGGTGGCAGATGCTGGGTTCAAACGAACAGCAGGAAGAGCCCCGAAGACGTGACGGGCTTTAGGTTGGCCCGGAACTGAAAAGTAGCAAAAAATCACCTCAAACACCGACAGCGCTCGCCTTAGCTCTAAGTGCGTCACGATCCCATTGTCATTCTTACCGAACAAATCACTGCAGGACGCCAACTGATTCACAAAGTCAAGTTACTTTTAAAGTTTCACTGCAATCCTAGGCAAAGTTAGAAGCAGAACCGTAGTGAAATGAAGGCATGCATAGCTGTGTGAGACTAGTTTCCACACCCAACGCTTCTGGAGCTGCTTCGCCCTTGTTTTTTTGCCACGTGCGGACCTTATTCAAAACCCCTTTCTGGTGGGACTTTAGCTTTACGAAGATGCCCCAAATTTATGCGTGTGTGTGTGCCCCCTTCTTAAGTAAAATAAAAAAAAACACAACAACACCCTTACTATTTAGTGTGCCTATTTCCAGATAAAAAGGCGCGAGCAAATCGAACGTACAGAACATGGAAACGTCGGTGACACGGGACGGACATGCGGTATAGCTGGTTTCGTGTGAAGCCGCGCCTTTGCCGCGGGAGTTTCCAAGCACTTTCAGCAGAGTGCCTCGGGGGTAAAACCGCGAGGCTTCCTCCCAAGCAGCTCGTTTTGCTCAAATCATACTTTGAGTAAAGTAGTTCGGCTTGACTGAGGGGGACAGTAGGATTTTCCAGCCATGACGGTTTACTTCTGAACTCGGAGGTGGAGATCTTCCACTGAAAAGTCAACTAGGAACTAGTGAGCCGAAGAATTCGAACTGTCAATACTTAGGAGTAATATCGGCCCAATTTAAATCTCATTTGCTCATGTGCTTCTTTAGAACTGGCGTCCAAAATAACAAGGAAGGGGTGCGGGAAATTGTCAAGGTGTGTTAATTGATCCTTGTTTTTATTATTTGTATTATTGTAGCATTATTTGGTTTATTCGAAATGGAGGGAGGAATATCAGAAAGTGGAAAACTTTTACAAGGAAGAAAAAACAACTCTTATTTTTATTTTTATTTCTGCCCCTGTGGCGTCTTCCAGCGTTGGGACTTAAATCACTCCAGAACATTTTCTATGCTGCCGAAGGGATAAGGAGAGACAGCTAGAAAAAAAGAAAGGAGTCTTTCTGTTCTAGAGGGGCAGAAAGTTTTCTGTTCTTTGAGCCCAACTCCTGGAAATAATTTGGATTTTATTTTATTTATATTTACTGCCCTCTTTCTTGGTCAGGTCCTAGAAGTCCCAATTTCCCTCATATTCAACTGTCATGTACAATCTAGCTTCTGTTCTAAGCGGCATATGTGTTACACAAGCACACACACCCAAGTTTACTGCAAAAAGATATTCGATAGTCCCCAACGAAGTCACCGGGACTTGCTTCCGAGTAAACATGGTTAGGATCCTGTAGCTAGCCGAACTTGGGCCGGATCCTAAGGACACCGGCCTCCCCATCATTGCCACGTTTTCCCGGAAACAAATTCCCGTGAGCTCAACAGGGCTTTCTTTACTTCAGAGGGGAGAAAAATTAACGTCCGCTTTGCAGCCACGTCCACTGGAGTCGGAAGGATTTTCTCAGTAAAGGCGCTTAAAATGTGAAGAAGGGGCTGTGTAAGCCGTCCAAATTCTCTCGCGCAGGAGGACACGCAGTTGTCTAATAGATTTCAGCGTCCGGGCTGAAAGTGTGGGGGGGGGGAGAGAGCTCACGTCGAAGTGTGAAGGTTCCCGCTCCCCATGTCTTCCTTGTTTCGCGGGGCGGGAAGGGACAGGCTTAAAAGCTAGGGGCAGTACAACCGATATAATTCGGATCCGCTTCAAACCAGTGTCAATGGATTTCTTGTCAAGGGGGAAAGACTGCATCGCGTCGATAGTGGCGCAACTTGCCTTCGGGGGTGGGGGACGTCTTCGCTTCCGATTTGGGGACATGATTCCAGAGCCCCCCACGCAGTAGGATGAGCAGAAAGCCCCCCAACTACATTTTGAGGTATAGAGAGGTGGGGTAGGAATAAGAGACCATTAAGACGAAAGTCACCTCATTGCCTCACAGGGCCTTCGCGGAGGACAAAAATGCAAAAAAATTAAAAATTAGTGAAATCAATGTAAAGAAATAATAGCCTTCTCTCCGCTTATTTTTCTTCTTCTCAAAAAGTCAGTTGACTGCTAGATGAGACTCGGGGAAAAATCCCCGAAAACGATCCCGTGGTTACCGCTGGTGTGGAAGCGAAACGAAGCCGAATCGGATTCTATTTAAATAGCAGTCTGCTGCAAGCTCCCAGAGAACATTAAAATGAAGACAATAAATGCGCCGAAGGGAGCGAGCGGGAAGGGGTGTGTGGACACGTAGAGGGGATTTGAATCACATTGGAAGGGAAATTCAGTTCCCTGTGATCCGAATCTTCTGTGGTGGCAACATGAAAAATGACAGAAGGCTCCCCGCAAGTTTTCAGAGGAAGAGAAAAGTTTCTTTCTCCCCTCCGTCAACCCTCTTTTTGGAGTGAAAGAAATTTTATGGGTCGCCAAAGCTTGGAGAGAGGGGGGCAAGCGTGAACTTTCCAACTGAGTCGACAAAAGCTGGTAATCACGAACAGACTCTCTCAAATGAAAACCCCAGCGAAGTGAAGTTCTTTCAGGATATTCTAACGATTTCAGTCTTGAAAAGAAATTGCAAGAGTGCGCTCTGGAATGAAGAAACCAATCCTTGTTTCCCCGCACCTCCAAATACCACACACCAATCTTTCGCTCAATTTAACTCCATTCTCAAGATGCCCCAAAGGTGTTCCTAATTTTCACATTAGCTGCAATCCTCAGCGTATTAGCCCAGCCCTAAATCCCACTATCTCAATGGGATTTGACTCCCCAGCCGTGGCGATCGGAATTGCAGCTCTGGTTCGCTCCCCTCCCCAGCCTGCTTAGGAGAAAAAACACTTCGCTTTCTTTCGAGGAATGGGAAGAGATTTGTATTTCATTGTCCAGCAGTCCTCAGTTTCTCAGGAACGTGACAATAATCCTTTAAAAGTGGGGGGATGGCGAAAGAAGCATCTCCACTCAAAGAACACAAGGGGATGAGGAGCCCCAGAAGATCACTATTCATTAAGATCCTTTCAAATGAGGAGATCAAAGAGAAATGGAATCCGTTGATCCAAATCTGCACAGCTCCCTCACTCATAAGGACACCGAGAGTCTCCTTGCCTAATCTTGCTTCTTCCCTTCCGGGGCAACTGACTTTTAATTTCTTGGGGTTTTTCGAAGGAAACGACTGAGAAATTCCTCTCCTCTCTCTCTCTCTCTCTCTCTCTCTCTCTCTCTCTCTCTGACTTCATTTTTATAATACTGAGCCTGTGGAAAAAGCTGTGTGTGTGTGTGTGTGTGTGTGTGTGTGTGTGTGTGAAAGAGAGAGCATGTTTGAGTGCGGGGTGAATGTATGAAAGACTTGCAGGTATTCAGAATCGACATTTGGGCGTCAGGGATGCGTCTGGATACGCAAAAGGGTTTGCGCACAAGTTTGTGCAAAACTTCGTCGGCATTGGAGGGACTCTGTGCAAAATAAAGGGCCATTCTATACACGCACTTTATGGGGTTGTTGCTGTTTTCGATGTTTTGGCGTGTTGCCACACGACGTCGTCATTATTCCGCTACTATTCCGGAATATCTTCCTCAAAAGGACGCTTTTTCTTCCCTCCCCGCCATTTGACATCTGTCAAAGATCTGGAACGGATCCTCAATATTTTCTTTAGCGTGGCATGTGCACAAGCACCAGCTCACTTTCTGTGGGGAAAATGGATGGGTGGGTGTGGTTTCCAGTCGTCTGTTTTGCACTACTTTCCTTTGCCAGAACTTCAGTTGGGAGGAGAGACATGGCAGGTAGGGAAGGGCGTTCGGGGATTAGCTCAAGAGGACATTTCTTCTAACCTCCCATGCGGTTAGAATTCCAGTAATACTAGGCATTATATATAAGCAAAGCATAAAACGCCCAACAATGCTAAAAAGTTATTCCCACGAAATGCTCATAGCTCCTGCTGGCTGGAGGAACACGAGGTGGTGGGACTACAGACCCAGAACTTTCCCCAACTTGAGCACAACCGACCATTAGTGTGGAAGAGAAAACCTCCCCTCATTCTCCCATAACAGCCACATGGGACCAAAGGTGCGGACAGACAGCTCCGAATTCACTCTTTGAAAAGTTGGCTCAAAGAGCAATGTTGCCAATGTGACTAGTAAGTGCGGAAAGGCCCGAACAATTTGCGGGTTAAATGTCTTGGAATGTGGGTTTACGGATAAGTGACAGAAGAGGCGTTCCTGGCGAAACAAGAAGGGCTGGTAGCTACTCACTGATGTGGATACCGCTTGGCACTTGAGGGTGGCGCTTACAGATTTCAGTGCAAGTCAGTTCCCTGGAAGATCGCGGTCCTAAAACCACGTCCCAGGCAGCAGCGGTGGTGGTGCCTACCCAGCCTGATCCTAGGCCCCCAACTCAGAAGTAAGCGCCACTGAGTTGTGGACAAATGTGCACACGATCGCAGCTGTTCAGAAAACGTGCCTAAATCTTAGATATAGCTGAGATTCCTGCATTGCTATGTTAGGTGGGAAGGGGAGTTATTGTTTTGCTGTTTTTATTTAAATTATTTACCTGGGTTTTTATCTTGTATTTTACTCTGTGAAGCGCCCTGAGATCTTGTGAGGAAGGGCGGCATATAAATTTAATAAATATATAAAATAATAATAATTGCAGGGAGTTGGGCTAGATGATCCTCGGGGTCCCATATGTCCACTTTTCCCAGGGTATGTCGTCTCTTCCGTGGGTAGAATCGTCATAGCGATCCATAGTTAAAAGTAGAAGTCGGCAACTCATGTGTCCTCTTTTTTTCCTCTTCAAAATATGGCAATCCCGGCTGCTGCCCATCACTTCCGTTTTTAGCTCTGCGAGCGCTTCCTTGCAAGGAAATCCCAGTGGTCGCAACGGGGCTTATTCCCAAGTAACTGTGCACAGAATCGTAAGAACGAAAGCGCCTTTTCTTCCGAAATGTGTTCCCGGGAATAGTTGGGGAGCGCTTTCGCTCCCAGTACTTCGGTGTCAAAGGGGAGGGCCTCGCTTCCGCGCCAGAATTTGCGCGCCTCACCGTTTGATCGCACCGGTCCTGCCAGGAGTATTCCCAATGCATGACGATGCTGGAAGCGTCATCAGTCCGTAGAGACCCACACAAGGAAGCTTCCAGAGGAGGAAGGGACCTCTTCAGTTTGGTTCAGCTCATCTCATCTCCTGGCCGTCAACACAAAACGAACAGGCGTTCCTGAGCCAGTTTCAACACTCTCTGCGGGTGGGAAAAACGAAGCAGAGATTCTTTCGCATTTTCCTCCAGAGTGGTGGGGAGATACTGGGAAAGGGTGTGTGTGCGCGCGGAACGGCACTCCGGAGAGGCCTCCCGGGGTAGATCAGTTACAGCCTTGCAGATCAGCAGCTGGGCTTTCTTTTCCGGCAGGAAAGTCAAGCCCAGCCCAGCCCAGCCCAGTCCCGGCCAAGCAGTGCTTTGTAGCCTGGGATGAATGTGGCAGTGGAGGGTGTGTGTTCTGAAGTCAACTTGCAGGTGCCGTTCCTTAGCAGCAAACTCACCCTGCTTGGGCTTTTTTTTGGGGGGTGACCTTTCTTTTGCTACAGCAAGTGGACGTGAGTACCGTGTTCTTTACAATACAGTGGTACCTCGGGTTACATACGCTTCAGATTACAGACTCCACTAACCCAGAAATAGTACCTTGGGTTAAGAACTTTGCTTCAGGATGAGAACAGAAATTGCACAGCGACGGTGCGGCGGCAGCAGGAGGCCCCATTAGCTAAAGTGGTGCTTCAGGTTAAGAACAGTTTCAGGTTAAGAACGGACCTCTGGAACGAATTAATTATGTAACCAGAGGTACCACTGTATTGCCTTTATAGAAAATAATATTGGCCTTGTGGACAGTTTGTGAAATTCACTGGGGATCTGGTTACGGGCTGTGCAAGTTGGCTCCTTTCCCCCCAGGAATGATTCATGGCTAACAGACTCCCAATGCAATGCAAAGGCTTCCTCCGCCCTGGCTCTGTTGCACAGGCTGCAGGCACAGAGACTTTTCAGAGACTCCAGGCCAGTTCTTCAGAGCTCCAACTGGCCCTGATGACATACACCTTTTGGCTTTTGGGAGGATAACCCTCCCATCACCATTTAACAGATTTCCCTGCCAGCATCTGGATCCTTTCCTGTAACTTCTCTCTGTAGAAAAGGGCCAGGGCTCTTATTTAGATGGGCAACTTGGAGGGCAGCTTTATTCCAGGAGTTTATTGAGGCATGTGGAATCCCCTTCTGCCTTCTTTCTTTGCCTAGAAGCACCCGGAGCCAATCACATCATCTCCAAGAGGCAGGAAGTGACAGAAGAGGTCCATTTCATTTTTTCTGGAAAAGCCCAGGAAGGCTTGCCCAATATATTCAACCCTTCTGGACAGCAGTCCTACAAGAGATATGCAAAAGAACTAAACAGGTATTAGAACTTACCCCAGAACTGGCCCTACTGAACATCTTCCAAGATCATAATGACCACTCACATTATACAGAGCTTATAACACACCTTCTCTCAGCAGCCAGAAGCCTCATTAGGCCTGTCAGGACTAAACAAAGACCAATGGTATCGAATTGTATGGGAAATGGCCTTACCAGAAAAGCTAACCAATAAACTGAAACTGTCATGGGGACAAATAGAAGTGGACACCTTCACCCCAGTATGGGTCCCCTTTATCACATATACAGCCCAACAAAACAACAAGAAGAATCCACTGACAGCATATAAAGCAATCTGGTTTACCTGACCCAACAAGCCCCCTCACAAATGCAAACAAACCCCACTTCAGCCAACCACAGACAACCAACCACACCCTGCCCCCCAAAACCTCTCACTACCAAGGAAGTGTAATAAACAAATAGAAAGGGAGCCAACCCAGTTGATGCTGACACAAAACCCCACATGTACACTGTATAAAAGAATATAAGCCTCACCATCCCTCCTCTCCCCACACTTCTTTCCCAACCTTATACTGTACTCAACACTAATGTCTCACAACAAATGTAACTGATTTGTAAGAAAGACAGTACAGCCTGAAAAAGGCATGTACTTTTGTAAACCAAAAAAAAGCTTTAATATTTTTAAAAAAAACAATAAAAATTAAATAAAATGCCTCTGATTGAATCAAGGCTTTTCAAATTGGGCATCATCAAATCTCAAATTGTGCAACAAGAAAAATATGTGGTTAGAAAACTTTCACGCTGCAGATGGATTGAGTTGCAACTGATCTGTGTATTTGATCCCAGTTGAGGTCTGGTGCAAAAAGACATGTTAAAACAATTTAAGGCTACAGTTGTGAGTGCATTTATGAGGGAGTAGGTCTCCTTGAACTCATGGAGGTTTACTTCTGAGTAATGATGCCCGGGGATCATGCAGCAAACCGGTTCCAACTTCCATGTGGTGTATGTAAGAACAGTCCCATTCTTCGTGCGGCCATTCTTTTGGGTTGTGTGTGGTACACAGATGGACCTGGGCTCTCCGGTCACTTGAGGAATGATGCAGCTTGTCTTTCACAATTTATGAGTCTTTTGTAGGCATGGAAGTTCAGAGCCTAATTACCATCTTTTTAGATTATTAGTTGCTCCCCCTCCCCTTATCTCCAGTTCTTTCCTCAGTCTCCAAGTGGCTAACATAAAATCCCAATCTGGACCAATAAAGAGAAAGAGGTCGACATGACTTTGTATTTGTTTGCTTAGATAGGGTTGATTAGCAAGACTGCGCTTTATTTAGTCTTTTCTGTAGGATTTGACCTAGTCTGATTGTTACTTATGGTGGCTGTTTGATCCAACATGTTAAAGAGTGAATTGGCAGCTAATTATTTGCATCTTTTGTCTCATGACTTTGTTATTAGAATGTGAATGTGGTTTTTCCCCTTTCACACTAATGGCGGGTTGTGTCTTAACTGAGAAAAGTCCTGTGCCTATAGACACACCCCTCACATACCCTCATGTTCCTCCAGCCAGTGGAAGAGACAAAAAGGGAGTCTCAGGTCAGGAATCACTTACTCAGCAGCCCCAACCAAGGACTGAGTAAGTTCTATAGAACTGAGCTGGAGTTTATTACCACCCACATTTTGTAGCCCTCTGCATCTCCTGGCTTCCCCAATCCATCCCTGGAGTGAGCTGTACTGTTGTTCTTTTGATATGCATTTGGACCGACTCTCAATGCTCTTAAGAATGAGTATGAGACAAAGTGCCTCTGACATTATTTCCTTTCATATGTTGATCTAAGCAGCCTATTGCGCCTGGAATGAGCTAATTCATACTAATTTACTGAATTAATTCAAAAAATCTCTAAATTACATCTGAAAGGAGTTCTGATAATTTCTGGGTGAACTGAATGTGAATTAAGTTCCTATTGTGGTGGAACTTTGGGTAATTTTAAATTCAGTTCAACACACACACACACACACACACACACACACACACATGTTTCATCACACTTAACTCTTGTGTTTGACTGCAGCCACTGTGCCTACTATTTGTACCTACAGTATCTGAGAACTGATGCTGCTGTTTAAGCTTAAAGAGTACAATCACTGGGAAAATAAATGACAACATTGTTCACATTACACTCCATGTGCGTTCAGATGCTTTCTTAGTTTGCCTAACTATATTTTAAACTTTATAGCCCAGAAATGGAAGCAAGAAGAATTGCCAACGATTGAAGAATGGAGGATGAAGTTGATGGACTATGCAGAATTAGACAAATTAACAGGGAGGATTCGAAACCGGCGGGACCAGAAATTTACCGAAGACTGGAGTAAATTTACGAACTATATGAAAAGTATTTGTGATGATCAGACGATGTTTGCAGGTTTGCAAGAAGTTCTGTGCGGAGTATTGTTGGAAATATTGTAAAAATGGAAAAGGGGAGATGATAAGTTAAGAGAGGTAAAGACAATATAAAATTAAGTAATGCGTAAAAAGAGGTTAAGACGGAAGATCATCGGAGGTGCTGATGGAAGTCCAAAAAAAGTGTATTTGTAATAATTGGTGTGGTACGTTTTATAATTTGTATGTTAAAATTAATAAAAATGTATTCAAAAAACAAACTATATATTAAACTTTAGCTGGAGAAAATGCCGAGTACCGCATTAATGAATTGCGAATTGAACTCAAATCGAATTAGTTCTTTTTTGAAGGAGGCAAACTTGAACTGGACTGAATTTCCTTTTGGAGGGCATGAAATGGAAATGAAACTAATTCCCTTTCAAAATGAGCTGTCCTAGCCCTGGGTTTGCTTAAAAACAGAGTAACATTTGCTCTGATTCTGGTAGAACAAGGGCTGATATCTATGTTTTGGCTTCTATGTGGCTGTTGTCCTGGATTGAATCAGTGGGCTGTAATACTCCATTTTCATCATAGCATTAGAACTCCTTTTGGACATTTGAACTGATGTATGGAAATTGAATACAAAAAGCTTTCTCCTTTGTGACCAACAGGTCCCAGTTCCAATGCACATTGCAATGTGGTCCTTTTGAGTGGGGAGCAGAAATAAGTGGGCATCATAGAGATGCATGGATAGAGTGGATTTGTTTCTCCATTTTTGTGGCCATTCCACACCACTTGCGGCTTTTAGTTTCATATCAGAAGTTCAGGGTGTTTGCCAGTTTAATCTTTCCTTCAACTCTGTGGTTGTATCAGCCAAGTAGTGGAGCAATTTCAAGCAGTCTCCATAGTCTTATGTCTGTAATGTGTAAATCAGGCCTAACTTCATTTTGAAATGTTGCCATCTTCAGCCAAAGGGAATCATTTTCATGCTGTAACACAACTCCCTCCTTTGGGTTTCATTGGCTGAGTGGGTTCGGGGTGTACTCTTATTCTCCGTCATAAACACCCAGTCAGCTCCATTTCTTCTCCCAAGAAACCGGAAGCCATTATACTTTTTTTTTTGCCCTGACCTGCCCCTAAAGTTTTAATCCCTCTTTCTGCAAACACCGTTCTTTGCTGGCTCAAGGCCATTTGGCTTGAATGGGGAGGAGTGTTTTCCAGCGCTCCAAGGAGAGATGAGTAGGAGTGACATGATAGAGTTGAGTCAAGAAAAAATGTGGGCTGGATGTCAAATAACTTTTTATTTTTTTTTATATTTTTTAGTGAGATGGATGGAGTGTGGACATTGCTCGAGGGAAGAGGTAGAAATCAAATGGCTGGAATATCTGAAACAGTGCTGGGGAATGGAAAGACACAGAGAACAATTGTGGTTGCGTCAAACAAGGAAGAAAAGTAAATAAATAAATAAATAAATAAATAAATAAATAAAGTCCTTCACTTCCATTTCTCTTTTTAGAGCACAAATACACAGTGTGTTCACTCTAGCCAGACAGACAGAGAGAACAATGCCCTTTTATGAACTTTTAAAGTTTGGGCCAATCAAACTGATGGATCTTTTCCGCATTCATTAACTATTTACACTGGAACCAATGCATCACAAGTTATGGGGACTTAGCTCAGTTGGTAGAGCACGAGATTCTTCATTTCAGAGTCGTGGGTTCGAGCCCCATGTTGGGCAAAAGAGTCCTGCGTTGCAGAGGGTTGGACTAGCTGACCCTTGTGGTCCCTTCTATGATTTTTCTAGAATTGAAGAAGGAAGCTCATTGATTACGAGAAGATATAAAATGGTGAGAGTCGCTTCCAAGTCAACAAGTGGAGGATCAAACTGCCATTGTTATATTTACTTAAATTTGTGGGACTTCTGATTTGCATAGGATCATAATGAAAAGCAACTGTGCTGGTCCCGAGGGTTAACCGTGCGGCGTGGTCCGAGTCCAGTCCGAGGTTGAGGGTGTGGTATGGAGGCTGTCTGTCAAAGCTGAAGCTGGGTCCAAGGCAGGGAGTCGGGTGAGGTCAGGAACTCTGGCAGAAGAGCAGGACAGGGTGCAGGCAGGAACAGGCTACCAACAACGTTGCTCCCGCAACCTGGAACTGGGGCTGGCTGGCTTTTATCTGCCCCGAGGCATAGGGCGGCCCTGGTCCACAGGTGACTCACCTCTCCTGGCCTGGAGGTGAGCACTCCTCCTGCGGGAACTTAGTTCCCTCCGCCTCTCTGCCCTGAGCCTCTGCAGCACAGGAGAGGCTGGAGGGTTACCGGACCCCGAGGCAACCTCAGCTTCCCCTGACGGGGCTGAGAGTGGAGCATCTGCAGGCAATGGGTCCTCCATCACCTCAGGAGCCAGAGCAGACTCAGCTGGTGCCTGTACCTGAGGATCCAGTCTAAGATCCAATGTTCTTGGACTATAACTCCCATCAGTATCAGCTAGCCCAAATGTGCTATATATATATATATGGTGCCAATGGAATTTTGAAGGCACCAGATTTAGGAAGGCTGCTGTAAAGCCTAAGATTGAGAAGATTCTACAGGCATAATTGAGAAGTACTTTAACATCTGAAGCCTGTTGTTGCTGTTGCTTAAAATCACGTGGAATGCAAACCCGGCTCATGGAGTACAACTGATTAAAAAATGACTCTCTTCTGATTTCTATCTCACATCAACACCACAGAAAACTCAAGAGAGGGACTTAGAGCTGGCTATTTTTGCATGTCTGTGTAGGAATAATAAACACTGGACAATCTCAGGTAAATGGGCATAAGATTCCGGCCTGATTATGTTATATATGCAAATATCCTAAGAGCACATTTGATTTCCTATTTATTAAACCAGCCCCATTTATATTTTGCTCAAAAATACTAGTAGTGACAGACATCTAACTACCCCAAACTATATGCACTGTGCTTAGCAACATTTGCCAGTTTCAGTGTTTCCTGGGATTTGGTAACTGAATGGAAGCCGTTTCATCCCTTTGGTTTTACACAGTTGAAACACTCCTGTAGCCAGCAACCTCCTGCCTTGCACATTTCCCAGATAATTACAGATTAGAACAGGCTAATTTTTATTTTCACAAAGCCGCCGAAGATCTATGTTTGTTATTATTGTCTCCTAGGTTGCCACTTGCATAAATACATATGTAAAGCCCTTTGATCTGCAGGCATAATGACATAGATTTATCAAATGTTTGCTTTTTTCCATCATTCTTTTTTTTTTTAAAAAAGCTTGATTTATTGAGTGCAATCCCTGCCGCCCTCCCTCTCTTGAAATATGAAGTGTTCATGAATAGCTAAGGTAATATTTAATATCCTCCCAAGAAGCCTTTGCACTTTCTAACAAATGAACTACAACCTAACCAAATGGCTCACATCTGTTTAGCCTCCTCTCTTTTTAACTAAACAAATTAGCATTAGAATACCTGGGAGACAACATACAAAGTCCCCTTTCTAGATGACAGAACACAGACAATTATTAGCAAGGGGAAAACAGTCCTGAAAGACGCCGGCCTGACTTGAGCAGATGTTTTCACATCTCCTGTAGTGCCCCTGAATGAGTTGTACCCCAGCGGACACACTGCCCCGGTCTTTTGAAGTGGGCCAGGGAAACCATTCACAGCCCTCTGATGAATGGAAACTTGCTCACTTAAATGTTTCATTTAAAATCCCTCCCTGCAAGACCAGCATGTTACCTTCAAAACATCAACATCAACAAATCGATTGTTTTTAACTAGTTTGTTTTTAGTCCTGTGCATTTAATTATTTTAAATGTCGTAAGTCCAATTTGGGAGAAAGGCTATCTATCTATCATCTATCATCTATACCTATGTTATATAAATTGGTGTGCTTTGGGCAAAAGTTTTTTTCTAGCCATAACTAGGTGGCAAGAAAGAAACAGGGCATTGGAACGAGCTCTTAATTTGAAAGCCTAGCAATGTGTCATTTTCCCTGGGGGATCTATAAGAATGCCAATGCATAGAACCACAAGATCTGACCTCATGAAGCCTCCCTTTAAAAGTCTCCAGAAACAGATTGCCCAACTTCCACAGTCAACTTATTCTGTGGCCCGCTTCTTACAGTTAGGAAGGTATTCACCTGATTTCAGCTCTGCTGAAAGTTTAATTTGATGCCTCTTGTCCTTTCAGTGCTTCCCTCATGTCCTTGTTTCCCTGAGGTTTTAAACCTGTGTCTTGACAGTGCCACTTGAGTTGGAAGAAAGAAAGAAAGAAAGAAAGAAAGTTTTCTACTCATAGAAAACTAGTATGTTGGGCAGAAGGATATTCTAGAAGATTTCTCTTTGACATCTAGTTTTCTGGAGAAGTATGCAATTGGAGAAGTATGCAGTTATGAAACACAGCTGCCTTATAACAGGTCAATTCATTGGTCTATCTAGCCCAGTGGTGTCCAAACCTTTTCCAAAGAGGGCCAGATATGATGAAGTGAAGGGCTGTGAGGGCCGACCAAAGTTGTTAACCTTTTTTTAGGAGTGAAGTTGTTGAGGGTTTTTTTTAGGATTTTACCCCAGGAAATTAACTGCCACAGGGGCTGGATTAAACTGACCGGCAGGCTGAATTAGGCCCCCAAAATGGACTTTGGACATGCCTGATCTAGCCCATTATTGTCTACTCTACACCAACTAGCAGTGTCTCTTCAGTCAGAAGTTTTCCCCAGCTCTAAATGGAGGTGCCAATAACATTTTTTCCATGCAGAGCAGGTGCTCTACAACAGAGTGACACTCCTTCTCCAAAGAGACAGAAAGGCATACACCTGCCAGAACATGGATCTGGGTTACACTGTGCGTGATGCCACTATACCACTGGCACAACTGTCAGTCCTCACCTGCAATTCGAAGCAGGGCAAGGCAGATGTTGGCTTACCACTTCAGTGAGAAGTGGGCCTTTGGGGAGGAGCTGCTCCAGGTTTTCCTTCCCTGCATGTCTAGATACCCGAGAGCTGCTATCATTTCTTTCCATCCATCCTTCTTTCCTCTAGGCTAACTAACCGCGACAAGTTTCTACAGTTCCCCCCCTCCTGTGTCATGCATTCCAAAGTGTCAGTTTTGTTGCTTCCCTCAGAATCGTTTTCAGTTTAGTCTAATCCATCTTTAAAAGTGGTGACCACAACTGGACACAATACTGCACTGGAGACCTACTTAGTGCCAAATAAAACAAGACTATTACCCCCTCCCGTCTGGCAGGCTGAAGATGCTGTTAATACAGCTTCAAGTAGTGTCTGTTGTCTTGTAAGAAATGCTACATTGCTGGCTCAGCTTCAGATAGACTCTCATTCCTTCTTATTCCTTCTCGGTAATGCTGGAGCCCAGACAATCGTCTCCCCAGTTTGGTAATTATACATTTGCCATTTCTTTCCAATGTGTCATGCTTAATGCTTTTCTTTGTTGAGTTTCATTTTATTATTTTCCACTGTAAGACATAATACCCCGCTGCTCCCAAGTTAACTTAAATAAATCCAGATCACTTAATGTTTGATCTCCTCTTGTAACCATTTCCCTTGCTTCCAGTGCAATCCCGTCTTCTAGTTGGGAACATTTTGGAGGATGATTGCCTCACATCCGTCTTGATGCCTTGTTCTGTTGAAAACATGCATCCTTTCAAATAAATGAAAACCAAACCCGGTGGAACCGCCCCAGCAAAGTGTTAAGTCATTCTTGCAGTGTCCACATCTTGACCTTCCTTCAAAAAACAAAACAAAACGAGGAATGTCTTCTTCAAAAGAAAACAGGCAAGAGAAATGGTAATATGGTGCCCCAAGTGAGACCCAAATTTGATGCCTCCTCCCAGCCTTCACACTGCTTACACTGCTTTCCCAAAGCCGAGTAAACAAGGCACTGGGCTATGGGAAGGAGGCATGAGGGATCTAGCGTGGTCCTAGAGCCCTTCTTCATCCTTTCCAAAGCAGGGCAAGTGCTAACTAGGCTTTGAGAAGGAAGGAGGGGGACTCTAGGACCCTGCCAGAGCCGTTACGTCTCCAACCCGAGCTGAGTGCTTTCTAGGCTTTGGGAAGTAGGCAGGAAAGCATTGCCTTGGCTCAGTGCCCTATGTGGGGGAACTGGTCATGCTGCCCTAAATCCACCTCCAAGAGATGTCTTGAGCAACTGGCTTGTCCACCGCATATGCCCTTCAAATGAATTGTGAGGCTGAGTTCGTAGCAATCAGATTCACAGAGGTGTATATTCTGGTACACACAATGCTTGTGCCATAATCAATTAAGTCATTAGCCTGCCACAAACCACAGTTGTTTTCGCTGCAACAGACTATCACAGCTGCTGTTCTGGACATTTGTTACAATGAGAAATGATGCTTGGGTGATACTAGGGCAAGGTGTGCGTTTATTCTACCTCCACCTCTTCCATTTCCTTGTTTAGAATCATTTAAAAAGATGAAAAACATGGGAGAGCCAGGTAACACATGATTTCATGAGTTCCCAGCTTTGGGCATCAAAAACTAGTTTCTGGGAATATTAATAGCCACAGGCCCTCAAGCAATGGTAGATCAGATCAATAATTTCCCATTTTCTCACTTCTGTGATCAGGAGTCTTCCCCTACCCCTAAGGAAAACAAAATAATAGCCACTGGTGCATTATGGTATTTCATTAATATAAATATATGCACATTTAGAAGCTGTCCATTGACTGTCATCGATTCAGTATTAGAAAAGCAATCAGGTGGCAGAAAAAAACTGGCCAGGTGGCAATCTCTAATGGTTTACTGGGAAAGAAAAAGGGTCATGGAAACAATTGCCCATTATCCTACAGCTCCTTTCAAATTCAGAAAAAAACCCCCACTCTGGATTGAAGGTTGCACAAAGTCACACACAACCACTGGCTACACTTTAAAACAGAGAAAGGAAGAACTCTGTTGCAGTTCCAAAATGGATAACATGATGTTTTGATCCGGCGTGGTATTTCCTATGCTTCCCCTGCCTGCCCACAACCTTGATCTCATGGGAATCTATGCGCATAAAGACAACCAGGCCAAGGAAAGCTTTATTAGCAAAATTGATAGTGCAAGCAAGACAACTCCATATTGGAACAATGAAATTAGTTGTATTTGAGAGGACCCGTGTTTCTGTTATTCATTCGTTCTTCATTGGAAACCCCTGCATTTAAGGAGACTACTTAGAAGCAAGCCCTACTGAGAGCTTAATCTCAGCAAGTAAGCATAGGATCGCAGTATTAGCATGTTATTTCTTTAGTATTTTAGATTGTCGAGAGTACTTCACATACATTATTCAGCAATTCTTAAAATAATCCATTAAGTTAGGCTACTTTTATTGCAGTTGGAAGCCAGAACTTGTTCCTTATGAATTTATAGCAGAATCTAACACTGGCAGAATGGGAATTAGTCAGGCAGAAGTTTATTTCCTTTCAAGCAGGCTGGTTGTCAGAAAAACAAGAGGTGAGCTGTATGCTTCCAGTGAAGGGCAGATTTTGCGCTAGGAGTCACTCCTGGGCCTACCCAAAACCTTTGAGCCCTTACCCCATGGATTTGACTGCCTTTTGGACACAATAGTTTAGATCCAGCCTACTTTGGTCCCATTGAAACCATTGCAAATAGACAAGTCAGGCCACTGATTTAAGTGGGAGCTTGGTCTGGATTCATGAAATCGTGCCAAATAAATTAGTTGTCTTCTTTGTACGACCTCTTCTACAGCTTGTTCAGCAGTAGTCTGAATTGTGTGGAAGTTCTGAACTCAGTAGGACTTACTTCTGAGTAGACACATACAGAATTGTACTTTTAATAGTATTATTGTGTTCTGAGGATGTGTGTGTATGTATCCGTGGGGAAGTAGATCAACCTGTATATATGACAGTTAAATTGGTTGTGCAGGTTCTCCTCAACTCATTCTTGCAAATATAGATCAGAGTAGCATTGTGAATTAATTGCCATGATGCCCTCAGTTCTCACCTAAAATTCTCACCTACAAATTGTTCATTCAGACATCCCAAATGTTTTCTGGTAACTCTCCATTACCTGCAATTAGACAACAATGCAAGTAGGTAAAATAACAACAGTTTTGTCCTTGTTCTATGCTAGGTCCCCCTATCTCCAAGAAAGGCACCTTGATCTCACACATATTCCAATAAACCTTCACATTCCAAATGAACTTAAATTATTTGGTGGGGTGTATGTAATGAAAGGAAGATAATCATTGTGCTTTGAATTTTCTTTCTGAAAGTAGTGGAAACATGAAAAACTATGATATAAAAGCTAGCGTTAAAAGAATGCAATAAACTATACGCAACTAACCTAGCATCTTGAAGCCATAAACAAGACTGGCATATAAAGTGAACAAGCTTCTGTTTCTGTGGTTGTTCAGCCACAGTAGTTACACCCTGAAGGTTATTTCCTTGTTTCAGATTGGTTCAAAATGTTTTCTCCGTGGCCAGACTGAGCTGATTCCATCCGCTCTGTATTTCCATTTCCATCAGGGTTGCTTGATGATGTGTTGCAGGAAATAAGAGTCGGAGGCACTTCTAGGAAACGGAAATTCAGACAACAAATAGCTCCTTCCTGGATGGAGGATGGCAATCATAACCTACTAGCAAAAAGGCTGCTATGAAAGTAGGATGGCATGAAAGTTGTCAAAGGTCTGATGGGGTGGAAATTTGCCGGGCATAAGTTTGTTTCCTGTCAAGCAGGCCGATTGTCAGAAAACCAAGAATTGAGCTGTACACTTCCAATCAATGGGCAGATTTTTGTGCTGGGAGTCATTCCTGGAGCTACCCAAACTGTTGGGCCCTTCTAACCCCATGGCTTTGACTACAAATCCTACCAGGTACTAACATTCTTTATTTTAAGGGTTATTATTTATGATCCGCTTAAATGCCAAAAGGACTTCTAAGTTGGTAACCAGAGATGAGGTGAGGGCTTGTACAGAGCAAAGACCTGGCTGATGGGAAAGCAATGTATTTCTGCATGGTGGTCTGCCTTTAAACATACATTGGGGGTTTTATGTTTCATGTGTGCGTGTGCGCACACATACATGCATGCACGCACCCACGCGCACGCACACACTATATATGTACCCCTTATTATTCTCTCTCTCAAGTAGTCATGGCTGTTTTTCCTTTTTAAGAGCTTTTTAATGGCTCCAGTCAAACTTCTCTGTATCTTTCCTTTATGAACTGTCTATACCATATTCAGAAAAAGTTTAAATAAAGGTGGAAATTTGGCACCCTCATAGGTTAATAGCATCTCTGAGAGGATGACACTCCGTACTGGTTTCTTTCAGCTCCAAATACTGTTACTCCCTTCCACTTTCCATACAGAATGAGAATATACTCCTAGAAGTAGGGCAGAGTGATTTTTGCATATTGTTAAGCTAATCCTCCTGTTCTGGTGTGGAAAAGTGCAGATGCATATGAGTCACCTGTGGGAACTGTTGCCGAACTAGATTCAGCAGGCTTGCCATACATCCTTAAGAATTAGATAGAGATTTGTTCTTTCATCAGTATGCTATTAAGCTATAACATGCATCTTAGCATCATCTCTGTATAGTCAACGAAAGGATCTCACATTCGAAAATCAAATCCAAGAGTCATGTGTGTGTCCCAAATCAAATTATTTAATTTGAAAAAAATCACAGAGAGTGTTCACTGGACACAAAATATTCTCTCTGAATACATCAACAGAAAACCTCCCTGCTGCATGATAACTGAAATACGTATGCCATTTTGAATAGGAGCTTCTGAAGCCAATAGTTATCACAAAGGCAACGTGAGTTTTCCAACATGATGCGACCTCAACTCAAGGATTCCTTTTCGTTGTCCTTTTTGTACCAAGATTTCTTGCAAGTCAGCATGAGCAAGAGGAGCATTGGCAAGTGCCACAAGCTGCAGAAAAACAACTTCCGGGAGCTGCCACGGTCAGCGTCTCTGTAGAAACGAAAGCCGAGGTAGGAAATGTACAGGTTGACGGGAAGAGAAATTATGGGGAAAGTCCACGTGGTGACATCAAGGATGGGAGCCAGTGATGAAAGTCCAATTAAGGCAAGGCAATGACGCAGAGCCACCCGCCTGCACATTTCTGGGTGGGTGACAGACATCATGCAGTAGCCACCTCTGGAGTAATCTTCGCGGAGCCCCCAGCTGAGTGCATTGAAATGAGGGAACTGCCAGGAGTAGAGAATCCCCCCCAGCAGCAATGCTCCTGCAAACGAAGAGAAATCAAGGCATTAGGGTGTATGCCAGGGCCACTGACACAGAAATCGGGATAACTTGGCTGAGGTTTCTGCGTCTTCATTTCGTACACCCAGTAAATCACTTGCAGGTGCAGAAGTCTCATTAATATAATCAGCTTGCCCCAAGGCAGTGAAAGGTATACAGGATGGAGCTGTGTGGAACAGTTTACTCGACTCTCCACATAAACTCCAAATACCCTTTTCAGATGCAGGAGTTGCTAAATGTTACTCTTAAAAAAAGATGCTTCTATCATTCTATCATTTTTGGAGTAAGAACACTTGCAAAAGGCTCAGAACCAAAGCAATGTATGTGCTACTTCCATGGGATGCAGGGATGTTTTTTGCATTCCTTGTCCAACCTGTTTACTTCTAGTACGTTTCCGGCAAGTCATACATACACAATTTAATCACACTTCTCATCTACAATTTTGAATTCGGCAATGTTTGTATTTTTGTTCACACAATTATATGTTTGCAGAAAGCAAGAAACTGAGGCTTTCGGAACCAAAAGCAGTGCCTGAGGCCTCATCTGGAGACAATAAAAAGATGATGATTTGGGGACAGGGCCCCAGCTAGGACTAACTGATTATGACTTCTTGATAGGGTGGCCACATGTTCTACTTTTCAGAGGACAGTCCTCTATTGGAAGAGATGCTTTTTTAAAGATAAAGAACCATAAAAAGGAAAGCAGGACCCCTGAAGTTGCTTGACAATAGTTACCAACCTGGAGAACCGACTGAGCAGGCACACAGGTCACAGTTCTCCCCACTAAGGTGAAATGCATTGTATTTCTATTTAAATTATTATTTTTAAATCTGCACCTCTACATGTAAAATAGCATTATGTAAATGTTATGCAAATCTGTGGGGGTTTTTTTTTTTTGGTGATGCATAAATGGTCACCTTACTTCTTAAGCCATCATCATCAATTCTAGACTGTAAGTAGAAGACAATGAGCAAAATATCTACGAACTGCATATCTATCTATCTATCATCTATCTATTTAGAAAAAAAAAAACATCTTAGACTCTTCTGTGAGAAAAAAACACACTTTCCATTTGTTGTAGAAAACACTTAAGATACATTTTATCCTTTGGTTTCCACATTTGTTTCCACCTTTTTGATACTTCACACACCATATTTTCACATAGGCCAAACTGACTGTACATCAGCTCTGCGCAGAACCCACTCCGCAAAGGTACACATATAAAACAAATACAGTGAAGAATATTCAATAAACTTTGGCTACTGAATAAGTTTTTAAAATTTTGCTCAGCAGAAATCTAGAGAAGATTCCAGTCACCACCTGCATGTTACCTTGCTATATTTTGCCATAGGTTTCCTAAGCAGAAATGTATGTTGCCAACCCTATAACAGCCACATAACGTAGGGCTACAGAGGGCCGAAAGTGTTAAGTAACTAACTTCTCAATTCTGTACACTCCATACATCTTAGAATTCAGTATCATAGGACCTTCTGTTGATCCATGAATGCTTGGCAGAGACCTGAAACTGAAGAGTAAACAATTCATAGAATTATAGAATTGTAAGGTTGTTTCAGTTCTTTCAACATTCGGGGTCTCTGTGTTACCTATCCCTGAACACCACCTAAAAGTTTATACAGAAGCAAGAATTAAAGGGGAAAATAGGCCCAGAGATCCACTGAATATAACTATGGGAATATTTCCTCACAACTGCAGTCTTTCAAAAACTTATGCTACAAGACTAGATCCTGCTCCACTGAAATTTAGCACAGATGCCCATTAGAATCTGCTTCATTCTGTTTCACAAGGGACATCTTTAGGGCCTACGCTTTAATAAAGCTTGACTGATTTTCACAGATTCAACTTCTGAAGTGATGTTGTTACAGTGGAGTTATGCCTTCTTGCAGAAGATGAATCAAAGTCCATTTTGTTTGCAAAGGGATGGACGCTGGGAGCAACAAGAAGGCAAGATGTCCTAACGCTGTCTCAGAAATAACTTCCAACTCTCACTTCCTTGTCAAAAAACAACCAACATTTCAGGTGAAACTCCCAGCTCCAAACCAGACAACTGATGTGCCAAACAAGGGGAGTTGTTTTATGAGGGGCCTGCCTTCTCACGCAATCTTTCTAGGAGATACTGCAAAGTCAACTTGATTGCAACATGCATGGCTTCGTTTCTTGCTGTGCAGTACAGAATTAGGTTTTTCAGTGCAACTGGGTCCAGACTCTACCTTTACATTTCCAAAACCTTTGTCTGACAGGGCAGACTTGTAGCGATGCTGGGATTACTCAAAGTGCTGATACAGAAATAGCCACTTGTGTTCCCACTCTGGGGGTACTTAGTAGCAACTGGTGCTATTTTGCAGGCTTAGTCTGGAGGAGCCTCCTAGCAATCCTACATGGAGATTCAGAGATTCAATAGCAACTGGAACAGCGTTGTCTGCCTCTATCTCAATTGCCATGCAGTGGATAGTGCTTCAGTAGCAGTGGCATAAATCTTTATGTGCTCCTCTGTGCAAATTCCTTTGGATGAGGCTAAAAAAATGCACTCTAAACTAAATCTTAAGAGAGTATAAATTATTTTTTACTGTTTTTACTACACTGTGTCAGCTGCCCTGAGAAAGTGTTTCCAAATTCCAAATTACTTGGAAGTCAGTATGATTTTGCCAAATGGTTCTTACTCCCTACTGTGTTTGGGATTCCAGTTTAAGTGTATTTACGTGTGCATTATGGGAAAAGACCCATCAAGGCTGAACTACATACAGCATGATGCTAGGTGCAACACGGATAATATGCCTGCATGCTTGTTTTTTAAAAAGTGATGTTAGGCGCAGGTGGTGATGTCTGATTTTGTCAGGATTGCAGAAGTAGGAAGCAGATGTTCAGCCCTTTCATACCTCATTGAAGTACTGATGGAGATCATCCCTTTCCCATGGCTGTGCTGGCCCTGAAAAGAAAGCTCCCATTTTCTTCTTGGGATAGATAACAGCTGGGAGACTGTCAGAACTGCTGCTGAGAAACAGTTGGGTTTCCTATCCTGACCATGTAATATGGGTGCCAATGATGCATTTGGTGCCATGACAAGTTTGGCTGATAGTCAACTTCCTGTGGTTAACCTGTGCAGCTACTTAATCTAGTACTTCTGCTATTGTTGAGTGGTGTTACTGTTTCAGGAGGATATTTTCAGCAACCTTTAAGGTTCCACATGAGATTGAAGGTGCAGGATATTCGTGCTTTTCTATCTAAAGCTGTCAAGCACAATGATGTTCTTTTAAAACTCATGACTGTCCTAGGTGTATGCAAAAAGTCTTGTAATGGTAGCATGATTTGCTAAACTATGTTATCATTCACAAACTTAAGACAAAAGCCAGAAGCACTTTTATGTTAAAAACTCAGCATGGAAAACCAGGCTTATAGTTGGAGCTCCAAACTGACTTGCTACCTCTTTCATTGTCTTGGTTTTTGGCTTCACAGATGTATGACAGAGATCACCAACCAGGCATGTAAAATAAACACAGAATGGTTAAAATATCAGCTCCAAAACAGATGTTGAAGTCTTATTGCATTTCCTAAAGCCATTGTTTACTGCCTTGGCAACCCAAGAATGCTGTTTTGCTTAGAGCACAATTTTGGTAATTCTTCTGCCTTGAATAATATGAAGGAATTTTAAAATCATTTCCAGATTCTGGTAGCTGACTGACACATGAGGGGGAGGTTAAGAGTGGAGGTGGGGGGCGGCGGGAAGCACCAGCTTCTTGTCTCTCTAGGAAATAAATTAAATGTTTAAGTTTATGTAAGACGTTATAGGGATTTTGAAGTCTAAGTTTAGCCATTAATGGCCTGTACTTAGAACTGTGTGTGGTTGTTTTCTTCTATCTTGGTATGGTAACAAACCAGCTACTCTTAGCTAAAAAGATGCTAAAACAAATTACTCCTCCTTGGTCCAGATGAGGGAGATTAGAGCTGGAAAACAAGAGCAAATCCAGCTGCACCCATTTGCCTTTGGATAAACACGGCTGGCGGTTATGTAGCTGTAGTTGTTCCATGTTCAACCTGGAAAATGAGATGAAGTATAACTGAACCTTATCTTTGCCTACAGAATTAGGTTTCCATCATCTGAATATGCCCGTCAGCAAAAGCTGATCCAGCAAAAACAACACACTACCTGCCCACACTGAAGCAAGGAAGATATAGCAGTGATGGATGGAGAGATCGGTTAGGACCTCCAAATTATGTGGTTAGAAAAATCCAATTTCTGCTCTACTTTTAATACTGTAAGACAGAATGCAGCAATTTGTCAAGATGCATTTTGCATAACTCAATAGGACTGAAGGTTTTGTGGTGGGAGAAAGGAAGAAATACTAGGGTACAAGAATAGATGGAAATCTAAAATATATCTGTTTCCACAACAGGACCCCCTTTCCGTTTCTTCCTTCACCTTTGGGTTGGGGGATGCTCTGGAGCAGATATTTGGGGCACGCAGGGAGCTGCATGGGAGAGGAGAGGAAGGGGGAAGCGAGTTCAAATGGGTCTTACTGCCAAAAGTGACCATAAGATTGCAGTCTCAATCTCTTTAAACAGAATCTATATCCCTTGATCAAACCAAATGGAAACAGTCAAGTGAATTTTCAGCAAGTTTTGAGTACAAAGGTTCTCTCTCTCATAGACACATATGGAGATCAAGTGTAGGGGCAATGATGGAAAATACCTGTTTTGTGTTATTCTGTAGGGTGCCTTGTGATGTTTTGTAGGATGTGGTGCCACAAGTAAATTTTCCCCAGATGATCTAAATCTTCTTGCAGACAGGGAAGGAAGTCTTTCAGGTAACCTGGCCCTGAGTTGTTCAGGGTTTTATATGTTAGTAACAAGACCTTGTACATGACTGGCTAGCTGCACAGCAGCTGCTCCTTATGCACAGGTGTAAAATTATGTGTGCATCAAGGTGTTCCACTCAACCACCTGGGCACAGGATTCTCCAAAAGCCTCCAGACCAGTCTTAGGGGAAGTCCCACAAAGAAGAAATTATAGGAGTCCAATTGTAAAGTTACCAATGCATGAATCATAGTGGCCAAGTTTAAAACATGTTTTATTTGTTACCACAACCAATTAGAATGGTTGATTGGGAAACATATGAATGAGAAAGTGAGAAACTTTATTTAAATCAACACCAGGTCCAATAGGTGGATAAGAGCACCGACATTCAGGAGGGTTCACAAGGAAGGGGTGGGCATGTGGTGAAGTGCAGAACAAGGCATAAATCTTCCGTAGAAGATGTTGACTGCATGTTACTTTGCCACGCATGCTCCTTTGCATCTCTCCTTCTCCAGCATCTGCTACATCTTAGTCGTTATCTATGCTAGTGGCAAACAAGCCGTTTGCAATATTCAAAGTCTTACTTCTTCCATGGTATCCATATATCATGTTGGTGCCTCTGAATGTAGCAGTGGCTATGAAGACCAAAAACACAGTCAAAATAAAGGTTGTGAATTTGAAGCATAGAAGTTTGACCACAATTCAGTCAAGGCAAGTCTCGGCTGTTTCCAATGACCACTGTTTTGAAACCATGTCCAGGTGTAGCGAGGAAATGATGACGGCATTTAACAGTTATCATTTATATAGCACCATCAATATGCATAGTTCCCTATGGAGAATTAAAAAAACACAGCGCCCTGATCAGCTTATCATCTTAAGACTTGCCGTGGGGTGGATGGGAAGAATAGAAGGAGAGACATAAACTGGCAGTAAGGGTGAACATGGGCAGGATATGCCTTGAGCTTCATTACAAGTGCTTAGGCTTGGTTTCGGCAGAGGAAGAACTATAAGTGTCTGTGTCAAAGTTCTTCAAGGAAACTGAATTTGGGGAAAGAGTCTGAAGGAAATAAGATGCAGCATCAAATGGTTTCTGGAGGCAGTTCTGGGCATTGAAGATGTGGGGGACGGACAAAGGATGGTGGAGATGGAAGAGTGAAGATTATGGGTATGGATATGCAGGCAGAATAATCAGGGGAGGCAGAGTAATGAAGGCAAGGACAAATGTTTGTGCTAGATCCAGGAATGGAGGAGGTAAGAAAGGGTGTCATGTGGTCTCAGTGATGACAGAGGTGAATGATTTTGGTCAGAGGCAAGGGAGTAGGTGGGAATGTGATCGTAGAGATGCAAAGACTGTAGCAGTTAAGGTGGGAGATGACTGGAAGTTCCAGCAAGGCTGCAAGACAGGAAAGGCCATATTTTTGCAAGGCACTAAGGGAAGTTCACCAACTTGCTTGCAAGAGGATATTTTTAACACTTTTTTTAACTCAACACAACTTTAAAAAGTTAATTTTAGCTCTCTAAACCTCAAACACTGCCTTTTCTTAAGCCAATGCAATTTTCCTGCTACTACTCTGGTGCCCCCTACTGGTTACTTCATAATGCATATTTGGGAGGTGAGGTGAACTGGAGCAGCTGTCCCATATGGGCCATTTAATATTCTTTATTTGGAAGATGAAAGCACTTGGAACTTAACACAGCTGTGTACAGTGTGTAGGTGACAATGAATTTACTGAGTGGGCTTCGACTTTGATTGCATCAGTCCCTCAGGTGTCCCAATAGCAGAATCACTATCGCTTTTGTGTCTGCAAAAGTAAGCGTGGGTGGGGGAGGCAAATAATCAACTGACTTTTGTCTTATTAAATTTAAAACAGCTGCCTACTAGCCCTGCCCATCTGCCTCCACATTTACTACATGGAGCAACGGGGCCCTCTGCCTTTGTGCGTCCTATGCTCACAGATCAATGATGACATACCTCTGTCTTTTGTACAAACTGAGTAAGAGGCTTCTTGGATCATCATTTTGAAGAGGAAGAGAAGTCTCAAGCCTTTGCTAAGGTCAATCAATGCCAGCCCACATCTCTAGGCCTCTATTTCTACAGCCAGGATAATGTGCTCCAGGCAAAAATTTGTCTTTTTCTCTAAAACTGCTCAGTTACACATTTTGCCAGCAGGCTGTTCAAAACATGATCCAGTTAATTAAAAAAAAAAAAAAACATTTGAAGGAAATAGGAACAAAGTTCAGTGTCACTTATTCTGAACAAAGTGAGGTCCTCTCTTTACTGCTCTCCTTCCGGGCAGACAAGGGCTATACAAATGAGGAAAGGCTCTACACAATTGTCCTTTTCCTCTCTCTTCACTGTTTTGTTGCTAAACCCATCCATCTGCCAAATGTCACTTGCTGATAAGAACTGCCCAGTTTAAAATCCCCCGGTTGTAAATAGATGTTGGCTGACATAATTAATGTCTAGCCCACAACCCAATTTGAATTACAAAGTCAAGGCAATTTGAAAATCAGCCTCTGCGTGATTACCGTTGGTACATACACAGGCAGTCTATAAATTCCATAGCCCCAGGAATTATTTAAATTTTCAGAAAATGAATGAAAATCAGGACAAGATGTCTTTCAGGAAAACAGAAGGTAAAAGTGGGGCATCTGAGATAAACTAAATAGTCTCTTGAGATAAACATTCTTGGGAGCAGTAATACCAATGGCTCCAGGCCACTGTGGGTCTCTAACGTCTGTTACATTTGCGAGGCTGTTATCTGCTCTGCCACCACCGCCTACCCAGAGTAAATCCCCTTAACTGATAAAGCACATTATGGCAGAGATCCCCGCTTGTCACTTCAAGCAAACTGGGTGGCTCAGAATTGGATGTGCTTTCATGGCACCGGGTTGCTATGTTCTGCAGTCTCCTGAGTACACTTCAGATGCTGGGAGCTAGCCACCACTCCTGAAAGGATACCAGACCCTATTGCTTTCATAAGGAAATGTGGTAATGCCAAGACCTGAGTCCCAGGCTGTACAACACACAGTATGAAATTCCCCATTACAATATTTAAACTTCTTCTTCTTTAAAATGGGCATATTATTAATATTCCTCTTTTTGGCCGTGTTACTAAACACAAGCCATGATCTCCTGCCAGCAAGAGAGAAGTTTGATCTGAGTCTTACTGCTTCTGTAAAAATGAGACTGCTTTGTTCTTTTGGCATTTTCCACCAGCCTCCCATTTCCTGTCATGATAATGTTCTTCCTCCTTGAAACAGGGGGGAAAAAGAAACTGGAGATGGGGTTCCCTTTCGGGGAGGGAAATTCTCTGTACCCGCCTTGGCAAGTGCATGCGTTCGCCTTGCTAAGAGATGCTGGTCCCAGCCCATGAACCTGATTAAATTTAACACGTGTGCAATTTCTGCTACCACAGTTGATGATAAAATTGACTCTGAGCATTGTTAGTTTAAACCTGGCCAATTTTAGCCAACCAATGCTCACAGAGAAAGGTTCACATTTTGATCCTGAACTGTTCCCTAGGAAAAAGTTATATGATGTGGCAAGTGCTCGAGACTGGAACTGATCAAGTAAACATACAGTCTGCTTGAGCAACAGCGGCAACATTGGCTAGATGCCCTCTCCTCCCCACCTCCCTGGAGAAGCAGGAGACAGTTTTGATAGTAAAATGAAGGAAGGATGAAGAAGTGATTCACCTTGCATGACTGGCTTTAGCATAATAACCAGAAAAGACTGCTTGCTTGAGAAGAAGCTCCCTAATAAAAAGTAAAACATGGCAAGCACTATGGGCAGCCTTAAAATTTCTTTTTCCCCGGCTTTATGTTCCTTATCGCTGCTCAGTAGGGTAGGCTCTTTCCCCTTCTTTTTAACAAGGTGCAAATGTATTCCCACGCTTCTACCTAAAGCCAAGTTGCTTCAGCTAGTTAATTAGGAAACATTAATGGGTTCCAGAGATGTGGCTTACATGATTTAGAAGCAGATGGCATACTCCGCTTGTCCATACCAAAAACCATTCCTAACATCTATATGAAACTATCAACCAACTGCAGGCATGAGCCTTTAATCAAAGAAATAGTTTCTGTGCATGGTTACCTCCCCCCACCCTCCTGGCAAATAAGCCTATGGTTGAGCGTTTTGAGTGGGAAGGGGCAGAGAAGATCCAATGCTTAGTTATTATGAGAGAACATGGGCTAAAATGCTTCTTCTGAGATTGGCCACTATCACCTATTCTAGTGCTTCCCCCCGGGAGGTACTCAAGGGTATGAAGTACAGGGACCTCTCCCTCCTCCCAAATATTAAAAGTGTGGCACTTACTGTAACAACTTCATGAACACTGCCAATTACTACTCAGAGTTATGTATATAAATAACATGTATAATTGGCCTAGATTCAACTAACAAGTCCCGCTTGCGGAAGCCAACATTTGGTGCTAGTTTCTGACACTTGGAGAGACAGATAGGGTTGGGCATTTTCCATATCAAGAAACAAAATAAAATTCAGATTCTGTATTAGGGAATAATCCAAACTCCATGGTCAGAGTTATCTGTGTATATTACCAACACGGCATGTATTTGCTTAGCAAGGTATCTGTACCTTTTAACAGTGAGATTTTCAAGGAATTTGGGTTTGGTTTTAGTGAGATGGAGAACAGAGGGGAAGACAGAGAGGCAGCAGAAGCCACAGGACTTGTAATTGCAGCCAGAAACACAGTGCAGATAAGTGAACATGACAACTGTACAGCAGAAGCCCTGCTTTGGTTGTTGAACATTCACTAGTCATGTCACAGAGGACACACAGCTTCTAATATGAGTTAATCATTTGAATTAAACTTCTTTGTCTCCTTCACTGCAGAAGGGCTAGAGTTAGGACCTTTTTGCATTTTCATCTTGATTTTCTCTACCATGTTCCCCTGGTTCATAACTGAATCTGTTCACATTGTCTCTCCTTTCTACTACTCTGATCACTTGTGCCTAGAACAACAAATGCTTTGTAATGCTAAAAAGAATACAACATGCCCCCCAAAAGGCTGGTCACCTCAGGAAGTTTCATTAAGACTTGACGGTGCATTTTCAGGTCTCTGTAGCCTTTGCTTCAAAAGCAGCAGCATCAATGAAGGGAGCAGGCCCACTGAGCTAACACAACATTTCTCTGATCTTGTTGCATGAATCTGAGATCCTATCGTGACACACACTGCAAAGAGAATCACAAGAGCACTGCAAAACTGAAGGTTATGTTTGATCTTCAAACTAGGAGGAGTCACATAATCCTGGTTGACTTTTGGCTGACTCGGTGATGAATAGTTCCTGTAGAAACACAGAGCATGTGAGCACAGAAAAGGGAGAGAAGGATGAAGGCTTGCATTTACATATGCCTGAGGGCCAAACTGCACACAACACTAAATGCATCACTTGGAAGCATGGCAAGTTGTTTTTTTAAAAAAAATAGTAATAGGTGCAGAGCAGAGACCTGCAGCTTTTATCCTTCCATCCCAAGTTGTGATCTCAACAAAGTTTGTCCATTTGCAGTGTTATTAGTATGAGGGGGAGTACTAGCTCACTTTTGGACTAATGGAAAGCTTGAAAGCAGGACAATTGTTCCCTAGCAACTGCTATTCGGGGGGCCACTAAGACTAACTTAGCAGCTCTCTTTAATCATTATCCTTGCACATGATTACAACTAAGAGAGAGGAGAGCAGGGCTGCACTCTGTGGCCCTGCCCTGTGTCCTAAAGATCTGAGGGCTCCTTGAGTGGTTTAGAATCCTGTGCCTACATGCACAGAACCAGGCTCCCCATATTTCAGACCTTTAAGCAATAGTCTTCAGCAGCTGAATAGGGATAGTGGTTAGGAGAATTAGGGATGTTTTGCCCCGATGTAAGTCACTTCATGCTGACTAAACTGCGCTTGTCATTTTATTGCCAGTTCACCCAGTTAAGAAAGATCATTTTGGAACTCCTGGAACTCTTTTTTGTTTTTACCACTTGGCCACCTCACTACTCAGCTCTAATGCAAGTTTAATTATGAGCAAGTTAAAAAGTACTGGTTCTAATAGAGCACACTTTTCTCATCCCTCCACTGTGAGAACAGTCAATTTATTCCTACTTTCTGCCATTGTTTTGATCCTAAGTGCTAGTAGCCAGGTTCCTTTTTGGTTCAAGCGGAACCTGTCCCTTTTGTATACGCTTGGCTTATTACAAAACCTTCTTCAGTGCCTAAGAAGTCAAAAGCTGTCCTTTGACACTGCAATCTTAGGCATGCATTGAAATGCCTCAGTTTTGCCTGTGTACCTGGCACTGCAAATGGGACAGGTAGAATTCTGGAGGAAGCAATTCTGAATTTCAGCTTCTTGCTTACTCACCTAAAGTTTGCTTCCAATACTGCACAACTACAGTTCCCCATTTCACTGGTGCTGACATGCACCATGACTGTCATCTTTACTCTGACGGTATCTACCAGTCTAACTAGATGAAACGTGACTTCCACAACCTTTGCACCAGGTAGGCAAGTCATTATGCAGTCTACACACCCCTGTTGGCCTATGACTGAACTGAATGGGTCCTGAACCTAAGACAGTCTTGGTTTTTTTTACTGCAAAATGCCAAGTCAGTGGAAGAGAGAGTCATGCAGTATACAGAGAAATATGCAGATCCTAGATAATGCGAATGATACTAGTGGGCATTGGTTAAAAATACATCTCTCTATTGGGAATGAAGTCATTCAATTGGCCCTAAGAGGAAGACACTCAATTCTCTTCCTCCTCATGGTCCCATTTCCCCCCCAGAGTAATTCTCACCTGCATCCAGACTGCCAGTTGCTGCTGTCCAACCCATAATTGGGGGAATAGCACCAACCACAGCTCCTACCCATGTATTGACAATGCTAATTCTTTTCAGCGGTGTGTAACAGCATGTGTACAGGATGATGTTGAAGGCTCCCAGGGCTGCAGTAAGAGGATTTACTCCGAAGGTGAGCAGAGCTATTCCTGGAACAGCACAGGAGGCAGCAAAAGACACAGCAAGCAAAGGGCTGTAAGAAAAAGAGAAACAAACAAACAAGAAAATGTAAAAATATGTTAGTGAAAGGATCTGAGGGCAGATTTTTATTACTGTTATCTTTTTATCCAATGCTTTCCTGATAATTCTTTTTTATTAAGCAATCTTAAATCGGGCAACAGTGATAACCACAGAATAAATGTACATTTAGCAAACACCTACTAGAGCATAACTTCTTCAGTGGTGTACAGAGAACAATCAGCAAATTTGACCAGCAGGCAAAACAGGTCTGGTGCAGTCCAATGCAGACTGGTCTCGACTTAGCTTTTGTCTTCTCCCTCCTGCCAGTGGGCGTTGAGGGAATTTGAGGAAGCTATATAGGCAGCAGAGCTTCCCTTCCTGGGAATTTAGGCAGGTGTGTATGCAAGTTGCCATTAGGCATGTTAAAGCTAAACATTCACCTAGAGACAGACACACACAACTATTACATTGTTTATAGCATAGTGCAAGAAACATGCGTACATATTATCCAAGCTTTAATTACACAATGTAATACTTTCAACAGAAAATTGTGTTCAAAATTTATTGCCCTGATTTAGCAGAATTTATCGGAATCCTAGAAGCTTAAACTATGGGTTTCACTAAAGTTCCAGATCTGGCTACGTCAACTCTTGACAGTGGGGAAGAAACTATTTTTAATAAAGCATCTAAATGTTTGGTGTAGATTTTTATAGCCCCACACAGACCAGTCACCTCATAGTGTTTTATACACAATTGCAAAATAAGCCTAAGCATGGATGTGCACGCATCGTGTTAGAAAGCTGAGAAGGAATAAATGTCTGCCTTCAATTTAACTTTTAATTAAATGGACCAGGCCAACAATTTGATAAGCTGGAACATGATTTTACCAGCTTTACAAACCCAATTGTGGATTTTGCCGATTTAATTTAGTGGAATGCAATGTTTATCAGATTTTTCTCACAAGCTTCTGAGCCAAGAAAAAATGTTCTTTTGAATACATGCAGCTTTCAGTGAACCCATTCAAGCACTGATCTTGTAACACTTGGGCCTATATTTACACAACAACATTAGTTAAGAAGTGACAGAGTTTTGTCATGTGAATCTAGCACCCTGGAAATGGAGGCAAGCTCATCACTTGATCACTTGGCTCAAGTATCTGTGTAAAGATAGCTGAATGGACTGATGATGAAGTTCAGAGGGAAGGGAAGAGAAAAAGACAGGAATTTTGTTACCACTTCAGATGAGCTATAAAGGATGCTGTACTTTGAACACTGTTGAAACGGAAAATAGCAAAAACAGGACACTGAAACATTTTTTAAAAGCATGTTCCTCAATTGTTCAGTGACATTTCTGAAACATTTTTTTTTTGAAGCAGATGATAACAGTAAGTTCCTCCCTTTTCAATTTCCATGGATTAATGTGATCTAGAGTTAGGAGTGAGTAGCCATGTCTGGTGATACCAAATTGTTCACAGTGCTTAAAACAAAAAGGGATTGTGATGAGCTCCAAAAGAATCTCTCCAAACTAAGCGAACATGAAAACATTAAAATCCAAATGGAAAATCTTGTCTTGTGAATGCAGAACTTGCTTTAAAAAATATGAATTATATTTTTTATATCTATTTATGCTCTGGACATGCCTTTCTTAGGTTTGCACCACTTCATGTGGCATAAAAATAAGTCAAGTGTCAACTCTTTGAGGAGCTGGCAGAACACTCTGTGAAAGCCAATATTATAGGGCTTGAGAGATTTTTATGGAAAAACACAACTACTTGCCTGTAATAGGGCTGGCTGTTATTTACCAATTTTCCATATTACTAAATTGACCCCAGAAGCCGTAATGTGCAAATATCCTTTGCTATTGCAATAGGTGATGTACAGCTAAAGGCCTAATATTAAAAGCCATGTTCATGCTAGGGAGATGTAAAACTTGAAGCACTTTCTACATGGACTAGATGTTTGCATCTGGAATTTGGAAATGCTTCTTTCATCCAGGAAACAATATTCTGCAGTATTGACTGCAATATTTAATTCCAGAAGGGGAGACTTTTTTTCACAATGTGCAATAGAAAAACAGGGGCACGTTTCCCCCACCCGCCCTTGGAAATTCAATGCAGTCACACTCTGAAGAGTACCTGTGTGACAGTGACAGACCCCATGGGAGACAATATGTTCCCTTTCCCTTAGTGTAACATCTGCTCTGTTCACAAGTCATAAGCAGATTTTTTTTCCTGTTTGCAGACATAGCCTGGGACCTGATGATCCAGGTGGTGTGTTTTATCCATTTCTAAAATCACTAGGGGTGTGTGTGTGTATGTTTGGGTGTAATCGGGAGTTAGGAGAGAACTTTGATGAGGTATGAACAGGATATACGTGGTGTGCTTTATGTACCACCCTGTAAGGCAAAAGGCTGTCAAAACCAGCTCATATTCACAAAACAAATAAATTCCATGAAAATTTGCACAGCTGCCTTGTCTTTGGCAGTGCTCTGAACCACCACCTCAAGAGTGCCCAAGGGCACACAACCAGCTTCTGCTGAAGACAGAGAATATTGTTACTTTACAGAACAGGTTATTTCACTTGCTTTTCACAGTTACCAAGCCAGGGCCCTTCATAAGCTACATGAAGATGAGCCAGAGTGCGGCATATGCCACCCTACATTTTTTTAACTGCACTTCAAGAAAGGAAGTACAGAGAAACAGCTGCACATTTTAGAACATAGAACATACCCAAAGCCATAGCAGTATCCAGTGTGTCTACCTTGGGAGCTGCTTTCTGCTGCCTGCATAGTGGTCAACAAAGAGGCACTATTCCAGAAATCAAATTATGAACATATGCCACTGGTCTATTTGGGCTGGCAGTGGATCTTTGAGGTCTCGGGCAAAGGTCTTTCCCAGCCCTGCTCATTCAGCTCCTATTAAACACAATATACCAAGAACTGAATGTGGAAAATGATGCATGGGAGGCATAATAGGAACCTGCTGAAGGATAGGGTACAAAAATAAAATGGTAATAAAATGGAATTCACTCCTCCACTGAGCTATGGGAACCATTTTCTTAGGCCTCTGCTTCTGCACAGCCAGTTTAGTTTAAAAAGATGCTGCCTATTATTATTATTACTATTATTTAAATCACCATCACATTATGGCAGGAAGGAGAAGCAACCTGTGTCAAGGAAGCCCATGACCTTTGCATAGCTAAGAGCCACTGTCTGTGTATTATTTGGTACACCATGTAATCTTAAGGAATATGCAACATGCCTCCCCCTTGGCTCTGCAAGGATTACATCTCGCCAGCAGTGGGAGTGACTAAAAGCTTACTGGGGAAAGATACGCCTGAATGGAGCGAATAATCAAAGAGCTTTTTCCGTCCAAAGCTCACTGACATTTGTCTCTAATAGCATTTCGCTGGGGCAGAGCCCCTCTAACCTCATGCCATCAACAGGGACTGAAGGACAGTGAAATAAAAAGGCTGCTTCCCTGCTCATTTAGATCAAGCTGCCACTGACACAGCAGGGCTTCCCCAAAAATGTCTGTCAGTCTGGGAAAGAACCATTCAACGATAGCTTTGGTGGGAAGGCAATCCCTTGTGAGTAAGAATCAAGTATCCATGCCCTGCACAATTGCTATGCATTCATATGGAACTCTACTCATCATGGGCAATGGACAGCAGTCGGTATTACATAACCAAACCAAAACCACAGAGGCTTTTTTTTGGTACCTAATTCATGTGAGACTATAAATCCTTTGAATCAAGGGCTTTTGTTACAATGAACTGGTTAAACTGCGCTTATATTTTATTGTTTTGAGACAGCTAAATACTGTCTTCCAGTGCTGAATATCAACATGATCATGGGACTTATTTCTGAATTTATCCAGGTCCATCACAATGTATTGCTCAGCTGCTCTCACTGTGCCATGAAAGAAAGAAAAAATCGATCTATAGGAACTGGCAGACAACACAGTTGGTGAAAACAGGCTTCCGCTGTTCTTTACAAACATAATTAAGAAATGAATTGGAGGTTGAGGGAGCTACAGATTGGACATCCATAAATTAAGCCTAAAAACAGGCATTGATTAACTTCTCAGCCCTTATTACACTTTCTCTGCTGCATAAATGGAGATGTAAGCATGCATGCGCGCACACGGTCATTGAACTCTTAAGTGGATTCAAGGAAATGCTTGTGCAATTCAACCTTCCAATATTATGGAATTTTGATTATTATTTTATTATAATAAATAATGGAATCTCACTAATGGGTACATGTATACCTCCATCTGAACAGGAGTGACAACACCAGCAGCATAAGGGGCCCATTTGTGAGAGACAAAATGCCAGAGCTTTGTGCTTGAGCACTGCTATTTCATTTAGCAGCACAGCCCTGAGCCTCCAAATGGAAGAAAAGGTATGTTGAATCAAGCACCATACATAGCAACTTGGCTGCACACCACCTTGTTCCAAAATGGACTCTTAATTGTAGACATGTTCAAGGCAGCTTATCCAAAACTGAAGTAAACTCAAAGTGAAGGACAGCACTTTCAGAAAATCAGGCACTCTGCCCCTCCTTGGGAGAAATGATAGCAACAACATCACGAATGTCTCCTCAGAAGAAAGCTGCAATGAGTTTGATGGGACTTACACCCAGGTAAGTGCAGAAAGGATTGCAAGATAAAATGTCCAGGAAGCCATAATTGCGTAGGCTTCAGGTAACTACACAGATCATCCAAACTCTAATATGTGGCAGCAGACGGTACATTAAGAATGAATTTCCCCCATCTTGCTAACAAATGACCGTATAAATATTTTATTTTATCTAACATGGTCTTAGCTCATTTTTCCAGTTCCCACGGCAGCTTCTATAAAAGAATTTTTAAAAAAACTAAAAAGAGAGAGCATAAGGGTAAAACAACAATAAAAAACAAAACAAAAACCTGTTCTTTATCTAGACTCCTACCTAACAGGCAAGACAACAACCCTGAGACTGTATTCATATTCTATAGTGCTCCATGGCATACTCTTTAACAAATGCATTGACACAGCTATCCGCAATGAGACAAAATAGGCATCAACCAGGCAAATGCCCCTAACCAGCTGGCAATGCTAGTCTACACATTTGCATTTAATCAGCCTTCCTTCCTTCCTTCCAGTGGTACCTCGTGTTGCAAACCATCCCCCTTATGAATTCTTTGGGTTACGTGCTCCGCTAACCCGGAAGTAGATGCCCTCTGTTGCGGAAATTGCGCTCCGGCAGCGCGGCAGCAGCAGGAGGCACCATTAGGGAAAGAGTGCCTCATGTTACGAGCGGTTTCTGGTTACGAACGGACCTCCGGAATGGATTAAGTTTGCACCCGGAGGTACCACTGTACTTTTTGGTTGCAGGTACACCAGCAATGAAACACTTTTCTCCCCCAAAGCTATAGTTTCATTGTTGCTGCTGACAATGGGAACAATTTTAAATTAACTTTGCTTTCATTATGTTCTGCACCAACAGGTAAGTGGGACAGTAAAGGTGAGATGGATGCTCCCCAAGACAGGAATTTCATCTGCGTACAACACTGTCAAAACAGTTTATTGTAATAAAAAGAGTCATTGTGAGCACGTTTTTTAAAATGTCAACATTTTGTTGTACTGATTAGGAAAGGCAGAATCACCAAACACATTGTTGTGAAGACAGAACATGAATGAAAGATAGAAGCCTTAATGATGCTGGAAAGGTTTTCAATTTGATGATTCATTTGAACAATGTATTCACATATTGGTTTCTGAGGCAGAAGTGTTAGGCATATAACCTTCAATTAGTTATAAATGCAAACAGACTTCACAAGCCTATTTTTCCCCTTGTCAACATTGTCTCATATAATGCTGTTCAGACTTGAAAGGCTGGGTCCCTCCTACAGTTTCGGCTACATTCACGTAAGCAAAGCTAAACCACATTAAGTACATCTGTAGGGGATGTTTGGGCATAATTACCACACCACTGTACTGTTCACACTTGCAGAGCGGTGTTGTGGACAAGTTTTGAAAGCTCCAAGATCTTTAGAAACAACTTTTCCCAAGGTACCATCGTGACCTCTACTGAAAGCAAAGACCTGCATCTTTGCAGTGCTCTCAATGCATTCAGTATGCAGTCGCTCTAGAGCTCTAGACACCTTCTCCACAGTAGGTTCATGGATGGTGAAACTTCAGTAATTTCTACAGATAACTGATGCCTTTACTTTTAGAAGTCATATAGTTATCGCATTATTTCAGATGTATGTATGTTTCAGTACTTGAACCTAAAGGCATTTGTGAGAGAAAAGCATGTCCGTTTCCATGGGGGTTCCCTCCCTTATTTCCACTTCTTACCACACTCAGCATCACTCTGGAGGGTCTTCTAATTCTCAATAACATTTTTAAAGTCCCCCCCAGGGGTCTACACTGGGAAGGGGGAGATGAGAAAGCCCTGAACTATGAGCAGATGTTCACCCACACATCCAACTCCAGAATTTTATTATCTAAACTTTTTTTATAAGTCACCAGTCCTCATGACTAAGGAAGGCTATTTAAACCTAAAGCAACTATACAATGACCACTATACAATATAGGAGTACTTTTGGCTATGCTAGGGTAATCTTTCCCATATCAAAATGCAACCAGGGCAGTACCCTGTCACTCATTAATTTACAGCACAAATGGCTCTTGTGCATTGCCTGGTACTGATTTTCCCACCAAGTGCATACAACTACCTTTTAAAAGAACACACACCTGGCATCTATGGCCATTTTGCTATCAAATAAAAATCCCTTCCAGTAGGCACCTATATCCTCTGTTTTATAAAAATTAAAACTGCCTCTTGGACCCCTGGAGATAAGTTCTGCTGGCAGGCACTCAGTCTGACTCTTGAAACTCTTTGTGCCAGTACCACCTGCGGATGCACTACTGTGGTGTATCACAAGTCTGCCATCACAAGTTCCCAGCATGCATGAATCTAACACACCTGAACCTACTGTCTTGAGAAATACTGTATCACCTATGTGGTTGGAAGGTCATCTCTGGTGCTGCTGAGTGGGGAAAATGTTTCCCTGAACTGCAGAGTTTCATGGTTAGAGTTACATTTTAAGGTCCAGTGTGTTTTTCCTGCTTTTCCTCCATGGTTTTCAGATAGGAAATGTTTATATTTGAAATACTGAAACACTTGCAGATTTTGTGGGGCCTGAAGTACATCTGTATTCTTTATTTTCATTTATATTTTGGTGTATCTGAAGTTGCTCTCTCCCCTTTACATAGAGACTGTACTGTGATATATGCAAAGTCACATTAGTTTATGCTGGGTGCGGGGTGGGGTTTGTGTAAAGTTAAAACTTTTGACGGAGAAGGCTTCCCCTTTATTTATTTTCAGCTTTGTGGTGGTAGTGTGAACATGTGTGCACAATGGGGGGAAATAAAATAAAATAAAGCAAAATCCACTTGAGTAAATGTGCTTTGAAAAGACATGCAGAGTATCTGCAAACCAATACAAACAACATAATCAGTACAACAAATTGATAATACAATACATCTACTTATGCCAAGAACCAGGAAGAAGCAACCAAACACGATAGAAAAGCATGGGCAGATGTTAACTCTGAGCAAAAGAATGAGTCATTAACTAGAGGTGGAGCAACACTAACCATGACATGGTTCAAACCTAGCCATCATCATCTTTACTTTCCCACAATTCCCATGTGGTAGGTTGGCATTAGCCTGTCTTCACACACAGATGTATCTGCTTCCCTCCACAAGGTTTGGACTAACTTGAAAATTACAATGAAGGCAGCATTCATAACAAATTAAGGCGTCACCACAAATAATCAAATCCTGGCAATTCCTCAGTGCTGAAAGCACACAGCAACTTGCTCAGCACATCTTTTGAGGCAGTTATATTTACATGTGGAGTAATGCAAACCACATTTACTAGTATTTTCAGAAGGGATGAATAACCTAGTAATAAAAATAATAAAAGTGAAACTAAATCTGGAAGAAATATGCCTTATACCAGTAGCAGTTTTGTGGAAGGTTATTTGTTTGTTTGTTTTGAAGAAAAATAAACAAAAACCTGAAGCCCATAATCTAACTCTTGTTATAGGCACATAGTGTCAGAATTACAACAGATCAACAGCCCATCTGTGTGTGACCACCAGCCATTCAACAAATAGACCCAAAGCTTTAAATCAAAACCGTTGTAAAATTGCACATTATGTAATCATTTAATGAAGCTGTATGTGGTGCTTGTCACCTACAAAACGCTTAAACACAGATAGAGAAAAATATGTTTTTACATTCAATTACTGGTTTTAATCAGAAATTTCCTTCTTGTCTAATGAGATATATCTTCTAATTAAAAGGGAGAAAAAAAGCTATAAGCACAAGGATTACAGATTTATTGCTAAAGCTACCTTTTCTTCCTTGATGGGGGACACAGAGGCAATATCAATTACAGCCTTTAAAAGCAGGAAAGCTGGTGTCGCACTTTTTGTCACCATCTTTCCCTGGCTTTCAAGCGCTTATGAACAATCAGGAAAACTGATGATGGGATCTGCTCTCGCAAAGACACAGAATTACATTAACCAACAGTGTAATGAAGTAAAAGGGCACTCATTTAAGCAAACAAAGTGGGCATTACATGAGGAAGAAAAAATACTAATATGCATATTCACTTATTTCCTCACTCGCTCATGCAAAAAGGTTCATGACTCATGAAAAAGACTGGAGGCTGTTTGGTTTGAAAATTGAAATGCAAAACTAAATTACAGCTTTAATTGAGAACTCAGGCTTCCTCCCATCAATCCAGGGCATTGGGAGAAGGAGTTCCTCTCGGCCACTCATGCCTAAAGCCTGAGAGATGGTGCTGCCCTTGGAGGGAGGGACAAAAATGAGAAATCCTGTCAACTCTTTCCCATGAATTATTTAACTCTCTCTCTATGTTAGAAATAAATAAATTAGGGGTATGCCTGCTCTTGGACATCTAGAGTTGTATTAATCTTCTCAACATAGTAGTTGGTGCCAGGGCAAGAAGGGCAAGATGCAGCAGAAAGCCCTCAATGCAAGTTCTTGGCAGAATACTGAGCATCTCAGCTATAATATTTGGCTACAAGCCAGCAGGCAATAGTAAGGCAAATAAAGAACCCTAAATCTGCCATTGTTGTAATCTGTACAGACTTTTGAGTTTCCAATGTATTAAATGCAGAATTATTAAGATCCTCAGGCATTAGAGGTAAAACACACTTATAAAACTGATAGAGATTGAGGACAGCTAGAAAAAGTATCTCAAGCAACTCTTTCCCCCTTTGATTTCTCTTTTAGGACAATGTTCTCCTTCTTTCATTGTACTTTACCATCAACTACTTCATGCTGGCTGCAAATATTCATAACCACATGAAAAAAAATATTTTGGAATATATTTTTGGTTAGAGTTCAATCAGACCTTACACTGCAGGAAAAAAATGTCCTAGGCAGCCTTTGGAATACCTGAAAGTTAGTGTGTGGATATATAATTTTGAAAACTGCTTGGGTGGCAGGGAGGGGGCAGGGGTAATGAGGAAATTCAGAAGAATATCCCTCTAAACTATGTCTACATAACTATCTCTAAATAACTATGTCTAAAATGCTTTTGCTAAAAAATTTAAGCTGGGTTGTAAACTCCCGAAATAGTACAAACATGCAACAAAGATATTGATAATTGCGTACATCCTTCTAGCTGAGAAGGGGACTAGTTCTACCAAGTGGTAAAGTGGAGCTCCTAAAACTCCCTAGGGACGTAATAAATGGCTCCATGCTTAAAAGCACTTAAGTAAGGAATTTTGACGGTCATCATAATATTTTATCTCCTGATAAAAGGATTTAACAACCAATTGTCTGAAAAGGCAGAGATGTCTTTGATGTGTGCAGGCTTAGAAAAGAAGCACTCTTGAGCTGCTAATATCTCTTTTTGTCTACATGGCAATCCAGACTCATCAGGAATAACTTGAAGGTGGTCTTGATTGATCTTGATTGTTTGAGAGAGATGGAGCATGGACAGTAGGCCGAATATCCCAACACAATGGTGCATTGCTGTTAACTAGCAGACAATTCATGGATGGCACATAACAATAAGCCAAATATGACTTAGCATTAAATAGCACATGTGCAGACTACCAAAGAGGATATTGCGGTAGCTTTACTCCTTCCCAGTCATTCGTCTGCTGTGCTGAGATAAGGAATGTCTAATGTATAGACATGTTTAGCAGGCATGTTTAAAAATTGTCTAGTATACTAATGATATAGCATCTTAAAAATAATCTGGCTAGAGAAAAATTATTAATTTAACAAAGGATACTAAACTCAACACTCAAATCTCTTAAATCAGATTTCTGACATAAAGTATTATAAATAAATCATTATGTATTATATTGGTTATTGTACAAATAGTTAACCTGTGTTTCAGCAACCTATCAGTATGCATGTTTTTCAGGAAATACATTCATCAAAAACCTAGAATCTTTAAAAAAAACAAAAACCCACACAATTATTTAAATAACCTTGATTATTTTTTTAAGTGATCCAATCTGAATGAAAAGGTTTGGAGAAGCAAACTGTCCCTTGGAGCCTCGAGATGGCATTTCTACTCCAAGCTATGTTACTTCAGTTGCCAGCAAGTCTACTTATTTGCAAAGGAATAAATATTGGCTGTGGTAAAATATCACATAGCTGTGTGAATTCACTTTTTTCGAAGCAAGAAAAGAGCTCAATGCATGGCACCCCAGCTTTGCTGTCAACAGAGAGTATAGAAGCTGTTGTTTGAAAATGTAATTGACATTGTATTTTAACCAAATTGGAGGCAATTAGCTTTCCCAGATCCTAACCAATGTGAGTTGCAGATGTTCCATCTCCTCTGCCCAGAATTAGTGACTTGAGCAGCACTATAAACAAATCAGCTAGGTTTAAAGTAGTCACTTTGTTTTCTGAAAACAGACCGGTCTATTTTTCATGCTTACATAATTCAGTGCTGGACCAATACATTTTCACGAATTTTTTTTATTAGGATAGTGAGTGAGCATAAGACTACATAATGAAATTTAAGGATTGGAATGATGGAACAGAAAGAACTGCTCTTCTAATCTGTACACCAACGTTAGCTTTCAATCCTACACCCCTCCCAAAAGCTATCACTAGAACCTATGCTACTGTATAAGGAAGCCCCAGTTCACACATGTGTGAGGTGAAAGTGTGGTGGGAATAGTAGCCTGAGGACCTTCCCTCCCCAGTACAGATAGTGTGCAGTGAACCAACCCCTTGGGCAAACTGCCAATTGTGTGATACTCCTCCTTGAAAAAGCAAGGGAAGAATCATATGAACTAGGTCTGAGTGCAGCTCAGAGCAAACCAAGTGTGCAATCCTTACGTAGTCAAAATACAGAGCTATTGCATCTGTATGGTAGAAGGAAAGTGCTGCTTCTACTTTATCTCAGTGTTGGCTGAAAGTATGATCCAATGCTAAAAGACACCATCACAACCCATTTTACTTAAAGCTGAGTTTGATTGCATTACAGTGGTACCTCGGGTTAAGTACTTAATTTGTTCCGGAGGTCCGTTCTTAACCTGAAGCACCGCTTTAGCTAATGGGGCCTCCTGCTGCTGCCGCGCCGCCGGAGCACAATTTCTGTTCTCATCCTGAAGCAAAGTTCTTAACCTGAAGCACTATTTCTGGGTTAGCAGAGTCTGTAACCTGAAGCGTATGTAACCTGAAGCATATGTAACCTGAGGTACCACTGTACTGTATTGAAATAAGATCTGAGTGCAAATGGTTCTGAAGTTTCTCAGAAGGTCCATTTTACTTCACCCCTTTTGTGTCAAAAGGAAGTTTCCCCTCCCTGCCAAAAGGATTCCTTGGGGTAGGGTGGGGGGAGTCTGCCAAAGGCCAATTCTCTTCCCTCTCAGGCCCCAGGCTGCATGCTGCTTTCTGCTGCCAAGGATATTCTCTGGCAGCATGCATATGCCAGCCTTATCTTCATCCATTATTACTAACCTAACATCCTGCATATACTATTTGCAAATGCATTCTCTGACTGCCTATCCTTATGTGGCCAAAATGGTACCATCCATACACATGAGGGAAATTACAGTGGGAAGACCAAGACTTGCAGAAGTACACATTGTGGGGTTTATTTTTTAAATGAAAAAAACCTCCCCGAATCGGGGTGAGGGAGACGATCTCTAAAATAGGCCGATGGTAACTGAGTGTACTTAGGAAGTAAAAAATGTTGACTTGACTGCTGGAGAGAGACAAAAAAATGAGGGTGAATGGAAAAATCATAGCTGCTTGGCTGAAACAAGGAACAGAAGCACTTTACCAAGAAAGTGTATAGCAGGCCTCACTTGTTACTGTAACATTATAATATTCAAAGCTGCCCATCATCTGTTTTAAATGTATAAAAATACCAATACATTATTGTTTCGGGTTTGAATGCTTCTTTCTGCTTCCCAATAGTTTTGCTTCCTCTGCTACCCTTTTTCACTTAGGTTCTAATAGTGTCTGCATACAGCACACTAACTTTTGAAGCCAAAGGCTGGCCTATCACCATCTTCAGGTTCACAGTAATAGCTGCAGACCCTCTTAAATTCTTATGCAGAAAACCTTGAACTGAGCAGGCCATTAGAAATTCATAATGAAGGCAAACGAGCAAATAAGTTAAAACCCAAATTCCACTGCACGGACAGGAAAAGGCCCAGGGTCCCCTTTCAGCAGGATTTATAGCACAATATTCACTGTGACTTTATCAAGAAGATTCCAATAAAATGTGTGAGAGGGCTCTTTGTGTATCTTAGCCTCTGGAATGCAAACTGTGTAGCAACGCTATTCTAGCAATGCCTAATTAAAGTGTAAGCTCTGGTATCTGACTTGCCAAGTTGATAATGTGTAAGCTGTCCCTTGTTTAAAGGCCTTATAAACTCAACCATTTATAGAAGAAATGCACTTTTTACGTGACTTACTGTAAACAGAACTCAAGGTGCAAGCCATTTACTATCCCTGGCAGTTCGGTAATGGACTTGCTGAGTGGTGTCATTTCTGAAACTACTTGGCACATGTTGAATAATGGGGCTGCTGTGGTTAAGTAAGATAAGGCCCCACTATTAAAAACAGAACTGAGTGCTAAGGAGTTGGATTGTCTTAAAACAAAATGTACAAACACAAATCTGAATAAATTTGACAGACTCCATAAGGACTAAACACTGAGAAAATGGCAGGCTTATCCCAGAGACAAGATGTATTGCTTCACAAGGCAGGGTGGATATATTCTTTATAAAAAATAATCTGGTAGCCCATAAGAAACATCACTCTTGATGTGTTTTTCCCACTATTAGTTACACTCTGCTTTTAGATATACACCTCTGCAGTAGCAACACACCTACATTCTCATCTGAACAATGCATATAGGCAGATTTATATGGGCAGCTATGAACAAGGACAGAAATAAAGACAATGTTCAAATGAGACAGCTTATCCTAGTTGCTTATCCCTATTTCCTTGGCTCTAGTCTTCAGTTCTTCTTGGAGGCTCCCAAAACCCACTTACAGGATACAGTGGTGCCTCGCAAGACGAAATTAATTCGTTCCGCGAGTTTTGTCGTCTTGCGATTTTTTTCGTCTTGCGAAGCACGGTGTCGGGAAAGTTTTGGAAAAGCTTCAAAAATCACCAAAGTCTTTAAAAACCTCAAAAAGGCTACCACACCGCGTTCTATGAGTTGCTCCTCGAAGTCAAGTCGCAACTGTATTAACGGTGTTAAGAAAAAGGAAACAAACTTGCAAGACGTTTCCGAAAATCGTCTTGCGAAGCAGCTCAAAAAACAAAAAACCCTTTCGTCTAGCGAGTTTTTTGTCTTGCGAGGCATTCGTCTTGCGAGGTACCACTGAATATCCTGGGGATATTGCAGGCAACAGTCTTTCTTGCCACTCGGAATTCTCCCCGGTGCTGAAAACACAGACAGTTCAACTGAAGTGTTTCACTATCCCTAGGAGGACCTCCTGGTGACAAATTGTCACATACTGCATTTAAGAAACAGCTCAACCATCTGGGGGGAAGGTTTGCCTCTGTAATTATTAGGACTTGACTTTCTGGAAAACTGAATTGTTTAGTGACTGTGTTTCAGCAATAAAAGTGGGCAGTGTGTTTTGCTGAAAATCCTACGGAACTATATAGTAATCTAAGCTAACAAGTATAAATGAAATGTTCTGCCAGTACTCTGTGCCTTTCTACTCCTGTACACTTTCACCACAGATGCATGTTCATCCAGATTAGATTTGCAAGGGGCTTGGATATCAAGGCCACTGGGTATTTGCATGTCTACCATACTAGCTAATTATTTTGGTTTTGTGCCACAACAGACTATACTTCCCCATGGCTAGTTCAGAAGAAAAGGAAGTTATCTGCCATTATTTCTTTTTTTAAAAGAAAAAAATGGAATTGGCATAAATGGTACATCCCCAAAGGTCTGTTCATATTGGAGGTCATAATCAGAAGGATTATAGTATACAATCGCTGTACTCCTTCAAACGAACTGGGCCCTACCTCCTACTGCGCAGCTGACACAGGAGGCTAAGACAACTCCATTAGGAGTGCATATCGCTACTCAGCAGTGGTCCTCAGAAGCAGATGGAGGGCTATTTACTCAAATGCACCATGACTCCTGGCTTATACATGAGCATCTGGGATGTTTCCTAACGTGATGTGATGCACAATGCACTCAAATTTATCAACTGTCCCACATGCAATTAAAGGCCCTGATAAATAATTCCATGGCAAAGGCCTCACAGCTGAATTGAAAAGCAGCAAGGCGTGAGGGGTCAAATGTTTCCGCGGGATTTCTATTTAACAAACAGAACTGCTTATAAAGGAATGTCTCTACTGTGCTGCTGCAGAGTTTTTTCACACAGCACAACCAACTGAAACAGTGAGCTGAGTAGCTGGCAACTACTGCCGTTTCCATTTAAAGTGCAATAATTTTGTATCTTGCATGGGGAATCAAAGAAATACACATACAAACACAAATCCACACCCAGCCACACACATGTATCTTAAAAACAGTTATCAGGTTCTGTTTATGAACATAAAACAGGAACTCTCATTGACCATAAAGGATGTAATCAACACTGTGTATGGATACATAGCTACTGCCATTCCTATTCCCTTTGGGAAAGCAAGATAGTAAGCATTACAGCAATCCATTAGTTCATCCTTTGATGTGGGTTTTATTCTCTTTAAACTGTGTTCTAGCCTTAAGGATTTTTCCTTCATTGCCTGTAAATGTAGCTATCTGAAGCAGGGGAGTGAATAAGCGTCCTGCTGCTTAAAATGCAAGGGCAACATTTTCACGAGTAATTGGACATGTCAAAATATAAAACAGCCTTATTAAAATTTCTTATTTACAACACTCAGGCAATGCCAGCTTCCCACTCTTCAGAGGAAATGCATGGAAGAAAAGGAACTCAGCAGGAAAGAACACACTTGTTTTCATACAGTTATATTAAAAGTTGCATACCTCCAGGATAAACATTATTTGAAAAGAACACTGCTGTGGTGTCGCTATAGAACTATGTTGTTTTCAAACGGGAACATCTCTTCCTCCCCACATCACGTTAAACAAAAGCATTTGCAACTTCAGTTCTGAGCCAGTTATCCAGTAACAAATTTTTAAGAAACCAGTAATATTTGAAACGTAAGAAGCTGCATCATATTGAATCAGAACACTGGTCCTTGTTGCTCAGTAATGTCCACACTGACCAGTGGCGGCTCTCTAAGATTTCAGACAATAGTATCTTCAAGCCCTACCTTTAGATGCTGGGGATTGAACTTGGAACCTTTTGCATGCAAAGAAGAACTCCACTGCTCTACCGCTCTACTACAGTCTTTTGCGAATTCACATGCATTTAAGAACTCAGCTCAAGGGCATCCCTTCAGTGTCATTGGTTCAGTCCTGTGGAGTACTCCACCAACAGACTTTTCTATTCCTCCAGGTCTATGCAGGCAATTAAGAGTACACCCTTCCACAATGATTAATTGAGATATGTTTTTAACTTTTTGATGGCTTTATTGTATTATTGCACTGTTTTGTTTTTATAGCTGTAAACCACTTAAAAACACAATTATTATTAAAGATTTTCTTGGGTTACAAAAGTAAGTGCATTGTCTCTACTTTCAGGTCATAAAGTCTTTTCTACTGATAATTTGCTGTAAACCACTTTAATATTTTTCATGCTATAGCAATATACAATTTTTAAAATATATAAATAAGACTAAATTTGGGGGAGTTCATTCTGCCAATGATGTCAGTTCCACTGGCAGGCAAAAAATATCAGATTTTACCATTAATTGTTATTTTCTTGTTGAATTGTTCTTCTATCCTGAAGGAGCTTCCTATAAGTGCCTAATATAGCAAATGAAACCAATGCAGATCATGAAACGAAATGAAGAGCAACAACTAAGCTTTCCTGGTTTTTGGATAGTATGAGAGTCAATTTAAGATGATAACCTTCAACCTAACATGGTTTAGAGCACTGGTCCCTTATGAAGTGTGAAAAGGCTCAGATTATATTATAACAAAATGCACAAAAATGTAATACATCATAATTTAACTACAAATAAGGGCTTCTGTTACGGTTAGAATGTAGGGTGTGCATCTTTCGAAAACGTCTGATTTGAGAAAGTTTTAACTTTTGTTATTGCCAAATAAGTCAAAATATAACAACAAAGGAATCAAGTTGTTGGTTTTCCCCCAACAGGAATTTTGAAGTGTGTGACAGGTGAAAGGAGACATATAGGCATGTTGAAATGATGGATAAGTGCAAAGGAGAATGCTGTGTTTACTCTGATTTCTTTTACCATCATCAAGTCAGCTTTCTGACTGTGGGGCAGGAGCTGCCCTGTCCTCCTGGCCTGGGCACTGTCATCTGCTCTGTTCCTGTAAAGGGAAGTTTTCTTTCTGCAGTTCTCTTACTGCACATAACTGTGAAGTCTTACTATGAGAACTATTGCTTCTTTTCTCTTGCATTCTGGGAAGTCTCGCTCATAATCTTTTCTCTGCTTCTGCACATGAGTCTGAGAATGTTCTGAACAGTTCCCATTGAGTTCATGAAACAGTGTATCCTGACCTGTTCTTAATGCATTGCTGACCACATCTACGGAACGTGATTGTTGTATTGCTTCATGTTATGTTCTCTCAATATTAATCTTTAGTTATAATTTAATTAGGAGGTTTCATGCCTGTCTAGTTCCAGCTCCGTTTCTCAGCCTTTGATCTATCAGTGATAAATGGATATATGTAATTCCCGCCTTGTACCTATGTTAACCAATCAGCAACAAGATGCTTTGTGTTTGTATCAACCAATCAGCCACAAGCACACCTGTGGCAATGTTTGTAATATTCAATAAAAGAGAGTTCCCGGGGCTCGCCCCGGCAGAGACGCCTCATATGACACCTGCCACCCGTCTGTCGTGAATTCATTCCAACACTCCTGGATCTGATGGGCAGGGTGGGGGAGAAGGGGGTACCTATAGAGAGTGCAAGACAGGCAGAACTGCCACCACCACCGTGAAGTTGCTGCTATTCTATACAGTCAGAATCTGCAGAGGCAGACCTTGTAAAACTATGTTTTAAGAACTGTAACTTTAAGAACTTCCTTTATTTAAAAGCATTGATAAATTGCTTAATAGTTTTGAAATCTCTTAATTTTTATTTGACCTTGCTTTGCTGTCCACCCTCTCATTCCTCGTTTCCTTGTGTGGAGCAGGGCCTTAGTAGTGATTTTTTTTAAAAAATCACATAATACTAAAAAGTCTCCAAGTGATATTCTCTCTCTCTCTCTTTCTCTCTCTCTCTCATATACAATAAAACATGTTATAACAATGAGCAGTCTCAGTGCAGTAACATTTATAAAAACACACAGTAAAGCCCGGATTGAAGAACTGCAGCATCAGTATCATAAAGCTGTCCGGAACGACTGGAATGAATAAAAACATTTTTATCTACTGCATAATTAGAGTGAAGTTGGTGCCAGGCATGCCTTTCTTTTATCATGGAGAGTTTTCTAGAGAAGGGAGTTACTATAGAGAAGGCCTGTGTCTGTCTTTCATATGGGAAGAGGTGACCCTTTAGGTAGTAGGGTCATGGGCTGCATAGGGCTTTGTAAGGTCAAAAGAAACACTTTAAATTAAACAATCATTTAAAAACTGGCAGCTAGAAGCAGTGTTGTGTGTTCACACCTTCCTGCTCTTGTTAATGCTCTGGCTGCTGAGTTGCCTCCAGGAAGGCTGGTGTAAACCCCAGAGCAGATCTGGGAGAGAGCAACAGGCATGTTTGAGGGGTGGTGGAAAGATGGAGAAAAAGGAGAAGTTATGGTGTGTAAGCTGAAGTCATTCTGCTCACACAATGACTTTGTTAGTTGCAACCCATACACAGCAGGGCTAGATTTGGAGCGTAAGTAAAAACACCCAAATCGCAGAATGCTCCCTGGGCATTTGGCTATATAAACAAGCTATAGCTGTTTTCAGAATCATTCACACTGAAAGAGAACTGAAGTTTTGTGAGGAGGAAGGAATATCTAGATTGAAGACCTTGAAAACTGTCACAACAGGGAAATGCAGACTGGGCTATTTCAATCTTTGGGTTGATATAGCTTATTTGAATTGGCTTTGCTCAGATAAAGTACATATGAGCACAATACCCTTTACATGTATCAATAAAATCCTATAGAAATACAACCAAAGCAAAGTGAAAGGAAGGAAAAATACCTAAAAGGGAGTTCCCTAAAACTGGAGGGTTGTTTTTTTTCTTAATAAAAAGGTATCCAGAAATCTCTAAAGGAGATGAATAAAGATGAACATCTGGAGGAAGTAAGCCCATGGCAAAGGGCCCATTGTTTGCTGATTTGAAGATAGAATCAAAAGATATATAAGAAGTCAGCTGCAGATCTTCTGTACATCCATGATTTTTAGTTACCAGCTTTGCTGGCAATGGTTTTTGCTGTTAAGTAGCCTGTGTAAAATTTGTGTAAAAGAGCATTTCCTCTGTGAGTAGGTGACTTCAAGATTTATTGCAACAATGGGTTAAATTAAGATGATGAGAATAGAATAGACCAAAAATTAAATTCGATATGAGTCAAATGTATCATCAAAACAAGAAGGCTCTTGAAGATGCTCCAGAACTCTTTTTACATGCCCCAAATATTTTTGGAATGGTGTAAGACACCAGCCTTTTAAATGCAATTTGCCCATTTTTCTGCTGTTTTGATTAACACTCAGTTTAACTAGAAAAGTTTGAAACCTGGGAAAATACGTAGCAGAAGATTGCAGCTCTCAAAGTGCGTTGTTTTGGCCAGCTGAAGAAATAATGCCAGTTGACATCTAGCTTGAAGTCTATAAGGACTTAGGCCAACATCATTCAAGGTTAAGTGACACTTTAAAGAACATTAAATTAGGTGTTGACAGTTGGATAGATAGATCGATGAGTGATTGCCTTGGAGTCCCCACAATGACCACAAAGGGCAGAGAAGAGAATATAATAAAGTTTCAAGTTTGGTGAATATGGTTTTGACCAAATGAAATCGCCATGACTTAAATGTATGCCTCTGGAAACTTGTGTCACTTATTATTTAACCTAAATGATTGTTTGTTCTTCCTCTGTGCTGGTGATAAACATAGTCAAATAGCGTTTAGGATACAAAAACGCTGAGAAATTTTTTTATATGGAAAACCCAATCCTATGTACATAGCAATGTTTACCACAGCAAATAGGTGAACTGTGGACAAACAGACGTGCACTTAAACACTTGTGTTCATATCACTCTGGCCCAACATGGGAATTCTGTACCCTTTATGCCCTCTAGTATTTTCTGTGGGAAACACTGTTGTATATATCGAACAGGTTTTTCACGTAAAGTACGGCGCTGCTCTGAATACAGCACAGATGTGGGGGGGAAACTTTAATTTTACTTGGGGGTGAGAAAGGAGGAGGAGTTTAAAGTTTACACACACACTGACCTAAGCAAATTCAAGATACCTCCATTCAATTGAATTTTGGCTCAGCCTAGTTTTTGGCTCACTGTGTGCTCAACAGATGTTCTCATTAGAATATTCCCCATGATGTTTTTAAAATAAAATTAACTGAACTTAGAAATCTGTAATTAGCACCATCTTACAGAACAAATCAGAACAAGTTTACCAAAGTACTCTATTTACAATGAGAGTGAGTTTACCCCCAGGGCTTGCTTTACTATTTTGTTTCAATTTTCATGTAATTTCATCCATCACTTTTTTTTCAATCCTCCAAAGATGATGGATAAAACACAGAAATAAATAGGACCAACTGTTCACAGATGCCTAAGGGAAAACATAATTTTGTTATAAATAATCCTTGGCACAAATCATGGAAATGCTATCTGAAAATTGTTTGTTGAATAGTTTATGAATACGGGCTTTAGCTTCAAGTTTGCAAATAAGGTGTAGTGCTCCCCAACCTTCGTTAAGTTGGAATCCAATCCTATACAAAACTGAACAGATATACAAACAGAAATCAAGGTTGCTTTAAGTTTCTGTTCAAACAGGAGCCCCGTGGGATACTGCCTTTTATTTGCATGTATACATGGAGCAGAGAGCATGCACAAAAGGTGACACATGTTTCAGAATTCTTCTTGTAAAACATCATAAGAAGTTTGATTCCTGCTTTATGATTTGTCATGAAGGGGAAAAAGTAAGAAATACAAACTGGTAACGATTTATACAGAATGAAAGAATGGGCATTTCAGATATATAATGTTTAGTGTGTTTTTTTCTAGGTCTAATAAAAAATAGCAAACCCAATCATCTAATTATTTTCAGAAAATACAAAGGTCAGACATTACAGTGAAACAAAAAAATAGAAATATACAAAGGAGCTCCATCACTAAGTGTGATAAGTGGTGGTATTAGGATATGGAGAGAATGTAGGGCAAAACCCTGTTCCAGAAGGTGCCAGAAGGGGCATTTTCCCAAGCACTTCTAGCTGTTGTCATATTAGGCTGCTTTGGCTCCTGTTTGTGAGACAAGCCAAGTTGTTAAAATGACTGATATGCCCTTAGACACACTGGGATAATGGATCTTCCCAAGGATGTCCTGTTTTTCCACAACGGTTCTAATCTGTTTGATTGTGATCCTGTGGTAGCTTCCTTTAAAAACATGCCGTGGCCAATCCCTCCCTCCCCCCCGCAACTCTGTATTAACAGTATTTGGTGCAAAACGTTTTGCGTATGGACCTTCTTTGTCAATGTGAACTCTCTTAGGAGAATCTGCAATTCACAATATGGGAATTGCAATTTTTATATTATATATATTTCATCTATCAGACATAGATGGGGGAAAAAAAACACCTGTAGGGTTTTTTTTTACTGTGTCCATGCTGGGAACTACAGATTTTCTGTAGGGAGTTCACAGTGACAAATTAAGTGATGCTGTTAAAAACGACATAACTTGTCTTACAAAATTATATATAGAATTTGATCTGAGTTTAAAACATGCCTGCCATGAAAGAGATTCACCAATGTTTTAATAAGGCCAATTCCCATTTTCCAATAAGCCTTTTGAATGCGACGTTTTTATAACATTTGAAGTCTTCTCAATATTCTTGCATTTTCCTCATAAACAGACTAGGTATTTGCCCTTAGTTATTGATGCTGTACTGCACAACACTTAACATAGTGGTTATTATTTAAAAATTTCTATACTTTTTCTAAGTGGTTTACAACTATAATTTTTAAAAATAAAACTATGCTTATTGTGCTACCATCCTGTTGCAGAACCAGCAGAACTAGCAATTCTAAAAACTGCCTAGTAAGCACGGTGAGGGCAGGAGAGGACTTTCATCAAAGAAATACAGTAAAAGTAGCTAAAAATGCTACTAAACTGCATCCCAACAATATTATCTGCACTTGTAGTAGATCCTGTAGTTAACTTAAATAATAATGTATTATTTATATACAACTTGAATGTTGTCTTAATGTATAAGCTGATAGAAATAATGAGCTTAAACTAAATATTGCAGAGCAGTGAGGTTCCTTTGCCAGATACTGGAACTAAACTATGCTGCACGACAGGAAGTGCTGGAACTGATAGACTAGAACAAATTAATTTCTCCAGAACGTCTTTCTACTTAGTTTTCTTTTTTGTGTGCATGTTATTTTGTAATGTAATTTTTACAATGAACATAATAATTTATCATTTTTAATGTCTGACCTTCAATTTAGATGGAAAGCTGTTAATCATGAATTTAAATTAACATTCATTTTAAATAAATAAATAAATACATCCAAATTCTACATCAAGGAAACATGGCCTCTTTGTCTGAAACGGATTAAACAAACTAGAAAAAAACATATTTAAGTCCATGCAAGTTATTCTGACTGCAATGCAGGCTTTGGAATTCTTGGCAAGAAATGTGGTGGTAGAAGGTGGGCAAGGTGGGAAGTAATGGTGGGCAAGTGACCTGTCACTCAAACTCACAAGTTCCATCCTGTCCCTTTTGCTCAACGGAAAATCAAACAGAAGGCTAACTTGGACCTTTTAAAGACTTTAGAAATGTTTGTTGTTCTTTTTAAAGAATTATTGTGGGAGATCCAGAATGATTTTCTTGGCAGAGCCAAGTACATACGGTACATGCTTCACAATTGTCTATGATATTACACAGGAACACCTGGAATCTTGCGATTCTTAATTTCTACATCTATAAAAGCCCTTGCTGAATATGATGAGAGGGCAAGCCAATATGTTTTCCATGTGGCATTGTAAGCTTTCAGAATCTTCAAAGCACAAAACGGCAACGCTTTCACAGTCTTTTGTTCTGAAGTTGACATATTTGCTTATCTAAACATAAGGAAGGGCAGTAAGCTGGGAAATATATAAAAAGAACAATGAGATTTATTACTCATTTTGGAGAGCAGGTGTGTGCAGCCTTACCTGATTTGTCCTCGCACCAGGGGTCTGTTTTTTGTCCTGTTCATATTAGAGTCAAAAGGAACCTCAAAGAACTGCCAAAAAAAGAGAGAGAAAGGGAAAGAAGAAAGATGACTTTAAGGGATGCAAGAGACCATCCGAGCTAAAGAACAGGCTGTTTTTGCAGGTGCTTTGGTCTTCATTTCGGAAAATTCCCAAGCACAACTGAAACAGCAAATTTTACATTGATTTTGAAAGCAAGTCTACATTAAAACTTTTGGCTTTTCCTTAAAAAGGGGGGGGGGCCTACCCGTAGGACAAACATAATTTAAACAGGTCCTTCAAGTTCTATCTTTGACAAGTTTGGCAAGACTTTGATGATGCATGTATATTATGAAAACAACCGTCTTCTTCCTTCTGTCCCCCACCTTTTCTTAAAAAAAAAAATCACTGAACAAACAATCCTTGCTAATCACATGCTCCTACTTTTAAAGATTAATGTTATAAATGTTTTCAAGATCACCCAACTTTGGAAACTTATGACCCACCCTACAATCAATCAATTCCGACAACTGCAAATGCATGCAACAGTGTGCACGGATAGCAGTTAAAAAAGAAGCCATGTGGAATTATTTAACATGGCAGCTCAATGGAACTTTAAACACTGCCTGTCGGATAAGTTTTGTGGTACAGTGAGTCCTTCCAATACCACCCGTATAAAGCAAGACACAGCACTACAGAGACTGGCGTTTTATTCAAACATGTAAATCACACAGAGGTAATCAGTAACGTATTCAGTAATTGCCAAACTTCAGTGAACGGCAACCTCTTTTCATGAAACTAAGTATTTATATGAGCTTCTAGTATGACTTTGTGACCAATTCCAGTAATAGAAAGGATCTAAAGCAAGACATAGAATCACATTCTCCACTGCCTGCAAACAGCAGAAGGCACAGTCTACTTTTGCAGTACGCAGCTGTCAACAGCTGCTGACAGCAGCAAACAGTACAGCGACATCAGCTAGTCACTGCCACCAAATGTCTTCTTTTCTTATGTACAATACACAGTCTTTTTAAATGAGTCAACTGGGACAGCAGGGCAAGTGGGTGCAGGAATTGCAGCATCAACAGCACTAACTTGTGACAGCCAGACATAGGGCAGTGGGCAAGGTGGGGGGGGGGAGCAGGGCCTAGACATGAAGTGGGGGTGGAGGGAATTTCGAAATGTCTCAACACATTCCTAGTTATATTTATAAACCATCTTGCTTTCATCACAGAACTTAAGGCAGAGTACACGTGGTTCCCACATGGTCACCCATCTATGCGCTGGCCGGACCCAGACATGCGTACCTTCAGCACGTACAGCATATCTTGCTCAGGGGTTCAGCTTGCTCTTTGCTGGAATCCTGTTTGTTTTTATGAAATGCCTTTTGTGTCACAGATTTTGCAAAATAAGAACTAAACATGTTCCATGGTTACTTCTTAAGTAACCAGGTTGTCTTTCTGTGCATTTTTTACCCCACTGTCAAGCTGTTGAGATAGGAGTCTGCGAGAGATAAGCATCTTTTATATTTATTAACTATCGCTTGCAACTATAGCTTGCAAGCAACTCCCAGGAAGAATAAAAAGGTGAAGATACATAAAATTAGAAGTTGCCTATGTTGGTTATGGCAAAACAGAAGTCACTTCATGTTTTCCCACCCATATTGTGACAGACAGTATTCATCTGAAGGTGATAACAGAAAAGGGAAAGATTGGGAGGAGAAAATAATAAGTAAATGTGACAGCAAGTTACAAGGGAAGGGTGGTAGAAGAACCAGCTGTCCTATAGCTTTGAAGTATATAAAGATTTAGGAAATTTGTATTAAATGCATATCAGCATCCAGGCCTTTTCACAATAGTGTGTGTGTGTGTGTGTGTGTGTGTGTGTGTGTGTTGTTTGTGTATCTAAAATAGTCAACACAAGCACTTTTGATGCAAATATGTCAGCAAGACACCAGTTGTCATACTTTCCACATTTCCCCCCAGATGTTCAGAGGAGGGGGAATCTCATTTCCCTTTAAAAATGTGTCTCAAATACCATTCATCTGTAGATCCAGGCAGGGGGTAACACTCAGTTTTAGTTTATCTCATTACAGCCTGCAGAGTTTTGCTTGTTTTAGCAAACAACAAATTCAGTAAGAAGAAACCTGGATAAATAAATATTTTAGCTGCTCACAAGAGGCCGTTTCCTCAGGAAGTCTGAATGCATCACTTCATTTGGCTGAAAGAGAATATTGTCTTTCCTACATTTTTGGCAATCTAGACACCAGGAGGACAGGCGCAGGGTTAAATCTACAGCAACAGAACACCACCAAGTGACATAACTTGGCAGTGATTTTGAGACCATACACAACATTTTAAATCAGTAGAGATAAATATTTAAAACATGATGCTGAGAAAAACCACATAAAATAGGACTCTGTGGTTGATTTCTGTTGCAGATCATTCCCCTTACATAGCTTTCATCAAATTGACAAAGTAATTACATTCTGTGGTCCTCAAAGTGTGAGATCAACTGTCATATTGCTGTTTAGTGTTATGTGCAATCATATGTTTCTCATCAGTTCTCTTTGCAATGGCCTTCACTTGTTATGTTTACCAAAGCATTAAGACAGTTTGAAAATGTCAACTTTCCCCATGCAAATACAAAATTGATGTTTGAGTATCAATCAGCTTTAGGTAACAGGCAAAAAACCCCTCTAGTAAGTGATTATCAACTGAAGAGTAATGACTCTGACACAGATCAAGTTATAGTGGACCACACTAGCATTACGACCACAATTTTCTTTTTGCTGTTTTCCTTTGATTGAAAGTCACTTCGAAAAGTCTCTAAAGGAAGAAGTACATGAATATATTAAACACACACAGAGAGAGAGAGAAAGGAAGAAAGAGAGAGGGGAAGAAAGAGAGATGGAAGGTGAGAAAAAGGAATAGTTATTATAAACAATACATGGGTTGCATGTTACAGGTTGAGGTTAAAAGGCTGAAGATGATGGCTCTAATTGATACAGAGAACTGCCTTTTGGTAAATAAACTGTTAACCATGTAAATGGAAAGTGTGCATGCAGCTGATAAATGTTTTGTGACATTTAGATTTTTTTATTGCAAGAAATGACATCAACAATGTCTTTACAAAATCCTGAAAAAACTGTTTTCTATGTATTTTTTCTTTAAAGGAACAATATTTTCCTATCACCATCCAGGTGTAAGGTAGCGGTTGAGGTTGGCATCTGTCTTTCTCAGGAGACAATGGAGGAGCGTGCCTTTGGGGTTGAGTCAAACTGTTGGAAGGTTAGAGCGCCTGTTAAGGCTGTAGGGATGTGACTGTCTAACATAAGCTAATGAAGTAAAAAGATGTCCAGTTTCTGTATTAGGTGGTTGCGGAATCAAAATAAGCCAGGAAAACCCACCCGATAATTGAATGTTACCCTCTGTAAAAAAAGTTTTGATTTCAGAGTTAATCACTTCTGCTAAGCAATTGGCAGCCAGGCACTTAATTAAGATTGTGTGGGCAACAGAAGAGGGAAGAGAGAGCTACGTAAAGTACTTCTATGTAGGGAAAGAAGTGTGAAAACTCCATATAGATTGTTGCAATCAGTGATCAAGTATGTGCATTCATAGCATATACTACATGCTGGTTTCCTTGTACATAAACAATGAATGAGCAAACTGCGCAAGTGTCCCAAGCAATATTTCACATTATCCCTCTAAGAAAGTGCTTTCCATATATAAGTGAAACTGCATAGAGAGCAAAGATACAGCTGGTGTGACTGTCCTCAAAGTCTGTTCCTAGAACACTCCAGCATAAACTAGTGATAATGTGAATTCACAGGGAAGCTGATAACTTTACTCAGAACAGCCCAAGGTCACAAAAGCTGTTCAAACGGTACATTGTTTGCTTTCACTATTGTGTATAATTGGCTACCATGCTTTTCCAAATATCTAAAGAACTAAAGTTAGAAAATAACTCTTCTATATTAAAAGACAAATTCAGTTCACGTCAATGCATAGCTTCTCAATTCACTATTGCAAGTGGAAAAAAATATTTAACGTCTCACTTGCAATTATCTTTCTCCCAGTTTTGAAAAAAAGGAATTGAGCAACTAGAACATTCACAGACTTTGAAAACCATCCTTGATGTAAACTCACTCAGGCTGGAACCCCAGATTGGGTGAGAAAATGGCTTGTAAGAATGGATAGTGAAACAGGACACAGAAAAAGCTTTACTGGAAGGATCAGCAACATGGTGCCTTTTGGTGCATATGTACCAAGAGAAGCCTTCCCTGACATCCACAGGAACCACTTACCTGTTGTCCCCATTGAAATTAAACTTGAAGGAAACCTTTTATTGTAGCCAATAGCGAAGGCTAAGGTGTGTGCTTGGTTATAGTGTATGTGCGGTGCCCATGACAATTTATCCAGTTTGCAACTGTACCCATGAGCCCTAATTTCTACTTTACTAAGAAAACATTAAGGATATTTTATGCTTCCTGAAACAGAAACAGTGCATTTTGGAAATTCTGATTTGTAATCCTAGTTTGGCAAAGTACCTGTCACTTTTTATTATTAAATTTGTGGACCAGAATATTTTCTGTTATAATTCTGAAACAAATATTGATTCAGAAAGGACTACTATTAAAACCTATTCTAAAAATTAACAAATGCCGATGTCAATAATTTTTCTAAAAAACCAAATCTTTATTCACTGAGGCACAGGGATATTTGTTTTAGTGTTTAAAAAGAGGATCTCCAAAATAATAAATTATAATTTAAAACTACAATTGTAAAACCTTAATCCTAGGTTTAAACTGACTAACTCTCAATAGGTTTCTGTCCTCTCTCTTTCAGAGAGTGAAATAATTCTCTCTGCATTCTATGCTCAGACTTGAAGTGTCAAAATGGCACCACCCAACCACAAAAGGGAGAATTGAGGAAGACCCAGGGTTTATCTAAGTATTTATTTCTCACCTGCCTTTTACCACAAGGTTCTAGTAGGTATGTAATTTGAAATAATATTTCCCTCAGAAAATTTTATTTGCACAGTCATGTTTATACAATTCAATACTTTCTCCCAAAACTTAATAAGCAAATGACATGGTCAACAAAAACATGAACATTCCACATTGCAACATTTTCTTGTGTTCCAAAAACAATAGAATAATCTGGTGGAGCTCAATTGACCCTGTATACCATTATAGTTAATTCTTTCTATCTATCAGAGAGCAGAGCCAGAGTAAATCTAGAAACATCCCACACAATTTTAACAGAAGAAAGGCTTGGGAGCCTTTGGGGAGTACGGTAAAGGGAGGAGATCTTTTGATTTCAGAAAGGGCACATAGCACCTGTCTGTCTTGAAGATGTGAACATGAAGCAGAACAAATGGGATTAGAAGCTGTTCTTTTGGTTTCTTATAGGCAGCTAAAAACATATTGCCCCATGAATCTGGATTGCTACTTACAGATCCCTTCATAATTTCCCACTTCAAATTAGTGTCAAATTAAAAACAAGACCACACTATGTTATTCTGTAAAACAGTGTCACATTGCTAATTTTGTGCATAGCAGATGCTAGTTCACTTGAGCTACAAAGCCAGGTAGTCACATTCTGAAGATGATAATAGCTACAAAAAAGTGTTGATACTGTCAATTCAAAAGGAAGTGCTCTCATATAGGAGTACTGAAAAAGTCACAGACTTTAATTAACACATTTTCTGTCCCAGAAGCATATTGATATTCACTGTGGCCTCAGCTTTTACAAAATTCAAGGAATCACAACCTGCTATTTTGCCAACAGTAAGATCAGTAACACCTAACTCATTGCATACTATGACTTTGTGGTTGTCGCATCTTGCTTTATCAGGCTAAAATGTCAAAATAAGGGACAAGCAGGGCCTTGTGCCTACAGTAAGGGACATAAATTAAATTCTACAACATACTGTTCAATAATAAATAATAAAAACTGCAACAACTCTACATAGATGCAGATCAATCCCTTCCACAAAAGAGGCATATGCATTTATTTTCCTGGCAGGCAGATCAAGCCCTGCTTTGGTCTCCACCTCTATGTTTTGTTCATTATAAGGTATATTTTGATTACACGGGGCAGCAGGAAATTAAATAAAGCAAAACGCCATGCAAATAAAAGGAACAGAAAAGTTAGAAGCCATTTCCTTTCCCAAATTATCTAATTGCTTTCAACAGAGTGGCTGACTTTACAAGTCAACGCATATGTACACATACTGTATTTTTCACTTTAAAACTCAAGTGTTCTACGGCAGTTGGGGGGCTTATTTCTCTCTTAAATGTTTGGGTCACACCACTTCACTGGAACTGCCCCAAAAAGGCAAATTCCATCAACTGAGACCTCGTTTGTTTTAACCGTCTCTGCTGTCACCATGCAGTAGCATCTTGCAACTATCAGATCTATATCAAGCCATAAGGAAGACAGACATGCTGACGATTATTTCAACAACTCTGAAATGTCAAAGTGATATGGCTGGAATTCAACAGGGCCTTTAAACTAATGTTCAAGACAGAAACAAAACAGGGACTGCCCAGAAAGTATGTGACAGTTAAAACTACTTTTCACTCCACCAGCACATAAGGAAATCTGTACAGCTCCTCTGACACATATCCAGTACCCCATTATAAAGCCTGCAAGGTATAAATATTAATTAGAGGTAAAGCGTGCCTTTTTAGTGACACAGAAGTATACTGAACATGAATAAAAGAAGTATACAGTGGTACCTTGGATTACAGACGCTTCAGGTTACAGACCCCACTAACCCAGAAATAGTACCTCAGGTTAAGAACTTTGCTTCAGGATGAGAACAGAAATCGCGCTGTGGCAGTGCTGCGGCAGTGGGAGGCCCCATTAGCTAAAGTGGTACCTCAGGTTAAGAACAGTTTCAGGTTAAGAGTGCCAGAACGAATGAAGTTCTTAACCTGAGGTACCACTGTACTGAACATGAATAAAAGATCTATACGTTTTCTAAACCATGCAGAGTCCAATAGGAGGTCATGTGAAGATAAAGAAATGTACCTATTGGCACTCTGTAACAGTGTTTAAATGATTTCTTCTCCAGCAAAAACAAAGGAGTGTGGCAAAACATTTTTGCTAATACTCCATTCTCCCCTTGTCACAAAATGTCAAGCTTTGCTATATTCTCACCTCCCCAATGTGTGACTTAATTAATGACCTCACAGATGCTCAATAAGATAGAAGGCTACAGATTCACAGTTATGCCATGTTTAGATCTATTTGTGGCATTAATATAAACTGTGATGAAAGGATTAATGTCTCAATTAGGATAACTTGCAGATTAAATTAATGTGTGCTGGGGCAGAGGGAAACAGTTTTCTATTAACCAGACAAAGATCCACAACATTTTACCGAATAAGGAGCATTCTAGAGGGAGGAAGGACAGGGAAAACACAGGGGTTACTCTTGTACAGAGTTCAGATGCTGTTTCTGTTTTTCTGCTACTTTAAACTCAAATGGTAAATCTGAGTTCCTAGGAAGACATGGGATTCTATTCAGTGTTAGTGATACTCAAAGTATACCTATTTAAATTCATTTACATAACTAACACAGTTCCATTAATTTCAATAGGTCTAACTGGATACAAGCCATGATTTCCTCCAGTAAGTATTTGTAGTAAAATATTGGGTGGTTACAAGAGTGTCATGGACAACTATTGGAAGTCTGCACCATCACTCTGATGAGCTACACAGTTCCCTACTCTGCATAATTTTAAGGCAGATGATAGGTAGATAGATAGACAGATGATAGACAGACATATGAAATGCAGCTTAATCTAATCAACACAAGAGATTATAAAATTAGCTGCCCCTTCAATACTGGGGGTCCTGCCCTCATCCTTCTTCCTGAAATAATAATAATAATAATCCTTTGTTACTACACCACTGTGTGCAGTGAAATTAAATGAGCCCTCTCCCCATACACTCAGTCTTGTTCGCACTCTGTGTTCTTGTCGGAAGTCAATTGCACCACTATTTTTTTCCAACAGCCCACGGATAAAAACTGTTCTTTAACCTGTTGGTGTGGCTGAGTATACTTCTGTATCTCCTGCCTGGATGTAGGAGGGGCTGGCCAGGGTGTGAATTGTCCCTAAGAATTTCCCTCGCTCTCCTGAGGCAGCGGTCTCCCGCGATGTCATCTAGCGAACTCTGGGGACAGCCCATGATATCATAAAGCATGATACCATGAAGCAACAGTCACGCAATGCTGATTTCTTCTGTGAGTGCCTTTCAGCACCATGGCAATTTTTGCGGCAGTTAAACCACTGGATAAAAGCAGCTCACAGAAAATGGCAGTCTCTACATACAAACTTTAAAGTACCATATTTTCCCATGTATAAGACTAGGTTTCCCCCCCTTAAAAATGTCAAAAATTAGGGGGCGTCTTACACACAGAAAGTGCCAAGGTTGGACTGGCGATTGGTTGTTGCCGCAAAAATAGGGGGTGTCTTATACATGGGGGTGTCTTATAGACAGAAAAATACGGTAGTTCATGATACAAGTCCTATCTTTGCTTTAAAGAGGATTAACAGAAAATTCTAATTAGTTCTAAATCTCCACAAGGGAAATGTGTAATGTGGGAATGCATGCCTGTCCTAATGCTATTGTGAAACACACTTAGAAAAAAATAATTTTAGAAGAATGGGGGCAAAATACTTTGCCTTGTTTGCAAAAACTTATTTAATTAAGGGTAAAAACAGGGGGTGGGAAGGTGTGTTGGGTGATTCCAAGCAGATTGCTTATTGATCTCCTGCTATAAGTTGTAAGAGGAATGACTCTCTACACATCAGCTGACTTTCTAAACTATCAGGGAGAAAGTGGGTTTGGGGCATTTACATCCTGGTATCTCCTGTTCACACTAGTGGGTGAAACCTAGCCATGTGGGTTGGCAAGAGAGAATTCATCCCCTCTTCTCTCATCTTTCCCAATGACCTTTGAGGAAAGCTAGAGTGGAAAAGAGACTGCTGAGCTCTTGATCAGAGAGTGGCTCTGCTGGTTTTTTAAAAAAGCAATTTACTTCCCTATGATAAAGGTAAAGGGCCCCCTGACCATTAGGTCCAGTCGTGACTGACTCTGGGGTTGCAGCACTCATCTCGCTTTAATGGCCGAGGGAGCCGGCGTACAGCTTCCGGGTCATGTGGCCAGCATGACTAAGCTGCTTCTGGCGAACCAGAGCGGCGCACGGAAACGCCGTTTACCTTCCCGCCAGATACCTTACCTTTATCCACTTGCACTTTGAGGTGCTTTCGAACTGCAAGGTTGGCAGGAGCTGGGACCGAGCAATGGGAGCTCACCCCATTACAGGGATTCGAACTGCCGACCTTCTGATCAGCAAGTCCTAGGCTCTGTGGTTTAACCTACAGCGCCACCCGCGTTCTCTTCCCTATGATACTGTCTTCTTATTTTTAATTGTCCTTTTAACTGAATATTTAGTCCAGCAAAGCGTGTGTTTTTTGTTCAAACTTCCAAAAACTTTGTGGGAGGAAAACTGCACAAAGCACTTATTGAAAGTCAGAGATATCCCACAAAAGTACTATCAGATACGATCTCTATATAGTTAAGTCCCTGCACCATAACACAATAATGCCGAACAAATTTTCATATTTCTTTTAGTTTAATTTGTCAAACATGTTCCCCATGTCCTCAGATTAGTACTTTATTTTCAAAAGGTAAGTGGATTTAAGCTGCAATCCTATAAACACTTGCCTGAGGATAAATCCCAAAGAACACAATAATGGGGCTTATTACTGAGAAGACATGAACAGGACTGGACTCTAAAATTACTTTTTCCACATATTCTACTTCAGGATCTTGTCCATAATTGTTCATACAGCTTCCTATCAGTTTGGTGTCATTAAAATATGGAGAACATTAAATCACCACAGCTCATTTCCTCATGAAGTTAGAAACCTCAATACCAATCAGTACAAACTACTCGACTGTATTAATATGCAAATGTATTCTCATTGCATCCACACCAAGTTGATACTTTCTGCTACTTTTATATTTTATGTTAACTGTATTATTAACAGAACAATTTCAGATTTCAGATGGAATAGACTGACATAGGCTAAGCTGATAATTAAAGAATATTATAGTTGCACATGCCTGAGCATGCCAAAATAACAGCAGGCAATTTACATATGTAGAAAAGCCTTTTACATGCTGAAATTTGACAATGAACTTGCTCTGGCTGAAATGAAGGGTTGACTGAAAATGATTTCTTTCTATTAACCTATGTTGTACAATAGGGGTTTTTTTCCATATAATTTTTCTAGACATACCTATTTAAATTACTGAACATTAATGCAGCCATTTTATCTGTTAAGCAACATGTTAACTGTTGGAAAACCAGGCAATGAAAAGCTACATACTCCCTTAGAGATTACTATAATTCAACCAATAAAAAGCCTGAAACATAAACCAAGGTGTAAAGTGACACTGGCATTTATTAATATTTAGTGCACCTCAAAGCAAGCACAGAGCGGAAATATGGTCCAACAGTTCCAAGGCAGAACATAGCAGGAAAAATAAATTTGATTTACAACAATCCCTACCTTTAAAAAATAATAATAAAAGCAGACTGTTGGCCCTTTCCCTTTAAAATATTTAATAGCTGATATCATTAGGAGAGTCTCAAATCACATTTTTAACATATGGGAACTTGAGGAAACTATCATCTACAATCCATAGTTTAATGGATGATATTATTTTAACTACCTTCCTCTATTTCAAAAGCCATTCAGATGGCTTTTGAAAAAGTATGATGTGCATTTTTCAGTGGGGTTTTCCCCATTTCTACCATGAAGCAAGATCTAAACGTTTTCACATTCTCTTCCTCAGGCATCTGTGCTTCTCAAGAGCCAAGATGTTTGGTTTCTTATAATCTAAGACACTACAATGCTTGAAAGCTGACACCATCATCCATGGCATCTTAATCATCCTCCTTTTTAAAACTCTCCAAGGAGTAAACTTAAAAGCAGCATCTCATCTTCACTTTAAAGGGAACCAACAGAAAATTTTAATTAACTTGAAATCTTTGCAGAAAACGTATCAGACCCTTCTCTTTGAAACACAGACATCAGAAGTGAATGAAAGCAAAAGTTGTTGTGTGCCTGCTACTAAATTTGATTCAATGATCTTGACACAGATGAACATAGGAAACATTTCCATGATTTAGGAAGGTTATTTTGTACAGACTACTACTGAATGTATGTAGAATTTCTGCACACTCCCTTTCCTATTAAATTCTGAAAGAAAGCCTATGTGTAACACCACATTTGGCTCACTTCTTTTAGGATGCCATTAGGCTTATAAGCTAAAAAAATCAAGAAGCACAAGAGGAGAGAGGAAGGAAGAGGCAGAGTAGGGAGATTAGTTTTGCAATGCCAGAACATAATGCTGGATTGTAAACAGGCATTTATATAATAGTACACCAAGCTGTTTCCACCCCTTGCTTGGACATAAGTGGCTCTTCTTCCTATGGCCAATGACAGGGGCTACAGTTTTTCCATACAAAACAGTAGACCTGCAACTAACATCGGAGTTATGTTCTGGGATTAGTGCATAAAGCCAAAATTGCATATTGGCAAAGCGCATATAGTGCAATGGTGGGTAAGATCACCAAAGTCTTTCCCCCCAAACACCTGCTCCTATTTATTTATTTATTTATTTAATTTATTTATTTAGCTGAATGTGCACAAGTTAAACATAAATTGTGGGTCTACTGTACTTCAGTCCCAGGGCAACTGATAGAGCAATGGTCTTTTTCACATTTCCTTGCTGCTGCTCCTTCTGTAGCAGATGGCTCGTGTTTTTCTTGTGGTGATCTTCCTGAAAGGTGTGGGAGATGCAACCATCCAATGCCTTTGCAACTCTGACCAGTGGTAGAGGCATAAAATTGGTGCCAATGGATCAATACTTGAAAGGGAAAAAATGGAGAAGCTTTCTGTTTTATTTCATAGTTCCTATACTATAGATTTAATGGAGTCGGTGTAAAATCTCCCTTGTTCAAGTTAGCTAGTAGGTAAATTGTACTGCTACAAATCATTATGAAGATAACTGAACTAAACAAAATAGGTCTCACTTTTCTCTCATCTTCATTACATCAGAAATGCAAGCTGACAACTTCACAGAGACTCATTTGTTAACACATGCATACAAACCTGTTGCTGGGGATCTGAAAGCTGCCAAGATGTGTTTGTAAATCCAGCACTGCTGAAATCCCCCAAACGCAAAGATAAAAGGGCAAGATAAGGTACCCATCAATCTTACAGAAAAGGTAAAGGAAAGATTGACAAATAAATACCACCAGATCCACTTTCCTAAACAAAAGATATCACAAACTATTAACTTCATCTTAGAAACCACTTAGGATAACTATATCTGGCACAACTCCCTCTATATAAATACAATGAAAGACAGACTCTTTTAAAAGCCTTTAAAAAATCTTAAAATCGATTCCTTCTGGAAAGCAGGAAAATAAGAAAAGGTATTTTCATTGAAGGAGTGCTTAGATGAAGAAGAAATAGAAGCATCAGACTGACAAATTGTCATCATGTTTTCCAGTGTCACCTTCCGAGTAAAAAAAGTATGGGGAATATCAGCAATTTCCCTATTGATTCCAGTGTAACATGAAGACCTGGTGTAACATAGTGATCCAGTTCACAAGTAGCACTAAGTAAAACCATGGCTTAGAGTGACTGAGCAAAAGTGCAGGTTCCTGGATTTAAGATAGTTTCAGATTTCAAATTTCTTCTTCCAGGAGTTTAGAAGTTTGTTACTCACAAGTAGCGAGCTGTGCCAGTAGTTTCTGCATTAAGGTTTCATTACAACCTTGTTTGGCTTACCTCTACCTCACCCTGTCCGACCTATCTGTTAAAACTTCTGTCACTTATTGATGCATAATTGAACTTTTCAATAACTTTAATATATGAGTGTTTTTCTTACAGGAGGATAAATTCTGGTTAGGGAAAAGTATTTTGTGTTGGGCAGCTCCAACACAAAACACTCACTGTATGTTATATAGGGCTTTCAATGGATGAGATCATAGGAAATGTGGAAAATGTTGTTTCAAGTTGCTTTAAACTCTTTTTTCATATTTTAACATTGTGTTTTAAAGCTAAATGTTGCAATTTGCCTGGATAATAAATAACAACAACAACAACAATGTAACATAGCAAGTAGCTGCAAGGGACATTTTGTTTGTGATATTCTTAACTGAAGCAAACTAACCAGTCTACTGCCATGGCTGCAGTAATTTCTGATGAATTCTCATCTAAATATACATTTAGTATTAATTTAAATGAGTCTACTCTGAGGAGGACTAACACTGGGTACAACCCCATTTTTGTGTGTCTGTATGCCCCGCCCGAGATATGGCATAACCTGCCTGACAGCCACAAGTAACTTAGTCCTGCCTCCTTAATAGTACACATCCAACAAACGTGATTTTAAAAAGAGCAGAGAAAGTTATGGAATAAAAGTAAACTCTTTCTCTGCTCCAACCACTCATAATTAATCTTCACAAGGAGCAGCCACTAAGCCCATTTCTATCACCCAATGTAGCTTTTAAATTAACTTATTCTTAATTTTTAAACTCTTGTAACACACTTTACAAAGCTGCTTTACATGCTGCATACACTTATAAATATTAATTGTAAAAGAACAGTGTGTTTCAATTAGTGGAATTTTCTTCTGGGAAGTTGTCCAGAATTTTTTTTTTATCATCAGAAAAATCCCAGAACTTTTATTTCAAAGCTTTTGAAGAAAGAAATCTACTTTGACAATTAAAAAGCACTAAACAAAGATGAGTGGGGAGGAAATGAATATTGCTTAAAAACAAACAGCCCCAACTGAAATCTAGTTTGTCTGGAAAAAAAAGTAAGAAGGTACAAATGCATGTGTTTCATGTTTAGCAACAAATAGAAGGTGGGGGTGTTTTTATAGTCTGTCCCCAAACTTCACAGAATTTTCAAGTCGAAATATATTTCAACTGAAATGGAATATATATCATATTATGCCAGCTTTCACTACTGAAATGAGACTGTTCCATTTGGTAAATCGTTTTGGAAAGTAGCTGCTCCTGTAAACCCCACTTTTTTTTTGAACTTTGGGGTAGGAGGGTGAAAATGGCTGAAACTTCCAGAGGAGGTAATTCACATACTCAAATGTACAAGAACTGACCTGTATGACTCTCATACTTCAGGTTTCACATCTGGAGGAGGATGCTTTGCTTGAAAACATTGGTGTGTGAGTAACTTACACTTCAAAAGAGAGAGCCACTATTCACATGTGAACCTTTCAAACATACACCCCAGTCTTCTATGAGGAATCTGAGAACATATGTGCACATCACTTCCTGCAGCACTGAGTAAGCCTAGAACAGGGGTAGGCAACCTAAGGCCCATGGTCCAGAAGCAGCCCACGGGGGTCATTTAACTGGCCCATGAGCCACCCCCGAACCAAGACACCCACATGACAAGTCCCCACGCGCGGTGCTAAACCGGCGCAACTCGCTTCTGTGGCGCCGGAAATCGCATCTGTGCAGACGCAGACACCAGAAATTGCATCTGCACAGACACAGATGCCAGAAATTGCAGGCGTGCATGCTCACACGTGCACAATCCAGCGCATGGAGGGATCTCTGCTGGAGTGAACTGGCCCAGGCAAAGTAAACCTTGCCGACCCCTAGCCTAGAATATTGTTTCAGGATTGAAATGAAAAGAGAGAATAAGGGGGAGGTGGATATTCAACTCTAAAAAGCCTAAGAGTGAATACAGACTTTGTTTTAGAGACATGCATGCATGCTTCATACATAATTCATATAAACTGTATATTTATTTTAAAATTGCTGAAGCTGGGTGCCTTATTCTTCAGATCTGTTTTTCCCTATTTGCTTTTTTAAACTAGTAGCTCTTTCTAAATTACCACATTTCCAGATGCTTTGCTCATACCCTCTTGACAGAGGAACAGTTGTACTTATTTGCAGACAAGTTGTTGACAATTCATCTAAGCTTATAAAAGCTGGCAGAGAGATACCCTGGCACAGATATCTGACACCACAACTGACTGCTCTTCTATCTATGGAAAATATTAAGGAATCCAATCAGAATTTAATTGCCTACTCAAGCAGATAACATCAAATTCAGTGAACACTGTACATGGAAATATAGATGAAAGAATAAACTCCCATATGTTCTTATGATATTATAGGGAAGATGCAGAAAGTTAACCTCCGCACATACACAAAGTCCTCTCCCTGTGTTAACTGAAAAACAAAACATGATTTTTAAAGCAAGAGGAAACTAGTTCTGCATGTCCAAGGGACTTTTGACTTTTGTTTCTTGGCAGAATACCCATTCTGGATATCAACAGAATGCTTGCCATATCACGTAGCAAAACACTTTGGAAGGGGATGTTCCAAAAGCAGCTAGTGCTAAAGTGAAGAGCTCCCACTGACCTCCCAGTGGACACTCCCAGGCTCTTTAAGTACTTATTTGGATCTCAGCCTATAACAGGATTTCCGGTCTTTATAAAGAAAACACAGGATACTTCCTTTGTGAGAAATACTTTTGTATTTTCAAGGCTTGAAAATACTCTACATGGTCACCTAAGCCAACCGTGCTGATAAGGAGAGGCACAACCTTTCTTAAATGGTGTTTATCTGAGAGGTAGATACCTGTTCACACCACTAACCACTCTGGTGACAGGCAAAGAGCTGATGGGCTGCAATACATGGTATGAGCTAAGTGGACTTTGCATATACTGGAGTGAGCTTCACCCACAAGGTACTCCTACTGGTGAAGGTGAGGGCAGGAAGAGAGGGGATGTAGCTCTCTGTGCCTCTGGAAATCTGCTCTGGAAGACTGGGGGATGCAGGGGAAAAGGAAAATAGGCAGAAATCACCTCCTGTTTCTGCCACTGAGAACCTCCATTGGATCAGAGTCCCTGGGGGCAACTCAGAGTTCAAGTCAAAGTACTTAAGGAAGGTGACATCAAGCCATTGGTTTGAATTAGTACATAAGGTTTCAGTTTACTTCTCAGCTAGGGTGACAAAGGACCAGAAATCCCAAAAATCCCAAATGGAACAAGGAAGTGCAATAAATAGTACACAGTACCTAGCATTCCATACAGACCTTTCTGCCTCTAATGCAGAGATATTAAGTTCCTGATAAAATGAGCCAACAAAAAAAAGTTTAATGTTATTAAGGCTAGCAAATGAAGGTTTTCACAGTTCAATGCTAAATTCAGGAAGACAGACTGTCATTCAGAACTCCCTGGATAGGTAATGTTGGTGTGTTTAAGAGGGATATTAGGCTTGTAATTATATAAAAATGCTTTTCTACTTAACAATCATAGGAATACAGTGAATTCACTCAGAGACATATTTATTGATATGTTAAGATGGGTCAGTGAGGAAGGATAGATTTTAAGGGAGGACACATATGTGTTAAGTGCTCAAGTCTAATTGTAACAGCAAAAACAGTTTCATGTTCTCCAGTGTGTAAGAGTTAAATGCCTTATTCTTTAAATCAGTAAAGATAGACATAGAGACCTATTAACAATTATTCCTATTTTCAAAACTACACGCAAACATTACCAACATTAATTCTGAGTACACTTGTGGGGGGTTAATTATTCCAATTTCACAGATGAAGTAACCAAGACACACACAGAGAGAGCAAGATTAAGTGTTTGTTCAAGATGAGAGTATACCTTAATATTGAGCCATCTAAAAGATGGTATCTCTGTAAGACAGACTGATACAATGTTGACTCTCAAAGATGAAAATTCAAATCAGACAGTAAATTGGCAAGCAGAATATGTTAAGTCCAAAGAAAACATTAGTCTTGGTGGCTAAGAGTGTTTTTCACAGGCTTCAGCTAGTAAGACAACAGTGACAGTTCCTGGACCGGGGCTGCTTGACTACTGGTTCAGGCACTGGTAACTTCAAGACAGGACTACGGCAAAGTATTCTACGTGGGGATTCCTTTGTGTTTGGTTTGGAAACCACAGTTAATGCAAAATGTTGCAGCACAATTGCTGACAGGAGTGTCAGCATTTGTGCTCAAATATTTGCACTGCCAGCAAGATCACTACTGCACTGAGATCCAGATGTTATTATCGCTATTTCAGGTGCTCACCACCTTGCAATCAGTTTACTTAAGAGATTGCCTGACTCCATACGTCTAACTCACTCACACCAATCTGCATAACTTGCACTTCTACAACGGCCACGCAATGTCTATTCCACATTTGTAAGAAGTCATTCCTTTAGTGTGAAGGCACCTGTACTTTAGAACTTCTTGCCTCTTGACATTAGGCAGACACCATTACTGAACTCTAATTCTGAAAATCTTCCTGTTTCAGTGGGTCTATCCAGCCACATGATTAACATGTGTTCTTAAATCTGTTATGGATGTTTTATTGTGCTTTATTGCATTAAAGTGCTTTCAAACGTTTTAAACAGATTTTTAAATTTTTAACAAAGAAGTGTTTGCCACCCTGAGTTCCTTTGGGAGGGAGGGTGAGATATTTATTTATTTATTTATTTATTTATTTAATAAATATTGAGGTAATGGTGATGACTAGCATAGTTGAAACACTGCTATCCATTGGAGGCTATAGTGTTTACTACCTGGAAACACGCCCTGGGTTCCGAGTTCAGTTGATTGCTAGATTTTATTATTATTATTAAAGCTATAACAGTAGGAGCTGCTTCCCTGGTGCCTACAGCTGGTATTGTGTAATAGAGTTCCAAAGCCATCAACTGTTGCTGGATAAAGCTTCAAGGAAGAAGAAGAAGAAGAAGAAGAAGAAGAAGAAGAGTTTGGATTTGATATCCCGCCTTTCACTCCCTTGAAGGAGTCTCAAAGCGGCTAACATTCTCCTTTCCCTTCCTCCCCCACAACAAACACTCTGTGAGGTGAGTGGGGCTGAGAGACTTCAAAGAAGTGTGACTGGCCCAAGGTCACCCAGCAGCTGCATGTGGAGGAGTGGAGACGCGAACCTGGTTCCCCAGATTACGAGACTACCGCTCTTAACCACTACACCACACTGTCTCTGTGTAGCCTTAGAAATTCATGATGGACAAGCCAGGTCAAGAAGATGCCTTGTGTCAGGGGAACTGCCTGCGACGTAAGCCCCAAATTCAACACAGGTACTGAAGTGGTAACAGCCACAGCTGATGTTGAGAGCAGGCTGACTCCCACAGAGAGCGGTGTCTTAGGCATGCTAAAGGAGATTGCCATTGCATCAATAATGGCCATATGAATGTACCACAAGTCACATTTATGAAAATTGTAGCAGAAGCCAAAAGGTTCTTATCTTCACAACTAGGGAAGCCACATTACAATCATCATGAAGGTGGGAGGAAAAAAGACAACGACCTGTAAATAACCTTCATTAACGTATCTTGATTCCTAAAACAAATCTCAGTCTTTCCCAGCCTGAATCATGTCCGATTCTAGAAATCCAATTGTTAAAGCAAAACTCCCAGCATATAGCAGGGCCCCTAAAGCAAAGGAATGACATAGCAGACAGAAATAAAGGGATATACCATATGTTGAGTAATAAAACTGGCAAACCTAGAAAGGTTCAAATACAGCTATTATACACACCTGGGCAAAAAGGGGGGTGGGGTGGCGAGGAATCATTAAGCAATCTGAGAACCTGCAAACAAAGAAACTGTAAAATTCTTAACTGTAAAGCAAAGGAAACACATCTAATCCCTCAGGAGTTTAAGTATGTATTTCAACTGGGTTATCCCATCCCTCAAAAGGACATAGAACGACACAAAAACCTACAGACATACAATATATCCACTGTGCGACTGTAGGCATTGAGCCAAACAGCGTCAGTACCCAACAGCCCTGGCACCTGTTGGTTTTGTCATCAACAAATATATTACCACTTTGTGGCACAGAGGAAAGGAAAACACTATATTAGAAATGCTCGCCTACCTCCAGAGAAGGCAAGAGAGGCAACTGGCATGTGCTTTATGGGAATTTAGTGTGATAGGGGAATTGGTTATGAGAAGTAGCATTGCAGGAGTTTGAACTTTTGTATATTTCAATTTCCTGTGCACCTCAAACATATGTGAACTGAACACCACACATTGTAGCTCGAGTATGCAGACTTTAGACTGTTCTCTCTCCCTCTCTCATACACAAACACACACACACACACACACACACACACACAGAGAGAGAGAGAGGGGGGGGAGTGAGAGAGTTGCATTTATAACAATATTTGTGCATCTACACCCTCCAATTGGAAACCTAGAACCAAAGATTTGCATAACACTTGCAGGATAAAAGCATAAATATTCAGGACACAGTTATGTGGAAACCTCGCATAGTAAATGTACAGTATAATTAAGAAAAGGCAGCAAGAGAAAAAGCCTTTAAGGAATCAAGTTTCTATTTTTGTTTTGTCTGATGCATGTAGTGTTTCCAATATAAAAGGTAAAGGGACCCCTGACCATTAGGTCCAGTCGTGACCGACTCTGGGGTTGCGGCGCTCATCTCGCTTTATTGGCCGAGGGAGCTGGCGTACAGCTTCCAGGTCATGTGGCCAGCATGACTAAGCCGCTTCTGGTGAACCAGAGCAGCGCACGGAAACGCCGTTTACCTTCCTGCCGGAGTGGTACCTATTTATCTACTTGCACTTTGGCGTGCTTTCAAACTGCTAGGTTGGCAGGAGCAGGGACCGAGCAACGGGAGCTCACCCAGTTGCGGGGATTCAAACCGCCGACCTTCTGATCGGCAAGTCCTAGGCTCTGTGGTTTAACCCACAGCGCCACCCGCGTTCCTGTTTCCAATATATTTATACCTATATATCCTCTACCAGAAATGACAAAGAACATATGCCATGGTTCAGAAGTGGAACTCAAGCTTTGCATGCAGAAGGTGCCAGGTTCATTCAGGCATGTCCAGGTAGGGCTAGGAGAGATCCATTTGAAGCCCTGCAGAGCTGCTGCCAGACAGCAGTACCAATGGTCTGATTCAGCACAAGACAGCTTCCTATGTCCCTAACAATAGGAGGAAGGCTGCTTACCGATACAGATCTCATCCACTCTATTCTGGTGGCATCAGATTGGCAAGCCTAGCTGAATTCAAATATTCAATGATTTTTTCAAGAACAGAATATACTCAGAAAGCACGTGGGATTCAAATAAGCAGGGTCAATTAATCCATTAGTGCAAGGAGTCATAATGACTGTGTTGCTAGGAGGAAAATGCCTCTACAGTGGGGTTGGCTGGCCATCCAGATGTTCAGACTCCAACTTCCATCAGCCACAGCCAGCATGGCCAATGACCAGGGATGATAGAACTTGTACTCCAACATCATCTTACATTCAATCTTCCTTAATTTTCTTGTATTCTTTGTTTTAGATTGTGAGCTTTTGGGATAATGTATAACCATTGTGATTGAGTTCCTGTGCACTGTGAGCAAGAAGTGTTTCATTCACTTGAATATCAATAATAAAAAAAATCCTTCCAGTAGCACCTTTAAGACCAACTAAGTTAGTTCTTGGTATGAGCTTTCGTGTGCAAGCACACTTCTTCAGATACACTGAAACAGAAGTTGCCAGATCCTTCTATATAGTGAGAAGGTGGGGAGGGTATTACTCAGAAGGGTGGTGGGAATGGGAGATTGGCAGATAGCTGAGATGAGCCTGCTGACGACTCTTAACGACTGTAATAGGTCTTACAGGAAAAGGCAAGGGGTGAGAAGGTGAGAAATGGCTTAGTCATGTATAATGGGATAAGAATCCAATGTCTTTGTTCAAACCAGGTCTCTCCATGGTTTTAAGTTTGGTAATGAGTTGCAATTCAGCAGCTTCTCTTTCCAGTCTATTTCTGAAATTCCTTTGTAGTAAAACAGCTACTTTGAGATCTTGTATAGAATGTCCTGGGAGATTGAAGTGTTCTCCTACTGGTTTCTCTGTTTTGTGATTCTTGATGTCAGATTTATGTCCATTTATTCTTTGGCGTAAGGTTTGGCCTGTTTGTCCAATATAGAGAGCTGAAGGACACTGTTGGCATTTGATGCCATACACAATGTTAGATGATGAGCAATTGAATAGTCCCGAGATGGTATGTGTGATGTTGTTGGGGCCAGTAATGGTGTTGTCCGGGTGTATGTGGCAGCAAAGTTGGCATCTGGGTTTATTGCAGGCTCTGGTGCCAGTGTCCGTGTTAAGTCTGGTTGTAGTATTATTGTGGGTTAGGAGTTGTTTAAGATTGGGCGGCTGTCTGTAGGCAATGAAAGGTCTTCCTCCCAGAGCTTGAGAAGAGAACTGTCATTGTCCAGGAGAGGTTGTAGATCTCTGATGATGCGTTGTACTGTTTTAACTTGGGAGCTGTATGTGATGACTAGAGGTGTTCTGTTATTTTCTTTTTGGGGTCTGTCTTGCAGCAAGTTCTCTCTGGGTATAAGTCTGGCTCTGTTGATCTGTTGTCTAACTTCATCTGCTGGGTATTTTAGTTCTGAAAAGGTTTGCTGTAGATCTCTTAGGTGAGTCTCTGTCTGTAGAATTGGAACAGATGCGGCTGTAACGTAGTGCCTGGCTATATACAATGGACTGTTTGGTATGTTTGGGATGGTAGCTAGAGGCATGTAGATATGTTTGTCGGTCAGTTGGTCTACGGTATAGGTGGTGTCTATGCGCCCATCCTGTATTTTATAGTAGTGTCCAAAAATGTATTTCTTGCATAGATTGATTCATTGTAAGGTTGATTGTGGGGTGAAAATCATTAAATTTCTGGTGAAAGGTGTCCAGGGTCTGTTGACCATGTGTCCAGATGATAAAAATATCGTCAATGTATCGCAGGTACAAGAGGTTTGAGTGGGTAGGAGTTTAGGAAACGTTGTTCTAAATCTGCCATGAAGATGTTGGCATACTGTGGGGCCATGCGGGTGCCCATTGCTGTGCCGCTGATCTGAAGGAACAGGTCATCACCGAATTTGAAGTTGTTGTGGGTAGGACAAATTGGCAGAGTTTGGTGGCAAGGTCCGCTGTGGTTTTATCTGAAATGGTGTTCCTTATAGCTTGTAAACCATCGTTGTGTGGGATGTTGGTATACAGAGATTCCACATCCATAGTAGCTAGTATAGTATTGTTGGGAAGATTATTTAAAGATTGTATTTTCCTCAGAAAATCTGTGGTGTCACGTACATAGCTGGGAGCACTGATGGCATATGGTTTCAGAACAGAGTCCATATAACCGGAGACACCCACTGTAATAGTGCCAATACCTGAAATGATGGGCGTCCTGGATTTCCTGGTTTGTGTATTTTAGGTAGAAGATAGAAGTTCCTGGTCGAGGTTCTGTTGGTGTGTTGGTGAGGATCTGTTCTTGGATGTGTGGGGTAGCTCCTTAACAATCTTGTTCAGTTCTTTCTTGTATTCTTGTGTGGGGTCTGAGTCCAATTTTGTGTAAAGGCGGTATTGGAAAGTTGTCTGTGAGCCTCCTGAATGTAGTCAGTTTTGTTCATGATGACGACAGCTCCACCTTTGTCTGCTTCTTTAATTATAATGTCTGGGTTGTTTCTGAGATTATCTATGGCTCTCCTTTCAGCATGGTTTAGATTTTGTTGTAAGCGATGGTGTTTTCTGGTCACATCTGTTTGGATTCTGTGGCGGAAGCAGTCAATGTACAAGTCCAGTGTGGTACAATGTACACACTGTGGTCAATGTACACTGGACTTGTACATTGACTGCTTCCGCCACAGAATCCAAACAGATGTGACCAGAAAACACCATCGCTTACAACAAAATCTAAACCATGCTGAAAGGAGAGCCATAGATAATCTCAGAAACAACCCAGACATTATAATTAAAGAAGCAGACAAAGGTGGAGCTGTCGTCATCATGAACAAAACTGACTACATTCAGGAGGCTCACAGACAACTTTCCAATACCGCCTTTTACACAAAATTGGACTCAGACCCCACACAAGAATACAAGAAAGAACTGAACAAGATTGTTAAGGAGCTACCCCACACATCCAAGAACAGATCCTCACCAACACACCAACAGAACCTCGACCAGGAACTTTCTATCTTCTACCTAAAATACACAAACCAGGAAATCCAGGACGCCCCATCATTTCAGGTATTGGCACTATTACAGTGGGTGTCTCCGGTTATATGGACTCTGTTCTGAAACCATATGCCATCAGTGCTCCCAGCTATGTACGTGACACCACAGATTTTCTGAGGAAAATACAATCTTTAAATAATCTTCCCAACAATACTATACTAGCTACTATGGATGTGGAATCTCTGTATACCAACATCCCACACAACGATGGTTTACAAGCTATAAGGAACACCATTTCAGATAAAACCACAGCGGACCTTGCCACCAAACTCTGCCAATTTGTCCTTACCCACAACAACTTCAAATTCGGTGATGACCTGTTCCTTCAGATCAGCGGCACAGCAATGGGCACCCGCATGGCCCCACAGTATGCCAACATCTTCATGGCAGATTTAGAACAACGTTTCCTAAACTCCTACCCACTCAAACCTCTCTTGTACCTGCGATACATTGACGATATTTTTATCATCTGGACACATGGTCAACAGACCCTGGACACCTTTCACCAGAAATTTAATGATTTTCACCCCACAATCAACCTTACAATGAATCAATCTATGCAAGATATACTATTTTTGGACTCTACTATAAAATTACAGGATGGGCGCATAGACACCACCTTATACCGTAAACCAACTGACCGACAAACATATCTACATGCCTCTAGCTACCATCCCAAACATACCAAACAGTCCATTGTATATAGCCAGGCACTACGTTACAGCCGCATCTGTTCCAATTCTACAGACAGAGACTCTCACCTAAGAGATCTACAGCAAACCTTTTCAGAACTAAAATACCCAGCAGATGAAGTTAGACAACAGATCAACAGAGCCAGACTTATACCCAGAGAGAACTTGCTGCAAGACAGACCCCAAAAAGAAAATAACAGAACACCTCTAGTCATCACATACAGCTCCCAAGTTAAAACAGTACAACGCATCATCAGAGATCTACAACCTCTCCTGGACAATGACAGTTCTCTTTCTCAAGCTCTGGGAGGAAGACCTTTCATTGCCTACAGACAGCCGCCCAATCTTAAACAACTCCTAACCCACAATAATACTACAACCAGACTTAACACGGACACTGGCACCAGAGCCTGCAATAAACCCAGATGCCAACTTTGCTGCCACATACACCCGGACAACACCATTACTGGCCCCAACAACATCACACATACCATCTCGGGACTATTCAATTGCTCATCATCTAACATTGTGTATGGCATCAAATGCCAACAGTGTCCTTCAGCTCTCTATATTGGACAAACAGGCCAAACCTTACGCCAAAGAATAAATGGACATAAATCTGACATCAAGAATCACAAAACAGAGAAACCAGTAGGAGAACACTTCAATCTCCCAGGACATTCTATACAAGATCTCAAAGTAGCTGTTTTACTACAAAGGAATTTCAGAAATAGACTGGAAAGAGAAGCTGCTGAATTGCAACTCATTACCAAACTTAAAACCATGGAGAGACCTGGTTTGAACAAAGACATTGGATTCTTATCCCATTATACATGACTAAGCCATTTCTCACCTTCTCACCCCTTGCCTTTTCCTGTAAGACCTATTACAGTCGTTAAGAGTCGTCAGCAGGCTCATCTCAGCTATCTGCCAATCTCCCATTCCCACCACCCTTCTGAGTAATACCCTCCCCACCTTCTCACTATATAGAAGGATCTGGCAACTTCTGTTTCAGTGTATCTGAAGAAGTGTGCTTGCACACGAAAGCTCATACCAAGAACTAACTTAGTTGGTCTTAAAGGTGCTACTGGAAGGATTTTTTTTATTTTGACTATGGCAGACCAACACGGCTACCTATCTGTAACTTGAATATCAATGATGGACTTCCACATGCATCACAACTGTGAGCCCCCATCTTTCTCCAGCATTGAAATGAATAGAAAAGGTATTAAACTTAATTGCTCCTTGTTGAAATGTTGAAGGGAAGAGTACCAAGAGTATAGGCTATATGATGCACATATTCCCACATCTAAATAACCTCAAATATTTTTTACTGTAGTTCTTCATGGCACTGTTTGTCTAGGAGTTTACAATCCAAGTCAGAAGTTCTCACAGCACATGAGATGAGACTTAACTGCTGGAGTACTAAACTTTGTACACACAAGCAAACAAGCAAACAAACACAAAAACACACTGTATATGATAGGTGAGAAGCATGTTTTGGAAGAAAAGACAGGGATGCTATTTACTAAGATATTTTGCAAGCAACAGAAATGCCACAGAAACCCACAAGGGAAACAACTGGGAAACCAAGCCTAGGAAAGTTGGATAAGTGTTAGCAACATGGAGTGAACAAAGATTCAGGGTGTTGAAGGAATAAAAGCACAGATGCTTGCATGCAAAGCATAAAAATTCAAAATCTTGGTCATGCTTTCAGAGAAAAAACCCACATGACTCTGAAAGGTCTCCAGCTATGAAGGAAGACAATCTAGGAAGATCATCTAAGCAGGAAAAAAGGCAAGATTCTGACAGCTTTCAACAGCTGTACCTGTGGTCTCTACCATTTGTCTCTAATCATGCCAACTGCTGAGATCATCATCAATCCCCTGTCTGCCACTCTATGTCCATATCAAATGAAGACAACATAGGAAAATCCTGTTAGTTCACATTTTAGATGGACATATGTGGGGCCATGGAAAGAGCCGCTGAACAATTTAAAAACTCTTGCTTTGTGCACTCTCCTTTCCCTACACATCTTTTGCAAAAACATATGATGGCTGGAGTATTCTATATTTAGCAATATCTCAAGAGGCTTTATCATTCATCAGGTGTTCTTAAGAGATTCATACACACATCCCAGGGCTTGTGACGGAAGAATAGCTATAATAAATTAACTAATATTCCAAATTATCACTTAGCATAAAGACACAAACATGATGAGCAACATATAAAGTGTAAGATGTTTAGATCACATGCAAAATGTTTTTCTTCTTTCGGGTCCAAATAGCAAATGTTTAAATGCTTAAGCTCAAACAAAAGGTTTCATATCAACTAGTTGCATTAATTGCACTAATGTTAATTCTTGCATGTGCACAACTATTTTGCTGACTACTGCCCACAGTTAATATCATATATTTATTAACATATGTGTAAGTGTTCCACATGTCTATTGGAATGACATTTTGCTCTTTAAAAAAAACACAAAGCAGTTGGGGAGAAGTGAAAATCCATCTCCATAAATTCTTAGACATTGTCCCCCTTCCCAAACATGTATGTTTAGTTTACATGCTGTATAGGACAGGATATGGTTTTGGCAACTGCCAAAAATCAATTTTCCTCAGTGTGAGAGTGTTTGTCTGTGTTTGCATTATATCCTACGGACATAAGCCTCAGAACGGAACATCTACACAAAAGATTTCTACTAGATACTGAACAGGCTCATAAACAATACAAAATTTACAAGGGAAAAAGATGTAAGAATGGGATGTAAGAAGAATAAGTTAATTTAATTATGTACAATGACTTAAAGCAACACAATGGAGTACAATGCAAGAAATGATCAATGGCCTTCTTAAAAACCGGACACTGGAGTAGAGTGGGGACCATGGCATATTAAAATTGCTAAAATTACTTGAGAATTTAGTACACAGACATAGCTTCCCAGCTTGCATTATAACCACACTTCCACTTCCCAACAGCAAACATACAACTGGATAACTTGTGAACGGCTCCAAAAGAACGAGTAGTTACCAGGTTTCTTCTTTAAATTCCAGCCATGTACTCTGATGTGTATTCTTCAGAAAATACCTGACAAATTCCAAAAGTCACATAAGAACACAGCAGGTCTATGGAATTTTACACCTACTTGTAATCAAAGATTTTCCTGAAATTTCCAGAGACTTTTTGCAGCGTTTCTCAGCTTCCTGTACATGCATGTGAAAACAGGGGGGAGGGGGACTGCCACAGGAAACATTAAAAAGATTTTAGGATAAATTGGGAGTATATAGTGTAAACCAAATCCCCTCCGGCACAGCCCTCTCCCCCAATACACAATGAAAGTGCTGTGGGTTAGAGGGTACACTGTAAGGGTGATTAAAAACAAACGGTTATCAGATGTTTAGGAAAAAGGAAAGTGAAGGAGGAAATAATGTTGGTTTCCTTGAATATACCGAGAGGAGAAATATTGCTGCAGTAAGAGGGGGCGGGGAACCCTACATGTTTGCTGAGAATTATACTTCTAATACCTTGTTTCAAATAACCAGTGCTATTTTTCTAGAAAAAAGGTTCCAGAACTCACCTTCTTGTCTTACAGTGGCAATGCGCCCATCTGAGTTCCAGCCAGAACCAAGTTCTGGCTGGAAAAAAAAGCCCTGCGAATAACTAACCAATAAAAGCAAACAATGAAATGGTCCTGAAATGGATTGCTAACAACAGAATCAAGTAAGGAGCCTGATGTACCGGCTCAGTTTGGATGATCATTTTTTTGCTTATTTAACAGACTCTTTTGCAAACAGGTATTCTCTTTGTCTCTTCCTTTGTGAAAACTGAAATTAAACCAGAAATTCTCCAATTAACCATAGTTTCCTACTTTGCCCATAATGAGCAGACCAATTCAAATAAATGGAATATTGATTTCAATGGGTCTGTCCCAAGTATGACTTAGTGAGAATGCCACTCTATGGTTACAACTTCGGAACAAGTAAGGATCTTAAATGAGCTAAAGATCTTGGGCTTGTTTCAAAGCTGGTAACAGATACACTAATACAATCTTGCAGATAGTAAATTAGTCTCACTTTGAAAAACTCAAATCTTTATTAGTTTATTGGACTTTCTTCTTTTACAAACTCTTGTAAATATAAGGAAGAACTCAAGTCCTTGAACAATATGGCAACACCTATTATTGTCTATTAATAGGCAGTTTAATATTTCAAAATGTGACATGGGAAATTTATTTATTGTATACTACAGTTCCTCATACACAGTTGAGAGCAACTAACATTTATAAAATACTTCATTAAAAATATACTTAAAACAGTATTTACTATAAAATACAATTTATGAAAATTGAGCAATACAGTTGAACAAGTTGAGCCACTCCAGCTATGATCCAAAGGGCAAAAATTGGTAGGTCTTCAGCTATTTGCTTAATAAATATAAAATGTGGGGCAGTCAAATCTCGTACTGGGGAAAAGTTCCATAGATAGGGGAGTAAAGTGTTCTATTGTTTTCAGTTACTTGATTAATGAAGCCTAGACTTAAAGCAATGGCTTCAATTTGAAAATATGCATGGATTTAACCAGATTACTCACAGGAACCAGATAATTTCTCTCTAACAAGACTACACATATATCTCAAATCACAGATGCAACTCCAGAAATGCTGCTAAGGAGATAGTGCACCTGAATGCTAGGTCAAAATTCTAGTTTGGGGGTTATGATTGAAGGGGGCTCCTTCATAAATTGTAATTGGCTTTTAACAGTGTCATGCCATTTTAATCAGTGAATATCATACAAAGAAAAAAGAAAGTGGGAGAAAATAATTGATTCTGTAGACATTCTCCCAAAGTTTTTAAATGCCCCTTAGAAAATAGATTCTTTTGTTTTAGTAATAAAAATAATTTATTTTGCCACATTTCTATTTTTGACCGATATATTGTTCAATTAGTAACATTTTGTGTTAATTTATTCAATTCCACTAATTTTACAAACTGCATACATAGGCTAAATGTATCTCATTTTAAGAGCACTTATTTTCTAATTGCATGAAACAAGGATTTGCTTATTTATTTTCTCCGCTTTCAACAAATCAAGTGATTCTAGGGTGGGGTACATCACACACTCCATAAATATTACAACTACTCTTCTCTTGAAATATTAGTGGCTTATTGCATTATTATAAACCTGGCTAAAGAAGTAAGGTTTTATACTTAAAGAGATATAGATCCAAATGATATATATTTTTCCAAAACCAACAAAAGTGGGCAATTTTTATCAGTCAACCAATGTTAGAATATACAGTCAACATAGGTAATCCCTTATACATTTTGCTCATTGGCCTTAAAGTCTAATAGATATAATTCATAAGAATTCAGTTGCTTCAAAATGTTTTTAATGGTGTTTTTAATGTTGTAATCCGCCCCTGGACTTTACGGTGAAAGGCAGGTAAGGAAGGAGGAGGAGGAGGAGAAGGAGTTACCTTAGTGATTCCTGTTAAACAGTGGGGCAAATATTCAAACACAGAAGCTTCGATTTGGCACAATGAAATATATTACAATGTTGTAAAAGTTGGAACACTGGTACCAAGATGAATCAGAAATGTATCAATCTGTTCTGATTACTTTGGACAAGATTTTAAAACCAATATTATTTAAAGAGCTATTGAAAGAAAATTCAGGAACATTAATGACGTTGCTTTTCACAAGCAACGATAGATTTTCAACAAATCTATTACACAGGATCTTCATAAACTACCTAGTCAGAGTGACTGTGTTTAACAAATAAACCTCCAACAAATACATAAAAGACTGTATTATAATCACTGGAGCTTACACAATTTTATTATTAAAACTTTCTATACCACCCTCATCAGAGGATATAAAAACACAAAAATAGACCCTATAGGTTCAAAAAATAAAAGAAAAAAACCCCTCCCAAAAAACAATAACCCCAAACATGTATCAATCTGTTATTATTGTTTTGTTACATTTCAACAGATTTCTGGTTCAAAACACAAATTTGCTATTAAATTGCTATTAAATTCAATAGGAGAGGTTCTAAATAATGCAGAGCATTAAAGAAAATTATTTAGAATTACTTTTGAATATGGCTCTAAACAAGAAAACTGCAGCAGTGCTTGCATTTAACTAGTAACATCACATGTTAAAATGAGATTGAAGTAATGTAGAATAGTCTGAAAAAAGAAAGGGAATTTAGTAAATAAACTGCTGAAATAAACTGCTGAAATACAGTGAACTGCTGTTGTAATTGCTATTGCTTTGTTTTTCAAGAGAATTATCGAAATATCTTGGAATGTAAGAGTCACAGAACGCATCATAATAATGCCTACATTTACAAAAACAGAGACAAATGCTATCAACAAGTTTTACCATCATCCTTCAACTGTGGAAATATTTTGTTTTGCAGGATTAATTTCTTCTCCCCATACTCCAAGCGAAATACCCAAGTTTAAACAATTTGTAATTGTACTAAATTAAGCTGATTAACAAAGATTAGCACAAAAGACGATTACTTGTTAAATATATTATTTGCATTATACATAAGTAGAACTAGTGTTTATATTTGGGGGGCGTCATATCATAAGTGAGCAAGCTCTCTCTGTGGCTTTATTTCTCATATGGTACTCACTTTAATATTTTCAGCCTTGCCTAAGGCTGCAATTTGAACTAACTGAAGTCATAGGAAGAAAATCTTACTGAACTCAATGGGGAAAGGATCACTTTCAAAATCACTTTTGGAAATGGGCTGTATGTTAGTAATGGTCATACTCTGGCCTGAGCCTCAGGGCAGTTAAATAGATTTTACTGCATTAAGCGACCCAACTCAAAACCTTTATTCACAGAATATACTACTGCTATCTAACACAACTAGACTTTTGCTTTATCGGGGGTTTCAGCCAACCCAACACTTAAAAGTTTTTTTCAGGGTCAGACTCTGGAAAAATGAAATCCCGGGCAGTTTCTCATTTAGATATTGAACACAACAAAATTTCCAACACTGTATAACTTGGGAAAGCAGTTTTGTAGCAGCACTGTTATATTATGAAAGAGTTATGAAGGGAAGCACACCCAACAGAGCAAATTTTACATTTGACGTATTCTTGATATGGCCATGTTAAAAAGGTTACTGTTACACACACACATAAAAACAAGCAAACTGAAAAAGTGACTTGATATATAGGACTATCACCTGTCGTGTTGCTCTACCTGTAAAAAAGGCAACATGCCACCATACAGAAGCCTGCTGCATTGCATAAAAAGAAATTCCTCCAGCTACCATTGTGACAAGCAGTATCGTATCATTGGAGAAAGCCACATGCTTCTGAGTGAAGTAAAAATAATGGATCACAGGACATGTCTAAAAATAATAATCAATTAATTATCTGGCTTCCCCAAAAGACTTTTTTGGATGCATCAATCCAAAAAGAACACAATAATATTTTTTTAGAAAAGATTTTTAATAGTGATTAATTGAATTTAAAAAAGCACTACAAAATGCCTCCCTTAAATGTTTCCCCATATTATTTTTGGAACAGAGATTACAAGGACAACCGACAAATTTCAGAAGAGGTGAATAACCAACAATGTATGAGCTGGGTTTATATATTTTCTTTGTTATGTGAAGGAATATGCAGTTCTAAGTACTAAAATGAATTACTCTAAATATTTAGAATATTTCGGCATGTACAGCTGAAAATGTCAGACATCACTTTGCAATTCAAACCATTCCCTTTTATGCAACTAGCACAGATATTAAGCAATGCTTCCAACATCTCTGGGTGCTCATTTTAATAGGTATGCTTTGTTCTTCTTAATTGACAATAGACTAAATAAAGAGAAGGGTGCTTTGTGCACAGCAAATTAGAACATAAGGATCACCTCAAAACGAGAACATCGAGAGCATGAAAGTCAAGTAAAACTTTTTATTAGTTACAGAGCTGCCACTGAAGACAGCATAATTCTTACTACTTAAAATTGCAGGCTATTGTTTTCAGTAGTACTTTACCGGTCAATAAGCCTGATGGATTTCAGAATCCCTCCCCAATAATATGTGGCACCAACACATGTTCTACAGTAACGGCCTTAATCACCTTTTATGAGCAATGGTGTCCCTTTTTGGAGATGAAAACATCTGTGGGTCACATAGAAAACAAAGTTAGGCTTCCAACAGAAACTTATACTCTGCTCTGAAACTCTAGATGACAAAAGCTTTTAATCTTCATAGTTGGGATGACCGTAAAATATTTCCTAGTCACTGCTGGCTTCTAGGAAAACTCATGCATTGTAAAACTGCACACGTTCTCATACATAAGACAGACATCTCAATCTTCTGAGGTACAGAATGATTACACAGTTAATTTTTCAAGCTTTGCCAACAATCCAGTCTTATATGCCCACTGGCATATAAGCAGAAGACTACAGAGGCAAGCAACGACTCAATTTTCAGCAATAAAAAGTGTGAGAAGGGAACATTTAGCGAAACAACAATAGTTGCTATTCAAAGAAGAAGAAGAAAGTTAGGGTAGATATTGAATTTCTGTGACTTCTGAATTTAGAATTGAAATTCTGATAGCAACGTTGTAACACACACACACACACACACACACACACACAAACTACACAACCTTACTTGTTTACATTTAAAGCTCTTTTCCCTGATCTACAACTCTGGTGCACTTCAGTGTACTTTCAACTAGCATACAAGAGTAAGCTTCCCTAGTCACAAACAGCTCCATGTGCCAAAGATTCACACATGAAGGCGCTTCCTTCAGTGAAGTAAACAGAAAATGTCTTGAGCTGATAGGCCCTTGGTTCACATCTTATTTCCTGTGTGCAGAAGCACCTGCTGCATTGAGGTCAATAAATATTCCATACAATAATATCCCACATGTCTCCATTGCATGCCAAGCGGTGGTATCATGTGGCCCCTTTATTTTATCAGCTGCGCCAGCTGCCAGTTTGTTTCCGAGTATAACTCAAGGCACTGGCAATCACATTTCAAGTCCTAAACATTTTGGGGCCAAGCTACTGGAAGATCAGCTGATGCGGTCCTCTTGTGTGTGCCACTGCCTTCTGAGACACAGGTAGAGGCAGTGTGTGGAAGGTCTTCCCTGTGGCAGACCCCATTATGTTAACGCCAGCCACAAGAAACTAGGTCATCTTCTTCGTGATCTGTGTTCCATCAGTGTTTGAAGACATTTCTCTGAACACGGAGAACAATGTGCAGAAATGAACAGTTCATCAAGCTGTGCCTATTGCCCTGTCAAACAATGCTAGGGAATGTGCAGAGCCTGGTGGCATAAACAGAGTATTTCATACATTGCGCAATCACAAGGCACAGTCTACATTTAGACTCTACACACATTCACCAGTAACTGTGTGAAATTTTCAAAAGCATTACTATCATGGGGCTTATTTTTACTGGACTGCTTATGCTGCTGTTATGTGCACATTCTCGTATGAGGTGAAGACACACAATGGCTGGTGTTTTATGTAAATAGTTTAAATAAACACACTCATAACAACTCCACCAGTTCACTTTTGCATGCAAGAAGTTCCAGGTTCAATAGTTGGCAACTCTTTTAATTTACCAGGAAGAAGATGATTGAGGGGCGGGGGCGATGGAGACTAGATGGATCAATAGTCTGAGTAGGCATAAGGTAGTTTCATACAGGCATGTGAATTTCTCCTCAAATATGAACCTACCCATTTCTTTAGATAGTTCTCCAAGGTATTTCTTGAAGTCCTGTCACTACTACCAGAAGGTGGGTGGATACCAGAGATAGAACTTTTTCCATCATGGAACCCCACTCTTGGCATTCCCTTCTCAGGGAGGCTCATATAGCCCTGGTTTATTCATGACGGTTTCACCTAAGACCTTTTTCCTTAAGAAAGCCAAGCAAATTTTGCAGATAGGTAAAATAATAAAACAAAGCCTGAATAAAACAAACTCAATCCTACGTACCTATTTCAACAGAGGGTAGCGGAACTCAAAGAAGTTTCTAAGTACAAGTGTGGCAGAGCTTGAAAGGATCAAGTTCAAGATGCTGCATTGAGTTGCAGCAACACAAGTCCTTGTTTCAGAGTGCTTTCGTGTGATGTACCTTAACATATTCAGTTAATCTTCATTATTCCAATTTAACATACTGGAAAAATGAGGATGTGGTTTCAAATTACATTTTGTACAAAGAAACAATATTACTCAGCTTATGGGCCAATACACCACACAGCGAGTGAATTGCACAGCATAGCATGTAAAGTTCGTTACTGTTGAGACGCCTAATTATTTTTCAGTCTATGCACACACCACCATGTAAGTTCTAACTTTAAATTCTTCTGACAACATGCCTTTGAAGTTTATCCACTGCAAAAAAGGAGAGAGAGACAGAAGAAAGAAAAAAAGACAGTCTGACTTGCATCCAAGTGCAGAGATTCAGGCAATGGTGTGTGTTTCTTTTTTTCTTTTATAAAAAAAAAATATTGCGGCTTGCTTCTCCAATTTAAAACCTCACACAGCGTTGAAAATGCAAAGGCTCTATTAGAAATGTAATTCAAATTAATGAAACACAAACATGGGGAAGACAAAAAATAACTTTAATGTGGGTTTTATAAAGCACAATTTTGACACTCTGGAAGAGAAACACATTATATAGCAAGAGAGGGGAGAAAATGCAATCTATGTTAGTTCCCATATAAATCATCCACATACTGTACTGACACCAAGGGGAGAATATACAACTTAAACTATGTCCTAATTCAATCCAGTACTGCTGTGTGCTACCATCAAAACATTAGAAAACCGTATTATATATCCATGCATGCTTAGTTAATGAGAAAGTTAGGGGAGTGCAATGATTAAGAAGAAGCTGTAAGGAAGGAAAGCTTGATTCAAACCTCATCTCAACCATGCACTCACTTGATTGCCTTAGGCAAGCCACCGTCTCAGGCTCCCCGCTGAAACAGGGAAATAATAATACTGGCCACTATATAAAACTGCTGTGAGAATTTCTGAGAATCTAGGTGTACATTGCTTTGAATGTGCTACATAAACACGGAGTATTGTAAGTATACATGCAAATGTACATAGGAAGGTTGCCATGGAAATGTCGTAGCTTCTTCAGACCTAATTTTTTTTTTCCACAGGCAAGATCTGCAATGTACTAGGCTCCTGCACACCCAAGAGCATCTCCATTCAATGCAATGCTAGACTATGAAGTGCACATGCCTTTTCCTTGTACGTGTAAAGCTGCCCTTGACTTAAGAAAAGAATAAATTGTGAAGTCAATTTAATGACAGAGGAATAAATGGACAGAATGTGCTTATCTGAGGGTCGGCAGAGGTTTAGTGCATCATATGTATGCACAATTTCTTTTTCCAATTTATTATGCCTTCATTTCCCTGTAATTGCTTCAAAACAGGAATTCAAGGTTTCAAGAAAAGTGTAATGAAGTTTTTATATCTCATGGTTGGAAAAAAAGTCTTGAAAAATCACTGTATACAAACAATAACTTAAGATGCACTAGTTTATCAGATTTGGGGGGGGGGGGATTGAGTTATACACAACAAATATAGAAACAAACAGTTTTACTCCCAAACTGTCTTCCTGTTCTGACTTACTAACCAATAGGTCACAGTGTATATTTCATACTGAGGATATATACCAGTTCCAAAATTAATCAGACTGATTTTAAAGATGGAGTTAACTGTCCCCAAATGAAATCAATGAGACCCAGCTTTTGTGGGACTTGCACCCATAGTAACTGCACTGGAGTCAGCCACAGTCAAAACATAATGCTTTTCATATGCCTATTTAAAAGTAACGGAGATGAAGCTGATATAAGCTGCCTTTCATCCAGAATTTCACCAGCCATATTAATGAAGTCCATGTTTACATAAGCAGATATTATGTGCATTAGTTTAATTCTGAGCACACTTTTAGCGTGCACCCGAAATGCAGGGGTAAAACTAAACAGGATTAATTCAGATGACCACCGATTTCCCGAATGCTAGGATTACGTTTAAATTCATATTAAACCTTTTAACCATTAAGACTTGCGGAATGTAACGATGCACTTGTGAAGCAGGGTTTTAAAGGGGCTTAAGTACAGAGGTAAACTCTGGGATTACATTTAAAGTAAAATAAAAGGACAGAGCAAAGTGCATCCAAGCTAAACTTGCTATAAAATAATAAACATAAAGTGTTGAAAGAGGCTTACAGTGCACAGTACTGAGGAATGGAGAAGGGAGGGGGGAAGAGAGCTTGAGACTCAGCAATGAATCAACAGAAGTGCCTCTTTTTAACTACACCCCCCTCCCCCCATTAGACGCATTTTTCTAATTGACACTGAATTAGCATTTACTACCCTACTGCACTCTACGTGGCAAACACTTTAATGGAAACCGCTTGATGGTTTTGGCTCATGGTAGAGGTGTAACAAACAAGATTTAGTGGGCAGAGGGAATGGCAGTGTCACACTGAACAGCACACTGGCTCTCTTCTCTTTACTCATATGGGGAGCTATGCATGGACTGCTTGCCCTTGACCAGTAAATGAGCACCTCTAAAACAATGAATTAATTATGCATTCCCCGTGAGTTTGGAGACTGTGCTTAATATGATTAGTGCTGCTGTCTACCCAACTTAAGTGTTGACGTGTATTTTAAAAACTGAAAGTGGGGTGGGATGTCTTCTGATACCCAGAACATTAATTCTGAAGTCTTCTTAGTGTCTGCATAATAAAAGTGGAGCCTTCTCACAAGTGCCATAAAGGAAACAGGTCAATATACATGCACATACTCTACTGGTACTGTCTAAGGTTGTTATTCTTCATTTTCATTGAAGACAAAAAGGGGAAAATGAAAGAAATAAAAAGATCCCTCCCCCCCTTCTGCCCCCCAGCAAATGTATAACATTCCAGAACATTACAATAATGAAACAATAGAAAGCAGTTTCCTTAATAACTTGCTCAATATTACCTTCTTCTTCGTACCCATAATATTCTACCATATTTGACAAGCTAATTTTCAGCTTCCTTTTGCAAATATGCTCTTTTGTGTTTAAACAGTCAGCATTTTCACATTCTCTAGACATGCATAACAATATTTCAAAACTATTTTATTTATGCAATGGATTAAATAGTGCATATGTGCCACGGCAATTTACCTAACAGTACTTAACAGTTTCACAGCCTACGAATCACCAAACTAATTTTACATGTCTATCAAGATGATTGTTTCTAATGTGCATTTCTTTGTAATAAATCTTAACTAAAATGGCTATTCATTTGTTGAAAGTAGCGGTAATGACTCATTGCAGAGGAGAAATAACTTTAAAAAATTAGACCAACACAAAAAACCCAACTGGCAAATTTAGCATGAAAAGTAAGGAAAAAAATCTTTACAGTTGCTATGCCACAAAGGAACCCAAGTCTAAATGCAATTCATCCTGCTTCCTTTTGAAAGCCCATTTGCAATTTCTCACAATTCTTAGAGTAAACCCTTGCTGTTACCACACGATAAGATAAATTTGTAGTGTTGAACTGCGTATTGATGAGAAAGACAGTGTTGATTATAGCTCCTGGAAGACCACCCAGCTAGATAGCCGCATGCAATAACAATTTTTCCTCTTTGTCAACTAATAAGAGCTCATGGCAGGATAAAATTGACTGTTGAACACTGAATATAGTTGGGCATTTAAGGCTGGAATCTGTGCCTTTTGCAAGCTTAAAGGAACATATTCATGCTAGCTGTAGTCTGCTTCTATTTACCTTTAAAATAAATAATCTGCAACACCAGTCACTGTGAAATAATTCGGCTACAAAAACTAGTCATGCAATCTAAAGAACTTTTCTTTTGTAGGCTTCTAATCAGGAAGGGGGCGGAAAGCAACTTACCTGCTGCTATGAGTTAGGGTGATGATTTCCATGCTAGAAACTCTAGTGTTTAGCAGAGATCTCCACATTCCGTAACAACGTATTTCACTTTACCACAATTATACCAGTGATAGTTCATGAAAAGCACTAGATACATTTATGAAAGGAAAAAGGCAACAGCTATTTCCAGTTACAGCCTGGACTGGCTTAAAGAATCCCATAACCTTCTTGGAGTCTTGGAGCAGATGACACAATACTCGTTGATTTCCCTAAGTATTTTTTTTAAAAAAACAACAACATTCAAATAGCTGCATGCTATTATTCTCTCTTCACGATACCTTGTTTCTCCCCTGCAAGACAGCCACTGAGCTCAGGGCAATAAAACATGCTGCGTTCATTGGAGAAAAGCTCTACCTCTCTTCTACAAAGTTGTTTTACTTTTACAGGAGGTGTTCAGAAGAAGGAGTAAGCCTATTTATGCAGAACTATCAACAGCTATATAACATAAAAGATGAAGAAACCAGCTTTACTGACAATACCCAGTTTAAGTTGCTTCCTAAAGGACAGGGACAAGCAAAGGTAGCTATAGTAATGAGGCTTATCCTCCATACTGGCAGGAATAAAATCTAGAAACACAGAAAATACATGACTGAAAACTCGAGTCAAACACCCACATGGTTCAACTTAATATGGACAGATTAAAGATATTTTGACTAGCTCTGCAGTTAAATTACATGCACCTGTTACAGCAGTATTAGTAGCACCTAGACCTCACTGCAAAAAAAGAACATGCTGGTCTACAGACATTAAACCCATACAGATTGCATTTCAAATGCTTAGCTCTGGAACAGAGCAGATTTATGCATCAATTTCACAGTTTCCTTGGGGTAAACCATTTACATAAAAATAATTCCACCTAATATACCATAAAAACAACATTTCTTAATTTAGACTCTGTACTACAAATTTGTATAATTAACTTTATGATCTGTGTAAAAAAGTGTTTTATCAGCCTCTTGTTTGCTTTATGTATCTGCAGTCTTTCCACAGCCAAGTTATATGAATTAAAAGAGAAAATTCCTGTTACCAGGCTTAATTTTAGATATCAATAAATTCAGTTATTTTATTCCCACACAGCTTTCTGGGCAGTCAAATAAAGTAATTAAAATTGAAAAAAGCTAATATCACTGGTATTCCACTTCAAATTTACTTCTCAAATCTATCTGTCATCAGTCATCTATACATAGCTTACTTGCTTTTGTAGAATTATAGTCAAATACAGATATTTAGGGAAAAGGTATTGGTGGAAACCTACCCCTGCACCCAAATCTGTTCTGGCAGGTTTGGAACACCCCCAAACAGATGGGGGGGTGCAGGATGAACAAGGAGGAGCTAGGGAAAGGAAGTCGAACTGTACAGGCAGAAGTACTTGCACTAACAGAACAACTTCATCAATTACAACCCATATTTGCTAACTTTATCTTTCTTAGTATGCCAACCAAAAAACCAACACAGCTAACTAAAGGGTCATTCAGGCCTATTCTGATGTTAACTTGTCTTGCTGCTGACTGTATTATTTTAATGACTGAATTCTATTTTTTTTGTTTTATGTATTTTATCTGTAATGTATATTTTATTAAGTCTATTTTGTATGAAACACTTGTAAACTACTTAGATATTTTTCCTGAAACGTAAAGTGGCATATAAGTTACTTAAATAAATACCTGAGGTTTAAAAATTAAACCTAAATAGAAAGTAAAATACATTATTTAAAGTATAAAACACTAGAAAAATAAAAACATTTCTTGTGTAGCTGAAACCCTAGGCATTTTTGTCAATGCTGATCAGTTCCCACCACCCCAGCAAAATAACGCAAGTTATGAGATCAAGAATTTGCTCAATGTGTGATTGCACAATTTAGTTCATTATGAACTTGCAGATAATAAGGATAACTCAGTTGCAAAAAGGGGAGGGGGGCTGGCTTGCATTAAAACAAATATCACTGAATAAAGGGAGGAAAGAAATACCCTATGGCTATGATTCAGATAAAGTTATTTGTGACTAAGATCAATTAGTAAAGGATACATAAGCACAGCAGCTATCAATAATTTCTACCCACTCTTTTGTCAAAAGATTTTGAGCAACTGAATTAGTGTCTAAATACCCACACTCTTAATTTTGCATTTCCCCCTGGAGATCATACTAACAATCCCTTAATCTCAGATTGATTGTAAGTGCTTCACCCTGCCACCCATATCTGGAAATCCCACACTCCTTCAACCAGTCACAATTGCCAAGGAATCCTGCCCTCAGTCTACCCACTTACAACAACCACACCTGAACTTTTCACCAGGCAATGGAAGAGAAAGACATTAACAGGCCATCCCATATAATAGAGGGATATTTGCATGAGGTACTAGAATACTGAAGATGGAACAACAGGTCAGGTAAGAGTGAGGGATACAAAATATATCCGTCTCCTTTTCTTAAAACAAACCATTGCAAACAGTTCAGCAGCTGGAATTCAGATGCTACATTTATGATTATGTCTAGATTAAGAACACACACTTTATTCCTCTAACCACCACAAACCAGTACAAGAAAGGACAGCATAATTCAACCACGTACAATACATAAAATGTTAGGAGTCAAACTGATGATTTACTCTGAAGATGCTGCAAGACACATCTGGTAAAGGAAAAAAATACTTTTACTAAAGCGCTACTAACAGATGACCGTAGTCTATTAGACTTTTTCTGATAACTTTTACATCTGCCATTAATTTTCACTTAGTTTTATCTGCTCTCCCAACCTGTATCCAATTTCACCTTGGCTTGCATTTTATTGCAATCCCAATGACAAACCCATCAACCGAAAGCACCAATCATTGCTTAAGAAAGTATACAACTAGCAAGCGTATTGCTTTCCTTTACCCAGTACAAACACAGTAAGTTCAAATGATTTGCTCACAATAACCTCAACGGGGTTTTAAAATGCTTCTCTTAAAACATTTAAATATGAGCTGCTTCTTAGAGTATATTGTCTATGCATGGTCCTGAGAAGGGTTGACCAAGTTCGGAAAGGAACGAGACAGAAACTTTTTTGGCATGATGCACTGGGGGCAAGCCTGTAATTTAGGGCTACCTTTTAACAAGGCCCCTTTAAACCTCAGCACTGTCCTGAATGGCAGTACTTGTAAATATATCTCTGCTGCTCCCTCGACAGAAAATATACCAAACTCTCAAGTATCCATTTAACACCCAAGGGTCCTACCTGTCTTTAAGGAATTTTTATAAAGTGGATGGTGACCCCAGGCTATTTGACTACTTTGTAGTAAGACATCAATGGCATTAGGAGAGATATTCCTTTGATCATGGCACTACATTTTAAAAATCCTGAATATTTCACCCATGCATGTACATTTACACTAAATAAGAAATATGCTACAAAACCACAAATGAACTCCACTGTAGTCTATGTTCCCTTATTAAAGTGGAATCCTTTGATATTTCAGCAATAAAAAAATGCCTTGATTTGCAGAGATACTTCACTGGATAAAGTTCCTTCCAGCGTGTGCTTTTCAAAGGAACCGCACAAAATCATTACAAAGTAGAAAACCAAAATACGTAATAATTATTGTGATCAATTAGTAAACCCAAGGAACAGTGGGCATTTTGCAGATGTTAATTCTCCCTCCTCCCACCTTCTACTCCAGCAACATAAAAAATGGAAGAGAATGTCAAAAAACAAAACAAAAACCTATTCTACTGAAGCATTACCAAATTAATCACAGTTACCAGCCATTTCATGTTTGTTTTCTGTTAGGGAGATAGTTTTCTCTTCTAAAATGACTAAACCTTTTTTAAAAAGCCTTGGAAGAGAAACAAAGCTACTTGCTAAGCACTCAAAGAACATGAGGGTGTGAACATCTGTGGGGAAGGATGACGGAGATCCACAGCTAAATCATTAGTTATATTAAGATATGAAGCAGACACCCTAAGAATGGCATAAAATGTAAATGAACTTTGGAGTATAGCCGCTTAATTTGGCAGCTGTTTGACAACTGCAAAATAGAAAATTGACCTCGGACAACTGTATAAATGAAACTATTAAGCCAAAGAATTTCCCATGGAATGATACAATATGCAGTACAGTAACTCTTCACATGGGAATAGATAAACGGCAGGCTGGAATTTTTATTGTCTTTGAAGATGCCAGTGTTAAACAGACTTAAATTTCACAAAGAGCAGCTATGTGTTATATTGTCACAATGTTTTAAGAAATGGAATTCAGAGGTACCAAATAATTGTAAAGAACCATTTGTACCTTGTAGGAATTTTTTGAGTAAATTCTGGTAAGATTAGAACTTGGTCAGGTAAATTCATACTGAGACAATTAAATCCTGTCATTTCTATAGTTCTGAAATCAGCCCTGGATACTCAAAGGAATCAAGGGATTGGTTTAGGTGTGCCTGAATGACTCTTGAAAGAGTTGCCCCAAATTTAATTATACACTTCTTTTGTATGTTCTATCAAGTTAGTAGCTGTCACTGGTCAACAACACAACACTGAAAGTGGCTTGCTTAGCATGGACTAACTTGGGATACAGTGACACTCACTTTTCCTGTGAAGGCTAACTACATTGAAACATAAAGACCAATAAGAAGCCAGACTTGGTTCACATAGAAAAATAATCCTAGCAGATGTGATTACTTCATTAATTGCTCTCCATTTTAAGGCTTATGTGGATTGCACCCCATTTTCCTCCAAAAAGGTCATTCCATGTTACTAGTGTACCTCCCCCCACCAATTCTGTGAGCAGAAAGTGTACATTTCCCCCCGTAAGCAGTCATGGGAAATTAAGATATGAAAGCTAGGAGCTAAATGACACCTTAAACCTAGGTTATGGGCACAACAACAGAATGTCTAGGCACACTTTTTTATAACAAGAATACAAAGCTGAAAATGAACTGCAGCCAAAATATTATGTTCATTTTTCACATGGTCTAGTCCTTCCCCTGCCCACCCCCCTAATATTCTTAAGCGGGTCTCTGCTCCAGTCTTCAGAGAGTAGCTAGAAATGGGGAGGCAGAACAAGGTCCTCCTTTCACTGCACTCTGCAGTTTTAATCTGAAATCTTAGGCGCAGTAATGCGCCCAGAGCTCAGAAACTGCTTGTGCTAATGAAATTCCCTGTCGCAAATTGCGCCAAGAACAATGGGAGTTTCGAACACTCCCCTTAAGACACATTTTGTGTGTGTGGAAAAGAACATGTGGGAAACGGCCACAAGCTTTTTCATCTCTCCTGCACAAACACCAGGTTATCCAGCAGAAGCAGTGATGACTCCAACTAAGTCTGCAATCCAAGGCACACTTATTTAGGAGCTTACTTGTAAGTAAACATGCAGAACACTGTACTCTTACTAATGAGGTTGAGAGTAAAGGCCAAGCCAAGTTTGTGTTCTTATATAAAATCAAGACAACTGAACGTGCTTCAGGAAACGTTTTACCCTTCAGACACATGCCACTAGAGCAGATGTGACTAGTCTTAACCATAAAGAAACTTGTAACTTGCTTATGATGAGAAAACCTTTAATGTCAAAGAGTAGACAGCCAGGATTAAGCTGGCTGTCCTCTACCAAGTACATTTAAACTGTCTAAGGCTTTTGAGAACTCTTGATGGAAACATCCAGAGAATCATGCTATTTTAACTGCCTAGTTAAAAAGGGCAGATGTTTAGTTGGTGTATAATGTTTTTATCCCAGTTTTTAATGCAGTCTGGTTGGGCAAAACCATTTCTCAAATATTTTTGTAAAAAGAAGCACTTCCAAATGGACTGTTTTGTCTCCTGTGCTATTTAATAAACAAAGGACTTACTTTCTGAAGCTGCTAATGTACCTTGTAAAAGGTCAGTCCAAAAAAGTTCCCACCTACTTTTTTTAAAAAATAAAATAAAATAAAGGATTACGTGAAATGAAGCCCCTTCACTTAACTGAAAAAGCCTCTGCATGAAATGGGTTGTCATGAGTCTACTGGTAACATTACATACAGCTTGGCTGTAATAAGAAACGAGATGATGTAGAGAAGATAAACAGAAGAGAGACGTTTTGCCTGTGGTACTTCAAAAATGTATAACACTTGTCTTGGCCCTACAGGCATTAATTACCATCTACTCTTTCCTTCTGATGATGCCCAAGCATCCAAGTTGCAGATATGTTGCTGCTTCTGTATTAGAAGTCTACATACACACAATAGTTTTGTGACAGAGCCACTGCTGTACCATTGATGGTCTTAATTCCTATCAAGAATTAATAGACTGAAAACCATCTTCCATAACTTCAGAGCAGAAGCATATCCAAAGGGCAACAGCAGCGATAACTGAACAGGAGTGTCATGCTATTCCCTCAGATGTTTCATTTATTAAGTGAGAAACCGGCTGTTTTACAGTAATATTTTTCTGTATTACTGTAAATATTACTATATGTGTTTTTTCCTACAAGATATTATTGGTAGGTAGGGGGGCCATCTTATTAGTGTATATTTTACTTTTCCTGGAATTGTGAAATAGTCATTCCTGAAAATGGATGAAAAAATTTGCTTTTAATATCATTAAAACCATAAAAATAATAATTAATTCACATCTTGGTTTATCCTTGAGAAAATAGATGAAAGTTATTCCTGGGCTCCAAACATTATATTTAAGGCCCAAAATGCACAGAAATTCCAATTCTGAGGCTATTTAAAGTAACTTTTGGTAGATAAGCAGCTTTCCACTAATATTTTCATCACTTAATATTTTGTTGCCATGCAAGAGGCATTCTTAATCTGAAACAGTTCAGGCAGCTACCGTACAAGCTAGAGAACAAAACCTAATCATTCTTGTATTTTAAGAGATAAGTATATTTGGGGATGTAGCGCCACTGCAGATTACACAGGCAGATTAATTTTATTAACTACTAAGTTTTCTCTTTGTCTGATGCTATCTCTACATTCCATCACTGCAACCCTTTAATAAGTCTTTGTTCTTCCAGCCATCGGTGCTTCCGGGGGTAAATCTGGCACTGCATCTAAAGGGAGCACCACAACTAAAGTTTTCCTGAAGATCAATCATAAAGGTAAATTGCTTCCCCTCTCCCAACTTTCCATTTTTAAAAAAATTAGAAAAAGTTAAGTAAATTGACAACATGCTAGTTTCTCACAGCCTTAACCACATCTGGTCAGAGTATAACTTAACCTTGGTCGTAAACCTAATTTAGAATATACTCCACCCCAAAACCACACAGATGAAGCGAGTGTGTGTGTGTGTGTGTGTGTGCGCATGTTATATTTTAAGACCGGCTTGCAACAAATATCTAGTTCACAAACTACCTTGTGCTGCTTTTCTCATCACTTTACAAGAAGCTTATGAGAGAGAAATAAACATGAGAGGCAGCAGCTTACAAATTGCAGCAACAGCAAAGTCAAAGAGTGTCAGTAATGATTGAAGTTGCTGGAGCTAAGATCTATGACCCACACTCATATACACTGCAAGACAACACTCTGTGGTGGCACCTCATTTGTGGAACTCTCCCCCAAAGGAGATACCATTGTCTTCCTCTCCAAAGACCTTTTGGCATCACCTGAAGATGCATCTTTCCCTACCAGGTATTTGGGTGTGGAGATTAGTGATCTCTATTTTTATGCCTGCTGTTGAACTGCTATATGGCTGTATATATATGCTGTTGGTTTTTCACCATGTTATTGTGTGTGGTGTGGGTTAGATTTTTGTTGGGGTTTGTATGCTGTCCTGGGACTCTATGGAATGAAAGACTGGCTAAATAAGCAATCTTGTATAAGTGAGTAGAAAGTACAATCAAAAGGTTCACTCATGTGAACCTGCTCTGCTCAAACACCTTAGAATAAAGTTTACCATCAAATCTGTTGCTGTCTAATTAGCATATTTCAATTATTATACCAAAACTGTTTTGTCTATGTATTGATCTTGGGTACTTGTGAATCCAGACCCTCATGAATAAAGTTAATTGAACAAACGGTACAGGAATCAAGATAACATACAAAATGTGGCCTAAGGGCTAGGAAGCATAGCCTGACATTGGGACTCCAGCTCCTTATTAAAAATGTGCTCCAGACTCTATGCTGGTTGGTGTGAGATTTTAACCAAGTCTGGAACTATGAATTTATGAGACAGCCATTATCCAAAGTGAAAGTTCTAGAAACAAACAGCCAATGAAACATCTACTGGCAGTATTGTTAAATGAAAGAGTTCCCACCAGATTAGAAGGAGGTGAGAAGGTAAATCAGAAATCAATTACTAGCAAAATAAAAAATGATGTAGTCATGTAACATCTACATGAAACAGCTGAGTGGGATTATCCAGAATGTGTATGTAGCTTGGGGTTCTTTCTGGATCCTTTGCTGTCGCTTGAGGCTCTGGTGGCCTCAGTGCTGCAGAGTGCCTTCCATCAGCTTCTGCTGGTGGCCCTTCTGTACCCCATCTGGACAGGGGTAGCCTAACCTCTGTTGTCTATGCACTGCAAACATCTAGGTTAGATTAATGCAACGCATTATATGTAGGGCTGTCTCTGAAGACAGTAGGGGGCCCAATTCAAAGTGCTGGTTTTGACCTGTAAAGCTTTAAATGACTCAGGACCGCAATACCTCAAGGAAACCCTCTCCCCATATGAACTGACGCAGACCCTGTGATCATCATCAGAGGCCCTTCTTTGTGTGCCTCCTCGATGAGAGATCTTGGAAGGTGGCTCCCTGTTAATGGAATGTTCTCCCCAGGGAGGCTTGCCTGGTGCCTTCATTATATATATTTAGATGCCAGCAAAAACATTGCTCTTCAACCAGCCGTTTAGCTGATTAACATTCCATGGCTTTTAAAATATGCTTGTGGGAGGGGGATTATTGGTTTGTTTTTGTTTTATTATGTATTTTGTACATTTCTGTTATGTCCCATCTTCACGTGTCTCAGACAATCCTTAATTTAAAGGGGGGGAATCTTCTATTAATTATTGTAGAAAAGAAAAGGGCAAGTTGTTCCCATATTAGCTGCATAATGCAGACATTCTGACCTTCTTCTTCTGATTGATGTTTATCATGAGGGGAGAATTTTGCTTTACATTGTTTCTTACAAAACCAAAATTTTGTTAGAAGTTTTGTAATGCGAACACAAAATCACCTGTATACGCACATGCACACGCACAATGGGCTTTCTAAGCTAATGCAGGAGGCTGCTCTCAGCTACAGTATTTTAAGAGGGACTCTACAGTGAGTTATCAGAGCCTGTTTTTTAAAATTATATAGGAATGCATCTCCTTTTGTGCATATAGACACTATCAAGCAATGTTAAAACAGCAGTGTGGATATAAATAGCAGAAAAAGATGATGCAGTCCCACTTTACACCTCTGTTGCATACAGTGCTTTGTTATGAAGTAGGTAAGTTAGGCTTTTGTCACCCTGACTCATACCAGAAATGTTTGCCAGTACACACTCAAAACTCTCAGCAGCCATGCGATCTCCAAAGTATACTTGGGATTCACAGGATTACAATATGATCTTTGGGACCAAGAAGCAGCATGAATGTTACTCCACAATGACACGCTTCATATTTATAAATAAGCATGACTAAATGAAACAATTTGTGAAAAGGAAAATAACTTGTTACTTTCTCCAGTTTGTTTCTACAGCTATTTTTTCACCCTTGCCAGGACATTTAATTCAAAATATAATGCATGCACACAACACAAATGCTTGCAAAGCTTTCCCTCCTCCCTTGGTTAGGCTTATTATCTGAGACACTCTCCTAACAACGGCACCCACTAATTTATAACATTCTTCCCAAGATCCTTTATCAAGTTTCAGCCACAGGTCAAATAATTTATGCTTTAGAAAGATGATCTCTGCATTTAAAATTTATTGTACTTGTGGAGGTTGGGTCTCTAAGTGCTCATCATTTTCGCAGCTCATGAAATAATACCATCACTGGTCAAACCATTCGTCTTCAGTATTGAGGATTTCTTGATGCTCACCGATTTAGCGGAGTTACAATTATGAATCATCGGACTAGCCATAACTTATGATCCTCACAGTAACCACTAATGAAGGTTGCCAAGCAGTTAAAATATCAAAGCAGCATATATCAGAACATTTTTGAGCACGGAGATAGACTTCCAGTGTTGCACTTCTCCTATATTTATTATATACTGTAAATTACATCATTGGCTGCCTCCTACACTGACAGCCTTGCACTCCAGAGCTTAAACACCAGGTTTTAATATCCACCACTTGGCAATCTTTTGATCATCAGAGGAAGATGAAAGGAAGCGCTGCCTGCTGCAGGCCGTCTGCTCAGTCAAAACAAAAGGAAACTTCAGAGAAAGACAGACAGAGATGCATCAGGTGTTAATCTCAAATGAACTATACAGAAGTCAAGCGCATTGGCTCTCCATTCTCTATTAATTTCAAAAAATTCCAGGCAGCTACAAGTTGTCTCACCATGCCATACACAGAAGAAAAAGGACTTCCTCCGTGTGTGTGTGTGTGTGTGTGTGTGTGTGTCAGCACATTGCTCAGAATCTCACAGAAGAGTTTCTCTAGACTAAATGAATCCAGTATTCAGATGTTTGTGGTTGTTCAAACCTTGTCTTAAAGCTTTCCCCCCTCCTTCCAAAGGAAGCAAAGGCAGTGAAGAACATGCTCCTTCCACGTTCTGTTGAAGACAGAAGGCAGTGAGCTGACCTGCTCCCTCCTAATTAATACAATGTGGTTAGCTGTGTGGATTGTGCATTCCAACACTCCAGCCGGTATGGACTGATAAGGCTTGTGACCAACAGGAAGCCCCATCAGTTTTCACTGGTTTCTTGCTTTGCTGGCACCCCTCCCGCAGGAAACCAAAACCACACCATGCGCCCACATAACTCAGATCTCTTTCTCTCTGGTCTGGCAGGTGGCCAGAGGCAAAACCAAGAACAAGCACCACTAACTGAATAGCCTCCCTTTGTCTTTCTAAGCTTCAACTAGGTGAAGTTCAGGAAGACTCAACATGTCAAAATATTAAAATCCTGGTATTCATTCCTAACCTGGTCATCTGCAGTTGAGAATAAACTGAACAGATAAACAGAACAGATCCATTTCACGATTAATGGACTTCAGTCCAATGACTTCAATGGGCCTGCTCCAAGTCTGCACTTGTATTTTGCCCCGTGTAAACATAGGAAAAATCTTACATAGCATTTTCACATGTATCCAGGCATAAGAATCACTGTCCTTCAACTGAAGCTAACCTAACAGACGGCAAAAAACAAAATTAAACTATAGAATGAAACAAATGTCAAGAGCTCAACACCACAGTAGCCAAGAACACCACCACCACACTTTCCTGTAGGAAAGAGATGCATGGAGCTTACCAGTTTGGCTAAGGAAGTGCTCCAGAGCAGGGAATTGGAACGAGCGCCACTTTGGCCCTGTATGGTGCCTCAGCAAACCATCTCCAGCTGTCCTGCCAAAGTTGGAACTAAGATGGCTGCACAACCTCCAGGATGAACCCTGCACACCTCTGCAGCATCACGATTAGAGTATAACTGGGGCTCATCATGCTCACTAGAGGGAAATGGCACAGTTGTCATGGTGATCAAAATGTGGAAGCCTACATCTAGGGTTACATCTAGATCAAAACCAACACTCTGTGATAAATGAAATGGAATCTGAGGTATTGTTTCAAAACTGGAAAATATCCATTTCTGCCTAATAAATATTTTTCTGTGTTTTGCACTAATTGTAGTTTCCAAATGGTCCGCAACAGGGCTTTTTTTTAATAGAAAATGAGGTTCCAGAGCTCTCCTTTTTTTTAGGGGGAGCACCCACCCAAAGTAGTTGAGCTTTCTTTAGGGGGAGCACCTGCTTGACCAAAGCCGCAGGGAAAATTTTAAAACTTTTGCCACCAACCTACACCGCCATCGCATCACTGAAATCGCCCTGCCACTCACCACCCCTGTTGCGCAGCCCTGAGCGCTGTGCAGGGGAGTGAGACCACCACACTACAGAGCTGCCGGAACACAACTAAGAGGTGCTAGAACTCAGTTCCAGTGGGTTCCAGCTGAAAACCCACTGGTCCTCAAAGGGAAGCCCAGGTACAATGCATTTTAGTGCTGCCAGTGCATAGAGAGCTGGGCTAGGCTAGGCACAACCACCCATCTTCTGGCTTTTCTTTATTAATTTTAAGAAATGTTTATAAGAACAAAAATTAGCAAGCATTTTACATCAAATGCCATAAGTACAGCTATTGCAGATGTGCAATACAATTATCTGAGGCAAACATTCCCCTTCCTGCCCCCCACAAATCAGAAGGGGTTAGTATATCATCACTTTTGATTTGTTCTCTTTCCCTGTGCGTTGTTTTCTTTAATTTCCACTGTAAGTTTTAGAAGTTCTATACAAGATATGCAATTCCATCTGCTTCTTTCTCAAGGTACTATCACTCAAACCTAACCATAGCAGTTTATCTTTCAACTACTAAATTCAAACCATTTTAAACATCCTGCTTTCATCTTTACAATCTTCTTCCACTTTGAACCATTCCACAGTCTCAGAAGAATGCACTTGACTTCTAAGAGGAACATGCAATCTTTCAATATTTCAATGTTGTACGTTTTGTTGTAAACAACACTACACGTTTTATCTGCATGGCAGTGCCATAAATCAATCTCTGAACTCCAAAAAAAAAAAAAAATTCTTTCTACATAAAGATCTGACACTACAAAAGCTTGATTTTCAGTTTTCATAAGGAGATCAGAAAACAGGTTTACAACCCTAAAATGGGTATTGAACTAAAGTAAAAGCAGGTTAGGTAAAGCGACTGAGACTGAGGAAAACATAATTTGCCTCCAGGATCACATCACAGGGTGGGATTTCCATTCCCCCCCCCACTTGTTTAATAAAACAGAAATGGGCAATTAATCATTGGGATTTCTTTCCTATTCTACCCCACCCCCGGACTTGAGGGTGGTGCATTATATTACACATATACAAATCTTGTAGCTCAACAAGCCTTTTGTTCAAGACTTTGGTGGAGCTCAGCTTGTTAGAGTGTGGTGCCGATAATGCCAAGGTTGCAGGTTCGATCCCTGTATGGGACAACTGCATATTCCTGCATGGCAGGGGGCTGGACTAGATGATGCTCAGTGTCTCTTCCAACTCTACAATTCTACGATTCTATGACTTTGTATTTGTCACTTGTTCAGTGATGTTGCCTCCACCTGCCTTGTTGCAAAAAGGACCTACTGCATCTATACTGCATCACCATAGTAGCAAATTCCGATATTATGTCATGTGTAGTTTGGCTCTTTTGTGATGCCAACATCACACGAAAGTAATTTGTCACTCAGCCTCAGTAACAACCAGTAACCTGCTCCACAGGTATATTTTGAGGGAAAACACAAAAACTATGAAGGCTCACATACACTAAGTAGAATAGAAGCATTGCCACCCAACCCCACCCGACTCACCATTCCCCCCTCTACTTCTTCCCTCCTTTCCTTCCTAATGTAACACTAATGTCTCACAACAAATGAAACTGATCTGTAGAAAACGCAACTGGAAAAAAGAGACATTGCATATACTTTTGTAAACTAAGAAATATTTTTTTAAAAAAAACTATACAGTCGTACCTCAGGTTAAGAACTTAATTCGTTCTGGAGGTCTGTTCTTAACCTGAAACTGTTCTTAACCTGAAGCACCACTTTAGCTAATGGGGCCTCCTGCTGCCGCCGCGCCGCTGCTGCGCGATTTCTGTTCCCATCCTGAAGCAAAGTTCTTAACCCGAGGTACTATTTCTGGGTTAGTGGAGTCTGTAACCTGAAGCGTCTGTAACCTGAAGCGTCTGTAACCTGAGGTACCACTTTACAGTGGAACCTTGTGTTACGTACTGTCCTCCTTGCAAACGCTTCGGGTTACGAGCTACGCTAAACTGGAAGTAGATGCTCCTGGTTGCAAACTTTGCCCCGAGATGCGAGCGGAAGTTGCGTGCTGGCAGTGCAACAGCAGCGGGAGGCGCCATTAGTGAAAGCGTGCCTTGGGTTATGAACGGTTTCGGCTTAAGAAAAGACCTCCAGAACGAATTAAGTTCATAATCGGAGGTACCACTATAAAGGCTCTGTGAACTCTGCCCTATACACATGATTAGTAGTATTACTACTACTAAAAGCCAGTTTTATTTCTCTGTAACATCTGAATCAGGAGAGGCCATGCAAGCCCTGGACCAGTGCCTGGATTCAGTGGTTGAATGACAGCCAATGAACCAACCTCTAAAGATGGACTTGCTGTGGGTAGGTAGTTCCCGAGTCCAGAAAATTAGTCCACTCCTTGCTTTGGATGGGGTCATGCTCTCACTGAAAGAGCAGGCTCATAATCTGGGAGCACTTCTGGATCTATATCTGTCACTAGAGGCCTTGGTGGCTAGGAGTGCATTTTACCAGGTTGGGTTGGTAAGACAGCTCCAGCCATTTGTGTATCGGGATAGCCTGACCACTGTTGGCTATGCGCTCATAACTCCAGATGGGATTACTGCAATGTGCTTATGTGGGGCTGCCCTTGGAGCTGCAACTAGTGCAAAAGGTGGCAGCTGGATCACTCAGTAGGGTGGAATATCACAATCAGATTACACCACTGCTGAAAGAATTGCACTGGCTGCGAATTAGCTACCAGGCTAGGTTCAAGGTGCTGTACTGGACTAAAAAGCCTTATGCAGCATGAGAACAGGGTACCAAAAAGATAATCTCATCCCCTACATACCCAGCTGACCACTATATTCTGCATGAGGGCATCCAGCTGATACAAACCTACCCAAAGGTCCATTCCACACGATCTCAGAATTGCACCTTTAGCATGGCAGCACCTACCCTTTGAAATTCCCTCCCATTATATGGCAGAAGCACCTTATTCATATAACAATAAACCATAGTTTCAAGAATGTACACCTGAATTTTCCTCAGTTCCCCCCAACCCAGCACTGTGTCTATTTTGTTTATTTTTACTACTGCTGCCGAAATATGTGAGGTCTTTGGGAGCCAGAAAAACTGCTTGCACCCCGACTGCCGCTTTTATACCATCAAAAGTAGCACCACTTTGACAAGGCTTTAATGCTGTCTTAACTCGTGTTCCCAAATAAACATGCTATGCTTGATGTTCACATTTTGATCTATCATCACACAGGAATTGCAAAAATGAGTAACTTTGTATATTCATAGCACTGAGCTGTGAAGACAAGATAATGATGAAGGACCAACCTGGTTGATGGAATTAGCAGCACAGGACGATAGGCCTGTTCCAAGGGAGGCAAGCAGGAAACACGTTAGGTCAAACGGTACAGGTGCCATTGCAAATCCAGCTGAGGCAGTACTTACAACCAGGGCTGTAATGCAAACACACACTTTAGTACCAACATGTTAATAAAATATATCACTTACAGTTTTGCAGCTGGAACCACTGCATATCAATTACAATATTATAAAGACAACTTCATCACAGACAACTTGGGTTTTTCCAGCTCTGAGTCATCCTTACTCTTTTTGATAATACTGCCATGAAAACAGTGTCCTCCCCCTTGCCTCATGATTAAAACAGGGGAAATAGAAAAAGCTGCTCCTGCTCTCAAAAATATGAGGGTGTGTTCCCATGCTGGCACATAGTAGTATGCTCTCTGCATGTGGCCTTTAGCAACTTGCCTAGGGTGAGTATCAATTTCCACCAAGCAACTAGGCATATTCCCATAACCAGGAAGCTAAAGTCACATGTGCAACCACTATCACACTACTCAGCTCTCTCTTCCACCCTTCTAGCCTTATGACAGTTAAAAAACAGCATAATGAAAAAATTAAGGCTGAAATTAAATAAAGGAAAGATGGAGGCGGAGAGGTAAGTCAATGGTGGTACCAGAAAAAAATCACAAACGACATTTTGCTGCCTTCCTATTTGAGTTTTGTCAGAAACACTGGGTTTCCATTAGTAAAGGTAAATGCCTTCCTTTAAATTCTGACAAGAAGTTTTAATTAAATTTATCAGAGCGAATACTCAAAATCTATTTATTTTAACAAAACACCAGTTCATTTATAGAAGAAGGGAGGGGGAGCTGTCTGTATGGCATTATCATTACAATGACCCTCAAAGAAGTTCTAACATACTGTAGCCAGTGTTCTAATTAAAGTCTCCATTGATTTCTCCAGATTAATTTCAGGCAGTCATTTCATTGCGACTTATCAGGATCTCATTAAAAGCAGCTGCACTACATTCTCATTTATCCAACTGGAATAGATATTTCTGTAAGCTTGCCCAGTATCCCACACTCATAAAACAAAGTTTATGCTGTCAAGTGCATCATCAGGGCCTTGGCTAAAGCAAGACCTAGAGACCTTCATCTATGCCTTTCTAACTTTTAGAGCTGCCTACTATAAAGTAGAGTGGGTGGGGAGGTAAAACTCTGGGTGATTTGAAATAGATCAGCAAAGATTTCAAACTTCTAACATTGCTTGATGGTAACAAAATGACTCTTCCCAGCAAACCCTACATTTTACTGCTCAAATGAAAATTGGAGTTGGGGCAGAAGTTAATTTTGTATGAAGAACTGTGATCTCAGTTCAGTTATTGTATTCAAAACAAAATCATTGGTTCAGAATTCTTTAATTCTTTCGCAGTCCTCCCTTACGTGCATTAGCTTCATTGCTGATCCCAGGTAGAGGTCCTGGTTTTGACCCATGACATCTTAAAACAGCTTGAGAACTCGGTACCTAATGGAATGCATCCTTCCATATGTACCTATCCATACCCTAAGGATAGGGTGGGGCAGCTAGAGACATGGCTGGATTGCCTGTGCAATCAGGTTCCCCTTGAGGAAGTTGATCCCTGCAGCAAGAAGGACTGAAGTCACCACCCATCAGCTAATGGGTGGCAACTTCAGGAGTGCTTGGGGAACTTGGTCACACAGCCAATACCTGCAAAAAGCAGCTACATCTAGATGTAAAAGTGGTTACACCTTTCCCATAGACTCCAAACTTTAAAGGAAAAGAGTCTGCAGATTGCACATTGACAGCTAAAGTTAAACGTGAAATTTTTTTAAACAAACATACTCACATTCCACTAGTTTGTCATATACTGTATGCTAAAAAAATATATCCATATATGCCCATCTCAAGGTTGCTTATGACTTTCCAATAGTGGCAATAAAATAAAAACCCAAACTCTTAGAACATTGAAAATATAGAAAATTAAATTTTAATCCCAGCCTTTTTCATTTGAGCTTTTAAAATGAAATCCCTACGCTAAACTTCTATGCTAAAACTAAGCTGGAGAAAAAGGTGTGTTTCTTATTTAATTTGTGGGGGAGGAATTTGATCATATTACTGCAGGTTTTAATATTTCCCCAAGGAAAGCTACCATTCTCCTAAAGCGCTTGGCATGAATGTTTTTCTCCTTACATTCTCACACTTTGTTCACTGAAACACTAAATATAAGAGTAACGCTAGTGGTAGGAGACTCACCAATTTGTTTACTTAGTAAGCCTAGATTTGTTTGGAGTAGTTATATATGTTTCATTAGAGGTTACAGCATGAACATTAAAAAGAGGCTAAGTACTTAAAGCATTCTTGCATTTAACAGTAATTTGAAACAAATGTTCGTAACACTTCTTGCAGAAACTAAGCAGGAGCCCTAAAAATAAAGCAGATTGTGATACTATGTTATATCAGGGAACTTTTGGAGGAAGAGAAGCTGAAGTGCGAACTCTTTTATTTTGCTTCCTCTGTGCATCAAGAAAAACAATTCTTTATGAAACTACAATATAGTACCTATCAAGAATCTGTAAAATCTATGGAATACCTTTGGTGGAATGTGCACCACTGCAAAGTCTAGGAGTACTATATTGTATTCTTGGTAGGAGAACAACAACTAAAATTAGAGCCGCCTAGAAAACCAAACGTTTTGTAACCAGTATTAGGGAACGAAATAAGATAATGAGTTTTTTATTAAAACGTCTAGGAGATTTAAATGTTTAAGAACTAATTTCTGCTCTCAGTAACTCAATTAAATAAAGCAGCATTCTATCAATGAAGCAAAATATAAGACAATGCTTATTCTTTATTCAGACTTTACAGTACTTGGTATAAATAACCCAAATTCCTAAAAAGTGAACACACAATATTCCCAAGCTTCAAAACAATTACTTCTTTTGAATGTTCACTTGTCCTTAGGCACCAGGGGAAAACCTTCCTCTTCAACCAGGCCATTGGGTATTAAAACAATATATGGCCTTTTAATGGTGTTGGGGGGGGGGAGTGTATTTATTTCTGTTTTTGTTATGTTTTGCATTTTGTTTTTGTGTGTTGTAAACTGCCCTGTGATCTTTGGATGAAGGGCGGTATTTAATTTAAATAAATCAATGAATTAAAATTGTAATAGCCTACTTGACCCATGTGAGGCACATTATTAGCATCTACGATCATCATCCACTATGTGTAGCAAGTACATTTAGTTCTAAAATTCAACCCACACAACCGCTGCAAATATGGGTTCTCATTTATGCTTATTTTGGGTTGTGCCAAGCTTCCCTGCCTGATTTGAGGTGATTACTTCCCTTCAGCCTCTTACATACTCTTTAGCAAAGGCCCTCCCAACCTTCCAAAGAGGTTTTGCAAGGGGAAACAAGTAAGAGAAAGATTGGTTGTGTGAGTTGCCATCTACTTGTGTGACCACTGGATACAGTGCTTTGATTTTGTATTAACAGATAGATTGCTTACACAATTACTTGGCCTGAGATAGTCTCAGCTTAAGGTACTGAAACTTTAGGTTTGTTTAATCAAGGTTAAACTGCACAAAGAAAGATATGACGTATGCTGGCAGCACAAGCAATGGACACAAACTAAGTTCCCTTGGGCCTGCACAGCCGAAGGTTACACCAACATCAGGTATATTACCATGCTGTAGTACCCTGGTTATACCTATCCAGAACAGGTGCAAGGGCAAAAAAATGGGCACCATCAAAGGTCAGGCAGGGAAGTTTTAATTTCTTTTTGCTCTTAATTTCTTTTTAACATTTTATAATTTTATTGTTTGGATTTTTGTTTTTATACTGTAAACCACTGTGATATATCTTGATGATGCAGTGGTTTATAACTAAATAACAGGATTTAGAGTCACATGCTCACCCAAATCTTATTCACTCAGAAACAAAACATAATGAACCAGCAAGAAAGGTTTTAAATTAATGCACTCTTAAAGAGCTCTGCAGAGAGCCAAAAAGAATTCCCCCTTTCTCCCACGCCATTTTCGGAGCCACGCTGGAATATAACTGCCCATTACTGCACAACAGCAGCAGTATATAAATCCACTCATGCTAGAAAGCACATAGCATAGAACTCTCTCTCTCTCTCCCCACATCACTTTGTTTAAGGGAACACTGGAGAAAGGGGACTTAGCCGTCTGTTGCTTGCACAAAGATGGAAGGGCATATTAAACTTGGGTTTTCTAATTTCTTCTCTAAACCCTTGAACACACTCTGCTTGACAATTCCAGGTACAAGCACACAAATAGAAATCTCTGCTCCACTCCAACTCAGGATGTAAAAAAGGCAGCTCAAACAGGTAATAAAGGAAGAACTCCTCATATCAGAGTACAACTGCTTTATAGTACATGTCTCCATCTTCCTCAATTGAACTCACCTTTCAAAGCCTGGCTACATGGCACATCCCAAACATGCATATTTTAGAGTAACGCCATTGAACTTTGCAGCCCTTACTTTTACAACAAGAATAGGAGAAGCATGCACATATATATATTGCAATAACCTCTCTCTCTCTCTCTCTCTCTATATATATATATTGCAATAACCTACATCTCTGAAAGAATAACAATATTACCTGTAAGTTTGATTTTGGACAAACGAGCCAAAATGCCTGGTAAATCATCCAGCTCTAGTTTCATCTCTTTCCATTGTTTTTCTTCCTTGGATGCAGGTCCTACTACAGTTCCTGTGCCTCCGGCGATTACTGTGGACTTCAGTGCTTCAGATTCATTAATAACTCGTTTCTCAGATAAAGGCGGCAAAAGAGGTGAAACCGATCTGACCTCATGGATAACCATTTTTTCCTGACCTGAATGCTGGCCTTCAAGGAAAGGAGGTGCAGTTGATTCTGACTTCAACTTTGCTCGCTGGCTGTGGGCTTTGCTATGCTGCGTTACATACTGAAAAAAACAATATAACTTTGTAAAATAAAATAAACTACTTTTTATTATAGATTCTGTGGGCCTATGAAGCTATGTAAGTATCTACAAATTTAATTCAGATTCTCAAAAGTTTTAGATTATGCGGTTTCTATCACATTGCTTGGATACATAGGTCACATTATCCTAAATACACAGAAAGGTGAAAACCTCTCTTGAGCTAATGTGGCCTAGAGAGTAGTTTTAATAAGAGCTGTAAACTGTTTATGCTGTTTCAACAAGGAAAGTTCTTTGTTGCTGATATGCAACTAAAGCAAAACTCAAGAGCAGACACAATGAAATCAGGGGATTTAAGTGAACTGATTTTAATCAGTCTATTCTGTGTATGACTAACACCAGATATTTATAGAAAAAGCTTCACCTCACATCACTGCTCTAATCACATTATTTATTTATTTTCCCCTCAAGAAGTTTCATGGAATAGTCTTTGTTTTCCCTTTGTAAGTAATGAATACTATTATGCGAGAAATCTATACAGTACAATGAATGCAGTTTTGATTTTCACTCCCTTTTGTAGCACTACACAGTATTACACCAACTTACCATTCGCTTGATGAAATTTAACTGTTGAAATGTAACTCCTCTTTCTTTGGTGACCCTAAAGAAACAAGCAAACTTGCATGGCATTTGCTGCATGGCTTTTTTCTTGAAGGTGCTGGAAAAAGTCCTACAAGTAAGGGGGGAAAGTCTCAATTTACTTACAATAGAGATTAGATTGGAAACTATTACAAATTATCAGTTTCATCAGCAGGAAAAGATGCAAATAAAAACAAAGCATAAAACAAAAAATCCTTGCAAAATCCAAGGGGAAGTCATTCAGTGTTTCCTTTCAAACAACCGATCAAGCTAATCTTTTCCACTCCTGCTACTGCCATTGGCTATAAAACTGTTTATAACTAGACAAGCATCAACAAAATGGAATATTTACTTAAAAGTAGGTATTGCCCATTAAAATAGCACCAGAGTTGAACATTCACATCAGGAGAACATTTCTGGTTTTTGCACCAGCTGCAATGTGTGTGTTTATTACAGATCTTAAAAACTACAACTATGATATAAGACAACCATAAAACTTCATTTTTAATTGTCACAGTAAAAAGTCTCATGACAATAAAGGCAAACACTAAAGCAATGTTTATGAGCCTGGTGTACGTGCTTCAGTTCGTCAAGTCGACACATCACAATTCCATTGAATGCTCACTAAAAAGTAGCTTCTATGTCTGGAACAAACAATTTCATTTATTTAACATGCTTTTTTGTATGCTTGCACAAGTTACTCAGATAAAGTATGCCTATTAACACACATTATTTTAACTAGGAAAAGTGCATATTCTCTCAAAGGAATACAAATCTTGAGTTGAAAAGAAAGTACTGTAACATAAATCCACGGTGAAGAGAGGGGGAAACCTTTAGTCATATACACATTTAAAGGAGAGAACAAGGAGAATGTAAAGAAAACTTAAATACTTCTACATAGTAAAACATTTTCTCTCTCTCCATCACAAAACCCCTGAACCTGCTGAATCTGTTTCCATTTTTATGCTGTTGTTTAAACTTTTATTGTAGGGGATGGTTTTGTTTTTAATTGTTGCAAGTCACGCTAAGCAACTGAAATACCGAAAGGGCAAGGGATACATTGTCTAGATAATATATATAAGAATCAACATATTTTAAAGAAACACGTGAGGCCAAAGGGGAAAAGTCACTAAGGAAGGTGTGAAGCATCCTAGCCAAATTGCCCTTTTCTTGATATTTTAAACCAGTGCACCAGGGAATTCACTTAGAGAACTGAAGTTCATTTCTCCCCATCACAACATTAACTACAGTCCTGAAAAAGAGACACTAGTAAGTCTAAGTGCCTGAAGCTTTCTTCATTGCCATATTTCTGCGTAGAACTCTGCCAACATTTTCATTTACCTCCATGTAACACCCCTTCTTAAGGAAAACAGGCAACTGTCTTATACCAGGGTAAAACCATATGAGAGCTGTTACCCCTCTTCCTTTCAAACAGCTACAATTCCCAGTGTGGTTTAACCAACTATGCCAGGGACTGAATTTAGGGTATTCTGTAATGCAAAGGATGTTCTCCACCACTGAACAACATCCACTGCCAATGTCTTATCTACTTTCAGATCCACACAAATCTTTCCTTCAAATCCTCCTTGACCTTACCCTGTTAATCTTGCATTTTCATATCCCAAGAGATCTCTGACACTGACCTTTAAACCTGTTGTTCCATCACCACAAACTATCCAAAGGATCTCAGCTCCCTCAAAACTATCCACCCTCTGTGTCTTATTGCCCCTTGTACCCTAAACTGTCTTCCAGAACTTTAAGGGATGGTGTGACTCTCCATTCTGCCAACCCCCTCAAAAATCCTTCTTGAGGCCTTAGACACAGCCCTTTAGTCTTCACCTCCCACTAAATATAAGCCTTAACACATACAACTGAAATGAATGCACCTTCTTTCCCTGTGTATCCTTGCCACCATCTTTTCTTTTTGTTCAACTAAGATAGTACAGTATAGGAAAATAATTGAAGAAGAGTGCATAAGCAGAAAAAGATTTTTCTCACCCTGCCTATAATAACAAAACCCCCAGCAAGTTATGCTTTTTAGCAAGTTGCACTTTTTATTGAAGGCAGCCCTGTATTGGGAAGTTTTTAATGTTTAATGTTTCATTATGGTTTTTATACGTGTTAGAAGCCACTCAGAGTGGATGGGGCAAGTCAGCCAGATGGGTGGGTGGTTGTTGTTGTTGTTGTTGTCGTCGTCATCAGCAAACACAATAGAGAATGGGGGGGCTGCTTTCTCCCGCAATGTTAGCTATTTATTTATTTGGCAACACCTGTGTACACAGAAGTTACCACAGGCTTGTAATCTAAAACTGACACCATGAAATAGAAGCTGTAGCCAACAACACCGGCTTCAGCTCAGTAATCAAGCATACATGCCTTGGGACCCGTAAAGCAAACCCTTTCCATTTAGGAAAATCAATCATATCTATAGCATTGTTGGGAGAAGACTGCTTTGGACTAGCTGCTCGTTCTTCCGGCTCGGCTTCTTTTACCATCACTCTGCTTCTGTTCAGCGGGCAGTGCCCCTGCTTTGCACGTAGAAGGTCCCAGGTTCAGATGCCCAGGGAAGGGAAGGCCTTGCTTGAAATCCTGGAGAGCCACTGACATGCACCTCACATAACATTTAGTAAGCGGTGTCACGGGGCAAGGCAGGTTCCTATGACCTAGAGTCGCCCTTCCGAACACACGAGAGCAGAAGAAGCCGTGCAAAGAGGAGAAGCGACAGGCAGAGAAGCCCGGAGGAGAGAGCCATTCCTTCTCTGGCACCTTCCGAAAAGGCGTTGCCCCTTCTCGCCTTATTTTGGCACCTAAGAGTCCCTGTCCTCCCCTCCTTTCTTCTCCCGCCCCGGCGGAAGGGGCAAGAGCTCCCCGAGGTTTTTCCTCCCAACTTCCCTTTGGTACCTGCGGGAGCCCGAGGCGGTGCGCGGCGTAGGAAGGGCAGAGAGCGGGACTCGGTGCCCGCCCTGCCCTTCGTTCCCCTCAGCACGGTTCCGTGGGCGCCGCCATCTTGCCCGGCATGATTGCCGCCCGGCCGCCCTCCGGATTCTACTTCACTTCCGCGGAGCTAAGGCGGGACTTCCGGGAGGTGGGCGAGTTCGGCGCGCGCGGCTGCAGAAAGTCGCATTTTAAGCCTAGGCGCGCGCGGCGGGGGGAAGAACAGGCGGAGGTCGCGCGCTGCACCTGGCAGGTGCTTTGCTGGAATCGCAGGCGCTGCGGTGGTGCAGAGCGGGTCCCTCTTCGTGTCCGGTGTCTCCAAATATGCTTCAGCCTCGGGGAGGGTAGCAGTGGCTCCTGGCCAGCGGGAGAAAGCGAAGCTGCGCCTGTTGAATTTCTGCCCCTGATGTTAAGGACATCGTGGGAGAAAAACCACGCTGCTGTGTTTTGCGTTGGCGGTCTTGTCAGCAACGTCTACAAATAATATAGGATGGCAGCGCACATTATTTTCTATCGTGCAAAGTACCTAAAAATCAAGAGATAGGGTGCTTCCAGGCAGATGTTTGATGGTAGGGTTGGTGCTGCTCAACCAGCAATTCCACAGAAAAACTGACATGCTGAAACGTCCTGGGTCAATTCTGTTTCACAGAAACAGATCGTTGTTATTGATGGTTGTTTATTCTTTTGTTTACATACCACTTACATGCCAGAATGAGCTAGTTTGATTCTAGGCAGGAATGGATTTCACGCTGGGAGTTAGGTACCACAGCCAGTGAGCATGCGAATAGAGGCATCCATGCAAGTCAAAAGTAGGAAAATCCCACCCTCTTTACTCTCTGGATCACAAAAGGTGATATTTCACCTCCTGATGACAAAAACCAAGAAGGGCGGTTAGTGAAATGTTGTACATATCAGCTTGTTTAATCCATCTAAGTGTGCATTTAGAGTGGACTACAATCCTGCCCAGGCCAACACAGTGCTGCTTCCTTCAAGACTACTGCTACCTTCTTGCTGGGATAAAAACTGTCCATGGCTGGAGCAACTGAGAATTCAGAATACAGTGGTACCTCGCAAGACGAATGCCTCGCAAGACAAAAAACTCGCTAGACGAAAGGGTTTTTTGTTTTTTGAGCTGCTTCGCAAGACGATTTTCGCTATGGGCTTGCTTCGCAAGACGGAAACGTCTTGCAAGTTTGTTTCCTTTTCTTAAAACCGTTAATACAGTTGCCACTTTACTTCGAGGAACAACTCATATAACTCGGTGAGGTAACCTAATTTGAGGTTTTTAAAGACTTTGGTGATTTTTGAAGCTTTTCCAAAACTTTCCCGACACTGTGCTTCGCAAGACGAAAAAAATCGCAAGACGACAAAACTCGCGGAACGAATTAATTTCGTCTTGCGAGGCACCACTGTAGGCAGATCACTCAAGAGAAAGGGTTAAGCACCTCCCCGCCACCCATTGCTGAAGACTACAACCTCCCACAGCTGCAGACAAGGCAACAGTTACACACAGCTGTCAGTCACATGTAGCTTGACCCTTAGTGCCTTCTTTTATCCCACAACTGCGATTTTTGTTGGACCCTAGCATGTTTATACTGTGTTGGTGGTTGTGGTGTGAGATGTTGCAGTGGAATTCCCTGAAGAAACTCAGGCTGAGAAATATTCAGAAGCTTCTTTCTTTTGGACAGCCAAGTAACCGAGTTTTGGTTTTAGAATTATAGATAGGCTGGAGGCTTTGGCATTTACCTTCCTTAGAGAGTTTTGAACTGGACTGGGGACTTTTCTGACTTTATAGTAGAATGTTGGAAGCAAAAGAAAAAGCTGGGAGCCTTGAATAACCTTTCCCCACTGGAGTCTGTAGTTTATTTGGACATTCCTCACATTCATCAACAATTAAGTGCTGAAATGATTCCTTGTTGAGAGGCGGTTGGCTTCTTTTTTTGTTTTTCTCCAAAGAACAGTTCCAATAGAGATAATGAAAAATACACTTTTCTATAACTGTAATAAATGCATGTTACCTACAAAGCTAAAAGCAGACCCTCCCTGATTTGTTCTAGCTCATCAGGATCTCAGTAAACTGCCTCTTTTTACTGTCTTTCCAAGATAGTAATGAAAGGAGGGAGTCTGATAAATGAAAGACCACAATATATAGCCAATGGGTAGCATTTAGTTTGGTGAGTCACAAGGCATATAGCTCTGTGACAAAAGCTGTGCTATAAATGCCAAAGTGAGAGGAACAAAAGCCTAGCGCCAATCATAGGAGAAGACTGATGCATGAGTAGGAGATGCTACTCATCTCCTTAACACTTCCCTTCCCCCTGGACTGTTTTTCCACTCAAAATTGTTGCTGAAGATTAATTCAAGGGCGGGGACATGAAAGAGGTTCAGCACTCCCTTCCGTCTGCCAATCCTCCACTATGATTGGTGCCATACAATCTTCTTGGCTGCTGAAGAAGGGCTTCTAGGAGGTCACACTCCTTTCTTCCCAGCATCTTGACTGGCTGGCCAGTTGGCTGAAAGAAGCCATGACTGCTCCAGTTTGGATCAGGACCATGTGGATGAAGGAGATCTTAATCCTTTTCCCCCATGCTGCGGCAGCCCCAGTGCAAGCCACACACCCACAAAGTTGCTATTTGCTGTAGAGGGATATGGGGAGGGTAATATAGGTGCAATACAAACTCACTAGGTCCGTATGTTTTCACTTTCATGGCTAATAGCAACTGTTTGCTGACATTGACTATTGGCATCAGTGCTCTGAAAGAAGGTGGTAGGGTTAAATCCTGCAGGCACCATGGTTCTGATCCAAACTGGGGGTGGAGGATGCTATGGCTGCTTTTAGTGTTTTTGTTTTTTTGTTTTTTTAAGGCATTGGAAATGCAATCACTTGTCTTTGATGTCACAACAGCCATTAGCCTCTGGACCCAGGTTGCCTATTGAGCCAATAGCTAGAATATTGCTTGCATGTTTCCCCTTATTCATTCTGTATCTGTACTAAAATGGCTAGGGCATCCTTCTCTAAGCTTTTGCCTCGTAGCTGTTTTGTACTGCAGCTTGTGAGCCTCAGCCAGCACAGTCTTATGACAGTGGAGATAGAACAGAGCCATCACGGCCAGTATCCTTCTTTTAAAGCCACCCTAGTTGGTGGCCAACACTTCATTGTTGGGTACAAATTCCATAGGTTAGCTATATGCTGTGTGAAGAAGCACTTTCTTTTGTCTCTTCTGAATCTTCCAACATTGAACTTCATTCTGTAATACGTTTTCGGTTTCCTGTTTGGCTCTGTACTAACATTCTACTAGAGTTCAAGACCAGACATCGTTTAAACAATATTTCTAGGAAGTCTAAATTTTACCCAGTGAATTGCTGTGATGCATAGTTTTTTTATTCTTCATGTTTCACTGGCTGCTATATAAACAAGACATACTAGTGTCTGCTACTTCAGGACGATGCAATATTTAACAAATTGAGCCCTATTAATGTTAATTATACCTATGTATTAAAAACATTACGCAGTCCTTTTTCCTATTAGTTCAAATCATAAATATGACAGTGGTGGCTTAATTAGGTTTCTGCAGTCTAATACAACTGCAGATATAGTATCAATGCAATATCAAGTGGATGTAGGTTTTGATTCACAAAGAATGCAAAAGTTTAATATTAACGTATTTTGTATTGTACAATTCTCTATTGTATTCTTCATTGCCATTGTACGTTGCACTTAATGGCCACCAGTATTTAAATATTTTAAATTAATTCCAAAAAATATTCAAATGTAATGACTTAATATGATAAAAGACAAATCTGGGGGCTGTATATGGTTCGTGAGATGAAACACCAGCAAGAGTCTTTACTGGATAGATTTGTTGTCAGAAAATGATGCTAAGTCCTACCATAAAAATACATGTGTGCTTCATATAATTTGTCACTGATGTTAGCACTCCACTGAGACTTGGCATACTTTCCAATGCAGGGTTTAAAAAAACCTAAGTGCAAAATAAATACTGAAGTGGGGTGGGGGTACCTGCTGTTTCATTTCCTAAGTGGTGTGCAAAAGGTTATCAAAGTAACTGCCAGGAAATTTAGTTCAATGGTGGGATGTAGTACTGGAGACATTGCATAGCTGTAGTTCTGTTCTTCTGGTCTGGTCTGCTAAGTATGATTTGTTATGGGTTAGTGGGGGAACAGGGATCCCCCAGATCTCTGGGTACCAGATTTTCCCATCTAGATTCTTGGGTGCTGGGGTTTAATCAGAGCTGACAGGCTGAGCTTGCTTTTTCTGCCTGTCATTTTCTGCCATTAAGAAGGGCAGAGGGAGATGATGTCATCTACAAGGCAAAAGACCCTACAGGTAACCCTATGGGAGTGGGGGGGAGGTGCCAGGGCAACTTGGGCCTTATGTCACATAGAAAAAAAAGTTGTTCTTTTACACCAGTGGTTCTCAAAGGGTGTGGTACACCACACTGGTATGGCAGGAGAGGATGGCAAGTGTGGCGGGACAATTCAAGGACAATCAAAGAAACATTTAAACATTTCAGTGTAGCATGGTATAGTAGAGTATCAAATTTTTATTTATATGTTTTTACAGAATATGGATAGGTATCTTTTCAAAACCAAGCACTGCTAGTACTCCCCCCCCCCAAATGTATTTCTTATTAATAAAAAAAATACTGCGGCGCAAGCAAATTTTTATTCTGAAGGTGTGGCCTAGAGAAAAAAATGATGAGAACTACTGTTTTACTCAGAGGCTTTTTGGCAAGGTGTCCTGGGAACAAAAAGGAGTTCCATGTGGCGCTGTCTGGAGGAGGTTGTGTGGCAAGTCCCCCCCCCCTTGGGAAATAAAGACACAGGACACGGCATTTAAGGTTAATGGGCGGAAAAGGCCACAACTTTATTGATTGCAGGAATTGAGCGGTATTGGCCTAGGCATTGGTCCTATCAACTAACCAGCTTCAGCCCGATTGCATGAAGGCCAGTAAGGGTTAACCACCAGGGGGGGCAGTCCTGCTGATGTACATCAACTAGGAGCTCCCCCGGGGTCACCGCTCGGGGGCGTGCCTTAGGCCCACACCTCCATAGGCTTCGGACAGGGCAACGCCCCCCAGAATCCTTTACCGGACTACCCTTTGCTTTGGGGGAAGGTGATGGCGCTTCCTTCCCCCTTCATTTGCATAACAACGGCAAAGAGAGGGCGGTCCTCGGGCGCGCCGGCCCTAAATAGCCCAGGCCACGCCTCCCTGGCCAGCCAATTAGCTGGACAGGGCGATGACGCGCCCGAAGATTCCCTCATTCTCGTGGGGGCTGTGAGTCAGCCCCCATGTGGGGGGCGAGGGCGTGGGCCCGCAACCCCACCTCCTCTCCAGTTCGGAAGTGGCTTTGCACCAAGAGGCTGGGGGCCATGACTGGCTGTTGCTTTGGGCCCTAGCTTGCTGAAGCTATGAGAGACACAGTTGGGGCGTCATGTTCTGCACCCCCTCCACTGAAGGCTCTAGGTGTCAATATGAGTAAAACAAACCATATTTCTTAAAGACACTCATCTCTGCTGTGCCTTGAGTGCCTGAAACCCCCTGCATGAGTGCTTGGAACCCCCTGGAATCTTGCTACCGCTCAGCAGAGGTTGTGGGTGGCATGAGTGAGTGTGTTTGTGTGATCCAAAGTAGAATGTTTAAATGTAAAATAAAGGCTCATGGCAGAAAAGAATCATGCTTGCAGAAACCTCCAGACCCCAAACCTCCGGACTACAGTTCCTCACCAGAGGACCTAATCCTGCAAAAATACCGTGGTCTGGCTGGCAATGATCCTAATCTTTCAGCGGCAGAACCAGAACCAGAACCTTTTCAACGTGCAGTCCTTGCCTCTTCCTTAATTCAGGATACTATGGCATTCCCTGTTATTGTGCCCCCTGCTGACGCTCCAGCAGGAACTCAAGCCCAACACCAACCTTTTGACTTTAAGATTTTGAAAGAGCTGCAACAGTCAGTAAAGGCAAATGGACTACAAGCCCCATATACGCAGGCGCTGTTAGAAGCCACATTAGCCCAGCTCTTGGTTCCAGAGGCCCATACAGTGTTGCCCCCATCAGCTGGTGTTTTGTTCACCCACGAATGGGAAACTGCCTGCCGTGCTTATGCTCCAGCCTTGTTACAACAAGTCAGAGGAAATAATCCAAATGTTACCCTCGCAGACGTCTTAGATGCCATGTTGGGGCGTGGTCCCTTCGCTCAAGCTTCAGTGCAAGCCACACTGCTGCAAATCTTATTGAGGGACACTGCTCTTGCTGCTAAACAAGCAATGAGAAAAATCCCAGAACCCACCAGTATTCAATCAAGGTGGGGTTCAATCAGGCAAGAGGCAAGAGAATCATGTTCTTCCTTTATGGACAGGCTGCTTACAGCAGTGAGTCGCCAAATTGAAAATCCTGAAGCCAAACAAATAATTATCAAACAATTGGCCTTTGAAAATGCCAATGAGGATTGTAAACTTGCATTGCGACCGATAATACACAATCCTGCCACAGACACAGCAGCCATGCTTCGCATTTGTCAGTCTGTTGGAACAGCCAGCCACAAGGCTTATCTGCTGGCAGCAGCGCTAAATGAAAACCAGCCTGTAGCCACCGATACAACTTATTTCCAGTGTGGCAAACCAGGTTCACTGATACCCCAGGGAGGGTAGAACAGTGGCCTCTACCAAAAGAAAAATCCGCAGCAGCGGCACCAGCTATCTCTGACCAGCTTATTTCTGAACAATTGACTTTCGGCCACATTGAACCATCTTCATCCCACTGGCTCCAGCAGACAGGGAACGGTTTGCTTTACATTGCCAGTATATAACAATTCGCAGCCCACCCAGCGATATCAGTGGGTTGTCCTGCCTCAAGGCATGCGGAACTCCCCTACACTTTGTCAACATTTTGTGGGTGAAGCGTTGAAACCTTTCCGCATGCGCCACCTAGAGGTGCTGCACACGAACTGCATCTGGCAGTGTTTGCCTTCCTAACCATTTGCCTTGCCATCCTTTGCTGCACCGTTATACAAGGAAGAGAAGCAGACGACCCAGTCCAGTTGAAACCACCATATTTCACCTCATCGGCTGGCAAGCAGCTGTCGCCAGAATCCTACTCTGGCTGGCAGTATCCATGGCTCAGCCACTTTTGAACTAGAAGAACAGCGTTGTTGAATAAGACTTTTAGGGGAGAAAATTATCATAAGATATGGAGGAATAATATTTTTGTACAAGATATGATTATGTTTACCGGTTTATTGCATGCTTCTAAATGTTGGGTGTGTATGCCAGTCATTCAGGCAAAATGCTTCATGGTGTGCCTGTCAATGGATCTTTTCAATTTATATCCCCTAAGCAAACTTTTTGGCCTCCAGTACAATTGACCCTCCATGAGCCTCCCCCCATTTATTTTCAAATTAAGGAGGGGAAAGAATCATGGGGCATATATCCAAACTGTCAATATACATTGAAATTCACTTTTAATAGCTCTTGTTCTCTTACAGGAACATACAGTGACCAATCTCAGTGCTATAGGAGTGACACCAGTGCATGGCTAATAAACTAAAAGGAAGCCTACCATGCAGCTTGGAATCAGAATTCTTATATTCTTGGCTCCCAGATGGGAGTTTGGCTTCGACATTTATTGATTTTAGTGATCATTATAGTAGTTATTGATTTTAGTGATCATTATAGTAGTTATTTGTGTTATTTTGTGTTGCTGTATCCAATGTATTCTTTCTATAATCTCTATATGTACTGCATGGTTCTCCAGTCCGCGGCCCGCTTCCGGTGTCAAAGAGTCGCTTATCGCGTATTGACTCTGATATAAAGTAAAGAAAGAGGGAATGTGGGAGTCATAAAGCCACGGTAAAGGCTTGTAATATTGCAGGGTGCCCCTGACCTTGGCTGACCAGCACTCTGAGCTTTACAATGTATTGGAATGTAATGCAGTTGTGTTTCCTCTGGGCAGTGATGCCCTATATGGTGAAGGGGGCAATAAAAGCCTTGACCGGATGAGGTAACGTGAGACACTGGCAAACAGCCATGCGGCTGGAGAGAGGACAAAGGAATAAAAAAGGTTTTGCAGGAGGAGGAGAGGAAA